TCTAAAATAAGAAGTGGCAATAGAGGACGGAGTAACCTTTCAAATAATTTTACCTACTTTCAAAGAGACTCTAATGAAATGGTAAGGAAGAAAGTTATTTAAAGGACCACTATAGGCACCCAGACCTCTTCAGCTTAATGAAGTGGTCTGGGTGCCAGGTCCACCTAAGATTAACCCTTTCTGCTGTAAACATAGCAGTTTCAGAGAAACTGCTATGTTTACCTATGGGTTAATCCTGCCTCTAGTGGCTGTCTCATTGACAGCCGCTAGAGGCGCTTCCGCGCTTCTCATTGTGATTTTCACAGTGAGAAGACGCCAGCGCCCATAGGAAAGCATTGAGAATGCTTTCCTGAGACTGGCTGAATGCGCGCGCGGCTCTTGCCGCGCATGCGCATTCAGACGATGACAGGGAAAGGAGGAGGAGAGTCTCCATCAACGATGGAGCCCTGCACTGGAGAAAAGTAAGTGTTTAACCCCTTCCTCTCCATCCAGGGCACTATAGTGCCAGGTAAACGAGTATGTTTTCCTGGCATCATAGTGGTCCTTTAACAGTATTTAAAGTAGTCTAAGAAAAAGTCCAATATACTGATCATAATGACAGACGCATTGTCATGGGCTTGACTTGTTTATTTAAGTCCCATTTCAGTATATATCAGCCCTTCCTGGCTGCATAAATAGACTTTATGACTGTGTGTAGATCTTTTCCGGCAAGCGTGATATGATTTAATAAACCACCAGGATTGTGTTCCTACAATTATGTGCCTAAATGCACACAATGCCCAATGCAACACACTTCACTCATGTGTATTATCAAAACACTCCACTAATATGTTGGTTTTCTTTACTAATTCTTTACTAACGTTATCCGTGGTGTTGTAAATGTGTAGTTCAAAGGGTAGTCTAAATACTATAACCACTGCAGGGGTTACAGTACCAGGAGTCTCCTGGCACCATACACAGCTTGGGGTTCAGATCTACATAGCTGTTCACAGCAGATCTGTCACTTGTTCGGAGTTTACCAACTTAAATTCTATAATACAAATAGCTTAATTCTTCACAATCTTTGTCTGTGATACTTTAATAAAGAGTAAATATATAAAGCAGGTGAAGCAATATTATAAACGTCCAACAGATATTGGTAATGTCATACCTTGTTGATGTTAATAATTCTAGATGACGAATTAGCAGGAGTTTGGACTAGGAAACTGTGAGATCTCTGGTTAGCATCCAACTCAGTTACATGGTATTTAGCATAGTAGAAGCAGCCCTGACTCAACCATTGCAGCTGCATGTATGGCTCATAGTAATCAGAATTGAAAAATTTGACGCAAATCATTAAGTATGGAGTATGTGTATGGGTTTCTTAAAGGACCACTCTAGGCACCCAGACCACTTCAGCTTAATGAAGTGGTCTGGGTGCCAGGTCCAGCTAGGGTTAACCCATTTTTTCATAAACATAGCAGTTTCAGAGAAACTGCTATGTTTATGAATGGGTTAAGCCTTCCCCTATTTCCTCTAGTGGCTGTCTCATTGACAGCCGCTAGAGGCGCTTGCGTGCTTCTCACTGTGATTTTCACAGTGAGAGCACGCCATCGTCCATAGGAAAGCATTATGAATGCTTTCCTATGTGACCGGCTGAATGCGCGCGCAGCTCTTGCCGCGCGTGCGCATTCAGCTGCATGGGAGGAGAAGAGGAGGATCGGAGGAGGAGAGCTCTCCGCCCAGCGCTGGAAAAAGGTAAGTTTTAAACCCCTTTCCCCCTTCCAGAGCCGGGCGGGAGGGGGACCCTGAGGGTGGGGGCACCCTCAGGGCACTATAGTGCCAGGAAAACGAGTATGTTTTCCTGGCACTATAGTGGTCCTTTAAGCAGCCTGAAAGGAAGCTCGGTAGTTAAAACGAGAAAAGGAGAGGAAATTAGCAAAGAGAGATAAAGAAAAAAGGGGGGGTCAGGGGGGGGAAGAAAATATAGGTAGTGAAAATAGCCAGAATAGTTGGGGGAGCCCTGACATCTTCCGCAGCTTTTTTTGTATTGTGTTGCACTTGGAAGGTATACTTAAAGGAACACTCTACCTTCATAAGAACTTCATATCAATGATTTTTTAATTGCATCAAGAGTGCCTTGGTTCTGATGCTATTTGCTGTGTGTGATATTTGTGATGTGAACCCATCATCTCATAATCACTGGCAGCAAACATAATCTGCTAATCATCTCCAGCCGAAACCACCAAGTACTCTTCAAACCTCATCACCCCCAACCCCAGTACCCCTTAGCATCATCACCCACCCTCACATTAACCCTGTTCCAATGTGCCCTCATGTGAGGCAGTAACCAGTGGTACCATTCTGATTTACTCCAGGAAGCAGTGTGTAGCGGAACCCCCTTTTGGCTGTCCTATTCCTTTTATTGATTGTTGGCCCTGCTGAGATTTCCCTGTGCCTGGAGTACACAAAACTCTAAGTGACTAGGTAGGGTACTACTTTGTTCGGTATGGGAATACCAGCTTACATGTGAACGGCTAAAATTCACCATACGAACAAAGTACTGAATGAACCGGACCACCCTGATGTGTATAATGGATGCTTGCATTTCATTCCCTTGTACGCAGGAACCCGCCGCCATTTCGGCAGCCGAGTACGTGGCGGCCACCATCTTAAATCCCCGAACAGCGGTGTTTGGTCGTCAAGTATCTGGAACTGAAAACGGACACTCGACTATCCGAACACCGCTAAGACCTCCAGGGCTTCAGAATGCACGGATGGAAACCCATGAACGGCCCGGCGTTCGGTAGGATGAATCCCACGAACTAGGGGATTCATCCGGTTACCGAATGCACTATGGATGCTATAACAATTCGGGACTTTTGGGGCACGAATGGAGACCGACCGCAGGGCCAGATTTCATGGAACTATTTTTGGATACTTTGCCCATGCGGTCGGTCAAAACTTTACCTTCCCATAACTCCCGAACCCCTGGTCTGATCTGGGTGATTTTTGGATATGTTTCTCACCCAGATCAGGGCTACCAGGGGGTACCATATTTAAGGGCATATTCCACCTATTTGGGGTACATCTGAAAAGTGGGGGAAAATGTGCTGTGTATAATTGTATTAAAGGCTAATCTAAGGGGAGGAGATGTGTGGGAGGTAACGTCGCTGGCATTGGATAATGTACTAATTGTGGTGAATTCCTCCCTTGCATGGGAGAATCTAATAAAAGCAGGAATGTTGCCATTAAAAGTTAGTTCTACTCCTGATACTGTGTGTCGTCCAGTGATTGGGGAAAGTGATGGGATATTATTGGATTGGATTGCTGATTGTGCTGGATATTCTCTTGGATTTATTACTTGTTCCTGCATCCTCTTAAAGTACATGGTGGAGTTAAGATGTGGGAAATCAGCTCTCCGCTACACAGTGCACTTGGTCTGCACACGTAAGAGCTAAATACCCTCTCCCCCAGCATTAGTTTGCATCACTGGCGCAGAGACTGTAAGGCCATAAGTCTTCCCGCTACAGGGTGTGAGGCCACCTCTGACAAGACAACCTTTCTCACTGGCCCCCACATGCAGGACCATGCAGAGAGCTTTACTGAACTCCTAATGCCTGCCATACAACTAGAAGATGTCACATGCTGTGCTGCCCCAGGGAAAGTTCCCTGGTATCCCTGAATGCTAGATGCAAGGAAACTAAATTTGGACAGGACACCAATATTAGGTCTGTCCCACAAAAGCATTACGGATGGGAGGCCTGGTTTAAGGGACACAATAGGCACTCAGACCACTTCATCTCATGGAAGTGGTCTTGGTGCATTATCCCTTTAGCACTACAATGTAAAACAAATCTTAAAAGGGACACTAAAGCCACCCAGACCACTTCAGCTCAATGAAGTGGTCTGGGTGCCAGGTCCCTCAGGTTTTAACCCTTCAGATGTTAACATAGCAGTTTCAGAGAAACTGACAGCTGCTAGAGACACTTCTGTGACGCTGGATGTGAAATTCGCATCTAGCATGCAGAACGCCCATAGGAAAGCAGTGAGAAATGCTTTCCTATAGACTGTTAGAATGCGCGCCTGGCTCTTGCCGCGCATGCGCATTCCGCTCCACTTGGGAGCTGATGGCGGGGGAGGAGAGGTCATTAGCGCCAAGGGAGCCTGGCGCTGGATTAAGGTAAGTGGCTAAGGGGGACCCTGAGGGTGAGGGTCCCCCAAGGATGACATAGTGTCAGGAAAACGGGTTTGTTTTCCTGACACTATAGTGATCCTTTAAATTGCAGAGTTCAGACTGCATCTAGCGGCTGTCTATTAGACAACCACAAAAGGCAATTCCTGCTGTTTAACTAAGTGAATCGACACAGGACGTAAAATCCAGTGTCTTCAAATTTACCAAATAAAAGAATTGATGAATTTCTTTTAACGGGTAAAGACAAATTTGCATTAGGTTGCACCCATTGCCGACGTCAGCGGAGCCAGCGCCGAAACAGGTATTAAAAGGATTTTTAAATTCTTTCAACACGGGGCACAATACATTTAGGGCAGAAGGAGTCTATAACATTAGGAACACAGTTTTTTAATCGTAAAATTGTTCGTTTAAGAGGTTATTGGTTAAGCAAAAGAGGCGAATCAAACGACCGGTGAAAGAGTAACAAGGTTATTCACTAATCTGACAATTGACAGAAACACAATTTAGAAATTCTTTAACAATTTCTTAAAAAATTCCCCAAATCAGCTCTGTGTCCTGTTTTCTCTGCATTCCATACAATGCTCACTTTAGTGAATGACCCTATTAATATCAGACCATCCCATGCTGCCAGGCAGGGTATTGCCCCCACACTCTCCCTCTCCATCCTGCATTCCTATGGATTCCAAGAAAACATGGCGGCCATCGCTGCCATATCCTCAGAACCCTGGGGGGCTATGACGTCAACCCCAATCCACTGCGCGCGCCCGAGTGCAAACCTGCCTGCCTACCGCGTGCGTGCGTGCGTGCGAGAGAACCCCGGGCGCACCCCATGCGCGCGCCCGCGCCGTTTCGAGGCGAGGCCGGAAGTGACGCGCTCCCAGCAGCTTCCTGTATGCTGAGGCGTTTATGGTCGGGCGCTGGGTGGTGGCCGCCGCACTGATTTATCTCCCGAGCCGTCCTGGTGCAGCGGGAGCCGCTCTGTCCGCCTGAGGCCGCCGCTCACACCGCCTCCATCCCCCGGGACACCGCGCTCGCAGCCCCCGCCCTATCAGGCTCTCCTCGGCTTTCCCGCCCGGGACACCGGCCGCTTCGACGCCAGCCATGCAGGCCATCAAATGTGTGGTGGTTGGGGACGGGTAAGGCGCACTGTCTGATTAATATCCCCCCCTGACTGTAACCCGCGCCGTAACGTAGACATTCCCTGCCAGCTGCTCCAGAACTACAACTCCCATCATGCATTGTTAGACTTGGCTGGCAAAGCATCATGGGAGTTGTAATCCCACAACCTGACCAACTGGGGGGTTGTAATTCCCCCTCTGGGTGCTCCCCTTGGAGCTCTGATAATTGGGGTCCAGCAGCCCCCTCCCCCAGATTATCCCACCCATCCTCTCCCATGGGGGGAGTCAGGGCCTGGCCCCAGCCTTGGTTCTCCCTGTAGCCCCCCAGATTATCCCACCCATCCTCTCCCATGGTGGGAGTCAGGGCCTGGCCCCAGCCTTGGTTCTCCCTGTAGCCCCCCAGATTATCCCACCCATCCTCTCCCATGGTGGGAGTCAGGGCCTGGCCCCAGCCTTGGTTCTCCCTGTAGCCCCCCAGATTATCCCACCCATCCTCTCCCATGGTGGGAGTCAGGGCCTGGCCCCAGCCTTGCTTCTCCCTGTAGCCCCCCAGATTATCCCACCCATCCTCTCCCATGGTGGGAGTCAGGGTCTGGCCCCAGCCTTGCTTCTCCCTGTAGCCCCCCAGATTATCCCACCCATCCTCTCCCATGGTGGGAGTCAGGGCCTGGCCCCAGCCTTGGTTCTCCCTGTAGCCCCCCAGATTATCCCACCCATCCTCTCCCATGGTGGGAGTCAGGGCCTGGCCCCAGCCTTGGTTCTCCCTGTAGCCCCCCAGATTCAGATTTTGGGTGTTGATGGTTGGGGTGAGGTTTTATTTGGGGAATGATTTATCCCTGTGGCCTGGAATCTGGGCAGTAACCTGCAGTGAGAGCATAATCCAGCAGGGATTGGGTGGGGAAGCAGGATTGATTTGACCCACATTTTCAGTAATACAGGGGTGTGTGTAGTGCTGGGAGAGAAAAGAAAAATACATAGCTCACAGTTTATCCACGGAGAGGAAATAAGACTTTCTGGATGTATTCAGATGCTTTATGCAGTGTGTGGGGTCATTGGGTTTATTCACTAAACTGGAGATTATGGGGTGTTTACTAAAATATGAATATTTGGAACCTGGATGTGTATTTCTAGTTTTAGGTCAAAATAGCCAAACTGAAACCGTTTAATGATTTCTTTCTCATACTAAACTGTTTTGGCCTTGGATTTTAAAATTCACTTTGGATACTGGATGGAGCACACTGAATAACTCCTTTATGAAATTGTAACAGCTCAAAACAGGCATAATGATCTACTCAGGTACATTTGGGAATGTGATATATTCACATTAAAGCTTGTGTCAATTACTCTGTGTAAATTAGGGATGTCCAACCATAGGCCCTCCAGCTCATGGTGGACCACATTTTCAGCTGGTGGGAGTGGGCTGGGCGAGAATCATGGTAAATGTAATCCATCACTGCTTAGTGTGAAACCATCAGTTTCCTCATGTGTCTGGATTAATTATGTGATGACACCTGTGAATGTGTGTGTGTGTATGTATGTATGTATATATATATATACACACACACATATACATTTAGCATTAAACATGAGGTTGCTATTGTTTTTGTTATGACAGTTTTTCTTTATCCATTTCAAAAACTTCCTTTGGATAATATCTTGACTATTTCTCCTCTGCGTGTTCTAACATACATGTTCTCTTTTATACTGGAATGTATTAAGTAAACCTACATAATTTATCCAATGATCACTAACCTATTGTGTAAGTGTTACAGTTTATGTGGGTGGATGTGGACACTATATTTGGCAGAGTTTAATCTGTCACTTGTTCCAGTGAAAACTCCCTTAGATCAGAATCTTTATCACTTCTCCAGGCAGTTTATATGGAAAATAACAGTTCACACCTCCAGGGCATCTTTTATATGTGGCTCTCTAGGCCACACTTAACAATTTAAATCCTGTTTTGTTGCACATGTTGTAATTCCACATTTTTTTTATTTTTTTTTATTTTAAGGAGCCTGTAGGCAAGTGAAAGGACAGTTTGCTTGTATTGAATTGTCACACTTCTCTTACGATGACAATGCAAAGTTAATTTGCATTGGTTGGTTGAGGCGCGCTCTACTGTGCAGAATTGTAATTTGAGCTACTTGTTGGCAGTTTAAACAAAACATTTGGTTGTGCCAATGTAAAGTATACAGTATGTTACAAATTTACAGTTCAATGTGATCTTCGGTTTGTGGCTTATGTTAACTCCGTGTACTCTGGGCTTACGAGGCAGCGTCTTGCATTAAGCTGTTGGAGATTTGATACTAGGTTGTGTATCTGTAAACAACATATCTAGAGGCATTTCAAGCTTCTAGCAAACCGTGATGAAAGCCACGTTGAATTCTTGGCAATGAGAAGACATCCTGCACCCCTCAATTACTTGCACTACTGTTCTATGTAATCCTGTTGTATTTGGGGTTTGCACCTTTTGGTTTAAGAGATTCACTGCACAATACAAAAACGTTTAAATCATTCATGACAATGAACTATGAAAACGGCATCCAGTGCTATTTTGCAGCTTTAAATTCTATAAGTGCGATAACCTGTTATAACAAATTACTTTTGTGATTGTAAGCTCTTTCTAGCAGGGCCATTTCACATCTAATATTCCCTTTTTGTAATTGCAAAGCTTGGCGAATATGTTGGCACTAGATAAATGATAAAGTAAAAGGTTGAGCAGAGGATGGGAGTGTGCACGCTGAGCGCACCATAACCACTGTAGCTCATGTAGTGGTATTTGTTTGCATCTAATAAGGATAGGTGTAATTGTTACTGTTTACACTTTTAAGAATAATTCTATTATGTGTAATGTTCCAAATTTTGTTCAGCATTGTCCATTTTCTGCAATTCTTGAATCAAACAGCGGTCATCTACATTTACAAGAAATTTACTTTTATTAGGTGGTTATAATCATATATAGACAATTCATGGAGACTGTTTGCAAATCATTGGGTCCTAATTTTAAGAGCACTAGATTATTCATGCCTAACAAGTTTTCATGTTGCATTCAGTGCAGGTTTTGCAGGATACACAACATAGAAAATGGATACTTTATTGCACTTATACAATATTGATCAGAAGAACTATAACAAGTTTTATTTCTTTGAGTAATTTTCTTAGAACATTGGTTGAATCACTACTGTAATTCCAGTTTTCTCCTTGGCTCATTGCAATTTGATGTATTATGTCATATTCAGGATTCTCCTCCACCTTCCTGTTCATGCCCTGTAAGACACACCCCAAAAGGCCTAGTCAAAAAATGGAAATTCTTGCATTTCATGATAATTTTTGGTGGTAAATAAACTGCCTCTGACTCATGCAAACCGTGCATCAAAACCCGATGGCCTATCATTCATCCGTTACTCTGAATGCAATCAGTGTTTGCTGCATGATTTGCCTTGATTGTCCTATAGCTGCTAATTCTGACTTTTGTTGCCAAGGATTTTAGCTGGCAAGCATCATTCCGGCTCTGGGAGCAGTTTGTCTACAATAAATGCTGTTTTTATTCACGTATAACGCACTTTTATATTGCTGTTTGTATGGGAGCGTTGACCATCAATTGTGGTGTTTTCCAGCCAAGGATTCAGTGGATATCAACATTACACTGTTAATGGAAACTTGCATGTATGCAACCGTGTTCTATTTTGTTTGCACTGCTATCAACATATTTGTACACGTAATTTACCAAATTATGGTGAATAAGTCGACTTCATGTGCAGTTTCGCTTGACATCAGCTGGCAGTACAGTATAGATCTGCTAACATCACTATTTCCTTATGTGAGTAGACATGCAAGTTTATGTATTGATACCGACACACATTCACAATTTTTTAAATTTTATTTATGGCTACCCAGCTAATGACAGCTATTTGTGTTGCTAGCTTTTATTAGCATTGGCAAATGTCTGTCTACAAATTTGCTCCAGCTGGTTGGGGAAATTTGTTGGACTGAATTTGCGGACCGACAGCTACCAGTTCTTTCTAAACATGCTGTTGATTATGTAGTTCATGTGCAATCAGACAAGATGAAATCCAGTCTACACTATCTGTAACTAATATGCAGTATTGGTAAATGGTAGGGATGCACTGAAATTTTCAGCTTTAAAAAGGGTCAAAGCTGACCCTCCTACCTCCATATCCCCCTCCCATAGTCCTCTCTGCCTTGCTCTATGCCAATACTCCACCCCAAACCTCTCAAAGTCCATGTTCCCTTGTCTGTGCCATCTTCCTAGTCTCCTTGTTTCCTGGATCTTACTTTCTGGCCCTGAGCCTCACTCAAACCTGCTCTTGGATTCCCTGAGCCCCAGTGGCCGTAATTCTGCCTAAAGTACCTGGCTGTCCATGTCTCTCTTCTCTGACCGTCTTTCCTTCTTCCTTGGCTTATCGATCCGACGATAGACTTCCTGCTCGGCGAGAAAAAGAAAGTCACAAATCCAGGAAGGCCTCACCCCTAACCTAGGCCTGAACAACCCCTTTTGCTGCTTGCAATGGACCGTTCCACCTGTCAGATCTATAGCTGGAAGGTTGCACTCCGGATCTGACCAATCAGAGGGCGCTAGGGGGATAGTGATTCATGACAGGAAGAAACTGGAGAAAAAGAACATGAGTGGTGGGTGGGGCTAGTGACATTATAGAAGGTGGGTTTGGTATATAGTTAACTATATACCAAACCCACCTTCTGTATTAATTGCATGTGGCATAAAGGGTTACCCACATTAGTGTTTAGAGCTGCTATACACAGATTTCACCACAAATTCTTTTTATGTAACACACACTCTACCAAGAGGAGAGTTTTGTTCGTGTGACATTATAATTCACTATTATTGATACCTTAGAGAGGGTTCAGAGAAGGGCTACTAAACTGGTTCATGGATTGCGGGATAAAACTTACCAGGAAAGGTTAAAGGATCTTAACATGTATAGCTTGGAGGAAAGACGAGACAGGGGGGATATGATAGAAACATTTAAATATATAAAGGGAATCAACACAGTAAAGGAGGAGACTATATTTAAAAGAAGAAAAACTACCACAACAAGAGGACATAGTCTTAAATTAGAGGGACAAAGGTTTAAAAATAATATCAGGAAGTATTACTTTACTGAGAGGGTAGTGGATGCATGGAATAGCCTTCCAGCTGAAGTGGTAGAGGTTAACACAGTAAAGGAGTTTAAGCATGCGTGGGATAGGCATAAGGCTATCCTAACTATAAGATAAGGCCAGGGACTAATAAAAGTATTTAGAAAATTGGGCAGACTAGATGGGCCGAATGGTTCTTATCTGCCGTCACATTCTATGTTTCTAATAGGTGGCTGTCTTCCGGTTTCCGTGGCAATGGAAGGTTCATTCCCCGCATTCCCTTACTTAAATCACGGCCCTATACACTCTTAAAGGGACAGACTGAAATTTCAGGTCTATTGTTTTGCCTCATCTGCAATTTTAAAGGGGCTTATTCATTAAACATAGAATTGTAGTGTATTTAAAAACAAATTGTAATATTTAATTTGAACAGGATAGATTTCCAACTCCACTCTAGTCACATCTTGGCTAATTTAGCAAATCTGGTTTTCAGTTTTTCAGGTTGCCATTTAGTGAATGAGAGCCAAAATGGTTTATATTTGGTGCACTAAATTTTATTAATGGGAAAGTATGCACCATAACCACTACAGGTATGTGTTCAAATGGCACTGTCCATTACTAACTGTTTGACAGGTTACCTGCGGTTGATGCCCAGGGGCTCCTGGCTTCCTTACAACTGCAGCATACTATTTATGGTGCCTAGAGTCTCCACTAAAGCAACACTCTACCATAACCACTACATAACGCTGTAATGGTTATGCTGCTAGATCAGTCCTTATGCCAACCCGTTGTAATCAGGGAAAAGATTTTTCAGTACTTCTGACTCCTAACCACCGACTATGGGCCTTGGCCAAGATATAGATTTGGGTTGGGGGGGACTTATGAGGGACAATTGGGGGCTTTTTTCTCCTGGTATGGGTTTGCCACGTTCCCCAATTAAAAGTGTAAACATTCAATTTCCATATGTGCAGTTATAGGAAAAAATATTTTAAAATCATTTAGGGGAAAAAGTCAGTTTCGGTTTTCAAGGGCATCCTGAATTTTCTTTTCGGTACTTCCCTAGTAAATGGTATTGGTAGCAATAGGATCTTGTTGTCCAGATTGTCCTGGATTATTTTTACTAATATGGAGTGGGGAACATTTGGACACTAGTTAACAATACTGAAGGACTTGTACAGCTTAATTTTTACACTTTTATTGCATTATTCTTTATCATTGCTCATGTATTGGTAATTTATAGCAAGGCACCTCAAATTCCAGCCTCCCACATTTTGAACTAAATTTTCCAAGAATCTCTGGCAATATATGGCAGTCAAATAATTCTTGTAGTTATAATACTGCTACATTGGGGGTGCAGTGTTTGGGTTCCAGATTCTGCACCTTTTGTGTGTAATTGGAGGAGAGAAAAGGCATTTCAAAATAAGCTTGTGTCTTTTTTATTTTAATTTTATTTATTTTTTAAAAACATGTTCTGATGTAAAGCCAGCATGCCATTGTTGAAAGTAGATTTAACCAAACTTTTATTCCTAAATCCACGAGTAGCCTGCACTTAAGGACAAACCTTTTGGTGTATTCTACTGATGTTTGCCGAGAACTAATGATGTAGGTTTTTCTTCTGTGGTGTTGTGTAGACACAAAGCCAAGAATTAAACTATGATTATATGCTGATATATGGCACATCTGTTTCATGAGTCAGCTAGCGCCACTTAATGTCTTTCATAGCCTTGTGTAATGCTTTCCATTTTGATCTATCCGATACAAAAAATGAGGAATGCTTGTTGGAAATCATAGGAGGCTTTATAGCTTTTGTCGAAAGTTGACTTTTTTTTTTTTTTTACTTGATCTTCTATTTCCAAGTTTCTTAACCTTTGGTCATGTAAAGTACAGTGTCTTTAATGCCATGTAAAGGTAAAATGTACAATACAAGAACTATTTCTTGAGACAATTGTAACTTCCACAACAGCAATATGCATTAGCTCCTGGTGGGCCTTCTGGGTCAAACAACTAAAATGGGTTGGCACAGAACTAGGGACCAATGACAGGGACATGCTGTCACCATAACTGTTACAGCAGGATGTAGTAGTTATTGAGCCCTGATGTCTTTCCAGGGTAAACTAGTCAAAAGGTGGTCATATAGCTGGAAGGCATACTCTAATTTTCTATGGGAATATTTTGTACCTACACCACTTGCGGGTTTGTTTTTTTGTTTTTTAGAGCTGATACCGATATTCTGTGAACTTTCAGGCTGATAGCCGATATAATTTGCCTATATTCTGTACATTTACCATTTTGGAAAATAAAAACTATTTCTAAAGGTAAAGGCACAAAATATACATGCCACGTGTAGTGGATGCAGTGTGTTTAGACAGGGGAGCTGTGTTTGTGTAGTGGATACAGCGTGTGTAGTGGATGCAGTGTGTATTAGTCTAGTGTGTGTATATAATGAAAGCAGAGTGTTTTGTTTATATAATGCAGAGTGTGTTTGTATAGTGTGTGTGTGTGTGTATATAATGCAGTGTTTGTGTAGTGTGCATTATATACACACTACACAAACACACTGCATTATATACCATGGCAACGATTTGACGGCCGCGGGTCTCGCGAGAGTTACACTGGGTAGCTGGAGGAGCTGCTGGGAGGTGAGTAGACGATTGCTGCCCGCCCCGCCAAGGACCGCCGGGCTTGTAATGAGCCTGGCGGTCCTAGGAGGTATTATCGGCAATATCGGTATCTGAATTGGCTAATACCGATATTGTCGAAAATACAGAATATCGGCCGATAATCGGTCAATCCCTAATTTTTAGGTGGCATATGCAAAGTCCCAACCACAGAAACAGATGTTTATGGTGGGAATATGAACAGTCTTCCTCAACCAGTATGGATGGGGGGGTTAACTACAATCTCTACCGGATTCCTGTATCTTGGTAACCTTGGTTTTTAACCTTCCTTTGGCATCCATTATCTTTTCTTGCTGTTATGTGTAAGTTACATAGCACTCTTGTTTCTTGTAATGCACAGCACTATGTGCTGTAATTTGCCACTTTATAAAGTGTTACTTTTTTTTTTTTTTAGATCTGTGGATTTATGGCAAGTGGGCCAATTAGATGTCATGTATGACTAGAATATCAGACTTTGTAATTTTATACTATACGAATTCCTATTCTATTGTTACTACTTTTTCCTCTCTGGTTAAATACAAGTAAAGATAAGGATCTTTTAGTCTTCAGAATGTGGTTTCTTAAAACGGCTCTCTTACTTGGAGGGTGGGGTTCAAAACTACCTGTTGCTTCTCTGTATAAGATGTCACCATTTGCTGCATCTTAGTGCAATGCATAATTCTTATTCTTTCTCAGTATCTTTTGGAAAACTAATTTGCGATGACAGATATAGCAGATGACAGTTGTGATGGGGTTTAGAAATTGGGTGATCAATCTTTTGTTGCTCTTTAAGGACCAGTTAAGGCACTATAACAACTTCATCTAAGTAGAGTTATGGTGCCAGAAGATCCCTGGCACTGGCTCACCTTTAGGGGTTAAACCGTTCACTAATGGTTAAACACCAAAGTCTGCGCTCCAGTGCTGGATCGCACTGCCTTGCCCTTCCGCTTTGCAAAATTCTACATTACGGAAAGTTTGGGCAACAGGGGTGCAGCTGATTGGCTTAGAGTCAGCTGAAGCTGTAAGCCAATGAAGGGGCATTTTCATAAAAAGGGAGGAGTTAGTGATTGGCTTCGTGTCAGCTGTGTGCAGTGAGGAAATCAGCAGCTCCCTTGTCTGATGCTACCCAAGCCGCCTTCTTTTAGGATTTCAGAAAGCTGATGGACAGGGCAGAGCGATCTGGCACTGGAGCGCAGACCTTGAGGCTCAATCGTTTATGAATTGTTTAACATCTAAAGATAAGCCAGCGTCGGGGGACCTCCAGGCACCATACAAGAGTTAATGGTGCCTAAACTGGCTTTTTAATTGTGATCACCCAATCTGAAGATCACATGTCATGACAAACATGACCTGCTTTCACTTTACAGAAAAAATATATTAAATGGGAAGGTTTTTATATATATATTTTTTTTTTGACAAAGCATGTGAGTTGTAGTTAAACTGCTAGGATCTACTTTTTGGGCACACTTGGCATATAGGATAACTCGTTAAAGTTTAACCTGAACTTGAAACACCTGGAGCATGAAAAATACTTTGCATGACTTAATAACTAGCCTAGCATGCAGCGACACAAAGAAGGTGCTTGTACTAGTTTGTAAAGAATGTACTGTGAATGTCCCTGGCTTGCATAACACTGGTCACCTTCATTAGGTGAAAGCAGTCTCACCAGGAAGGTAAATATTATTTATAGGGAATTTCCCCATGACATCCTACTTGGATACAGAAAAAACATTTTTAAACCTTGTCATGAGCACTTATCCGTGTTACTCTTGCTGTTTTTTTTATTTTTATTTTATTTTATCATTTTCAAAATGTGTGTGTGTGTGTGTGTGTGTGTGTGTATATATGTGTGTGTGTGTGTGTGTGTGTGTGTATATATATATATATATATATATATATATATATATATATAAAATATAATTTTTATCTTGCTAGTTTTTTCACATACTGTCTGTAACAAATCATAATGCAGCCAGTAAACAAATTTATATAGTCAAAGAGTATATGACATCTTGAGCAGTTGATCCCATCCCAATTCTCAAGACACACCAATGGGCCAGGTTTTGTTTGTTTCCTCTTGGGTACAGAATAGATACTGTAATTATTGGTGTTCCTCCAGGACTGTGTTGGGAATTATTGCACTTGAGAGAGGATTCCTATTCATGGAGGCAGGAGGTTACACAACAAGTATCAGTTCTCTCCTCCTTTTTGCGTTTTGAGAGTAGATGGGAATAAGCATCACAGTAAGTCCATTTCAGGGCACATACTGCGGTAAGCCACTAATATGACCTGACATGCTTTTGGTCTGAAAGCTGGATCTGGTAAAATAAGACAATGCGATGTGTGTTCTGTATATACAGATAAAATGTAATCTATGTATCGGTCTCTTGTACATAAGGGTCATGATTTGTCATAAAATTGCATAGCTACTAAGGATGGGCCGATATTGCTTTTTTAGGTCTGATACCGATAATCTGTGGCCTTTTCACACTGGTAACTTGTATCGATATTATGTACACTTACAGGTTTGAAAAAAAAACCCCACAATTTCTATACAAATCTGCCATTAACTGATAAAACTTTTTTTTTTTTTTTGTAAGTGGCAAATGCACAAAATATGCATGCCAGTCAATTTTTTCTGTGGGTTAAAAGGTATTTTATATTTAAAAATATACATTTTGTTAACATTATTAATTTTTTATTTTATTTCCCCCTCCATACCTTATTAACTGTGACCAGGGAGGGGAACATTACGTGCCCTGGTGGTTCAGTGGCTTTGAGGAGCCTGCCAGTGGATTTTACGCTGAATTGGGGGCTCCTGGGACCCTCGCTTTCTGGCAGGTCCTTAAACTCTTGCTGAAGATGGCGTGTGCTGGGCCTCCGTTATTGGCAATATCGGTATCATTATAGACCAATACTGATTATTGCTGAATGTCTGCCTGACAGATCATCGGTCAATCCCTAATAACTGTGTATTATCCCTCAGGCCAGAAATCTGCAATTTAGGCAGTAAGCTTGCTTGTGAGTCAGATTCCAAATTGTGCATGGAGTGCTGTTACAGCAACAGGAAGCATCCTAACAACGTGTGATCATTTTCAGGAAGAAAAGATCCATGTTGTGTTTTTGCATACACTAAAATTATAATCGTAAAATGTTAGGTTCTCATTTAGTAAATGCTTAAATAACGTGTCTAATTGGAAAGGAGGAAAAAGGCAATGTACAGTACCGTTTGAGTAAATGTCACAGTAAGTTAGTTATACACAGATAAGATTTCTTTCTGGCAAGCACAGCCCAGGTTATGCAAATACGGTTTAATCCTTAACTAAGAAAATTGCCTGTGTAAGCTTTAAAACTGCATTGTCACTTCTGAGTATTTCATGAAAGTATAATATTTATGAAGTGGTCATTGTGATTGCATGGGGATTTCATTAAAATTCCTTCAAAATCAGTATCTCATAAGATAAATTAGTGGCTACATTGCCAACACAGCCAATGTTGACAGCTTAGCTTGTGCAATCCACTTCTGTCTAGTAGAAGCAGCCTTTGCTAGAAAGTCTTTTATTGCACAGTTAGTTCTATGTCGAATGTTGCTGTGGTCCACAAAAAGAAAACAGGCCTTGCAGCCAAAGCACCAACTCTTAGCTAGGAGTGTCAGAACATGTACATGTCACTGCTCCGCATTGCATCCAATTTCTTGAACTGCAAGTGTACGCTTTGCTAACGTGTGTGGTTGGCAGCAATGAGAAACAGCTAGCCTATGAAAGTTAGCCGTGATTGAGATGGTAACATGGAACAGATCAGACAGCTGGGTGACTGCAGTGAACTATTTGCTGCTAAGGCCTGACAGCCAGGAAGTATAAAAGTTTAATAACTATGTCTCTACTTCTACTATCTATGTTCCTGGTTCAATGCACCAAGTCCCATTTCTAGCTGACTTTGTCTTATGAGCCCTATGTTTGCGAGTACCTCATGTCAAGGTTTCAGGTCCCAGTAATCTGTATTTACTTGATTCTGATGAGGCAGTTAGGAGAGGATTAGATGTGAGTCGGTGTCATGCAGGAGAGCTAGGGGGATTCTTGAAGCCATCTCTGTCACTTGCAAACAGCTTTTGGGGGAATGGTCACTACAGTATACCCCTTTTTATCAGTGTGTGTGTGTTCATCTGTTGGGTTTTAGGAATTCTAGGCATCAGGCTGGATGGAATCCAACCAAGTAAGAAATCGCCTTGTAAAGTAATTAAGTAATTGTCCAGGACTTGTTATTCAGATGATGACAGCGCCCCTGCCATCTTCTTTTACAAGGAATCCCTTTTTCTAATCTGGATGTACTTGTTTTAAGGTTTTTGTTTTTGCTACATTTAAACCTAAACAAAAATCTTAAATTTAATCCAGAGCATTTATCTCAGTGGGTGTTTGCATGGTGGCTGCTTTAAGAAAGTGTTGGTAGAATACTGATTTATTTTATCCTAGTAAATGTGATCTCTGTAAATGGAATTTAAAGAGACCGTTCTGGGTAGCATGTTTTCTTCATGAAATACATCGACCCTCTCGGATTCCCATTTTGAATGGTAATTGCCTGATTAAACATTTTGCAGTCTTCCTCTGTATTTCATCTAGAGGCTCGTTCCAATGTCTTTAGCCAGCAGTCACAGCCATTGTATGAGCGAAGTGTGATTTACTGCAGTTTGTAAATGTCGCGTTTCCGCTGGGGAAAATAAATCTTATTCATTGTGTGTTTTAACAATGTAAAAACTGCAGAAAGTATCTAAAAATACAGCAGTTTTTGACCATGATGGTCAATTTGACGTATTCTTTATAAACAGGAACATTTTACTCTTATACTAAAAATATACAAAATAAAGCAAATGTTTATAGAATAGTAGTGTTTAAACTGTGGGTTTAAAGGATCACTATAGGGGCAGGAACACAAACATGTAATCCTGACCCTATAGTGTTAAAACCACCATCTAGCCCCCCTGGGCCCCTCGTGCCTCCATAAATCTAGCAAAATCTTACTGTATTCAAACCTGAAGCTGTAACTCTGCATGCTGTGTGACTCAGAAAAACAAGCAGTCTGCTGACATCAGAAGTGGTAGCCTGATCCAATCACAATGCTTCCCCATAGGATTGGCTGAGACTGAGAAGGAGGCAGATCAGGGGCAGAGCCAGCATGATTCAAACACAGCCCTTGCCAAACAGCATCTCCTCATAGAGATGAATTGAATCAATGAATCTCTGAGGAAAGTTCAGTGTCTGCATGCAGAGGGAGACGATACTGAATGTTTGGATGCATTTTAGGCAGCCATGACCCATGAAGGATCTCTAACAGCCATCTGAGGAGTGGCCAGTTAAGTTATCACTAGGCTGTAATGTAAACACTGCATTTTCTCTGAAAAGACAGGGTTTACAGCAAAAAGCCTGAAAGTAATGATTTTAATCACAAGAACAAATCAATAAGCTGTAGTTGTTCTGGTGACTATATAGTCTCTTTAATCTGTAATAAGCAAGCCTTGTAAACAGTACTGTTGTATGTATTTTTACTACACTCTGTTTTTAATACTGTGAATATTTGGAGCAATTGTGTAGAACATTGTGTATAAAGTTTAATTGTTCCTTTTCTTGTTGCCTCGTTGGTTTAGATAGTGGTGTTTGAAACTGTTGTAGCTTGGTTTTTATATAAAATTATAGCAAGTCTGTATATTTAATCTTTTTTGTGCATTGTCTTGATGCAGCATATGCCTTTACCGTTACAAAACAGGGAATACAGAGTTTTCTTATTGTTCAACCCGGTTCTAGTTACTTTTATATTTAAAGGACCACTATAGTGCCCTGAGGGTGCCCCCACCCTCAGGGTCCCCCTCCCGCCGGGCTCTGGGGAGAGGAAAGGGGTAAAACTTGCCTTTCTCCAGCGCCGGGCGGGGAGCTCTCTGCCTCCGATCCTCCTCCTCTCCTCCCTTTCGGCTGAATGTGCACGGGCGGCAAGAGCTGCGCGCGCATTCAGCTGGTCTCATAGGAAAGCATTTACAATGCTTTCCTATGGACGCTTGCGTGTTCTCACTGTGATTTTCACAGTGAGAATCACTCAAGTGCCTCTAGCGGCTGTCATTGAGACAGCCACTAGAGGATTTGGAGGCTGGATTAACCCATTTATAAACATAGCAGTTTTCTCTGAAACTGCTATGTTTATTAAAAAATGGGTTAACCCTAGCTGGACCTGGCACCCAGACCACTTCATTAAGCTAAAGTGGTCTGGGTGCCTAGAGTGGTCCTTTAAAGGGACTTTCCACTACCCCCAAAAATAAAACAAATCAATGTTTTGTTGATACACCCCCAATGTAAACAATCGTGCATTTAATGATACATTTTTTTTTTCTTAATTTGGAGATATATCTTGAAAATTGCTTGCCGATGCTTTAGATATCTTGTCTGAAGCTTTTGCAAGCCCTTCCTTTCTAATCCTGCCCAGACTTAAGTAACCTAAAGTTCTTTAGGGGTCTTAACTGTCCCTTTTAATACAAGTGTTTTGCAGGAAAAATGCAGACATCAAACCTTTTCCGTTCTGTTTCTTGATCAAAACCAAGTCAGGTTGCACAAGGTTTTGCATTTTAGTTTTATTTCGTAGGCATATTGCCTTGCTTTATTTGGGGGGGAGGGGGAAATCAATAAAACATTGAGGGTGAAAAAATAAAACCCATTCTTTAGTATTCTTGATCAGAGCTGGAAATGTTCAGTTATGTATCTATATGTGTGTGTGTATATATATATATATATATATATATATATTATACTCCTGTTTTATCGGTGATTTTAAAATAGAATAAAATTCTTTTTTTTTTTTAATTCTTTATTTGTCGTGCATGTATCAACAACAATTACACAAAGCCACATCAGCGTCTGTGTGCATCTTACATTTGACAACGTCACAGGTTAATACTGCACATTTTTAAGGTTAGAGTAAAAAATAAGACAAAAAAAAATTCTGTTAGTAAACAGTAGGGTGGACGATACGCAAAACTCTAGACACATTCAATTTCAAATTCCGTTTTGATAAGTAATGGCAGTCTTGCTACTTACATTGCTTATTGATATAAAAAGAGGCACATTAACTGTAAGAGATGCCCAGAAAATATCAGGGAATTAATGAAAATAACGAATCAGTACAGTCATAGTGCCTGGCCTTATCGTGTGTAATTATATGGACTTCACATGCCCATCCCTGACATATGCCCAAGGAGTCCGCTATCTAAAGTTAGGTGTTGTAGAGTGCGACTAGCATGGCAGCCATACCATGATAATAAAATTCATTTAAAATAGAAATTCCATCTACAATACACTAAACCGCTTGTATGGTGCTTCAGTTATTAAAATATAAGAATATATGTACATTCCTATATTTTAATAACTTTGCCTGCCTTCAGCAAGGGGTGTGTGTGTGTGTGTGTATATGTATATGTGTGTATGTGTATGTATATATAAAAAAAATTTAATAACTGAAGCACCGTACAAGTGGTTTAGTGTATTGTAGATGGAATTTCTATTTTAAATGCTGCATTTTATATTTTTTTGCATTACTGATAAAACATGAGTATAATTTAGTTTTTATCTTGCAAGTATTTAAGAATTCCTACAATATCCTTTATCATGGCCCTTTAAATTGTGAGACCAGTAAGTAGGGAGACAGGCCTATGTGTGAAGTAGAAGGAAATTGATAGTTTTGTGGAGAGTCTAGGTATAGCTGCATAACTTCTGATCCCAAATAGTTTAAGCCAAACAAGTTGACATTCAATAGTTTCCAGGGAAAACCTAGGCAGCATCCAGATATTGGAGTTGGATTATTAGATGGCATAGGCAGCCACATGTGACTCTGGCAGGGGCCTGGAGATTATCAATCATCTCCTGGAACAGGGCCAAGCAGGGAAATACATAATTTGGACAAAGGTATTGGGACACACTTCTTAATTATTGAATTCAGGTGTATAAAATAAAGCCCCTAGCCGTGCATCCTGCATTTACAAACATTTGTGAAAAACATGCATGGGTAGTTCTGAAGAACTCAGTAAATTCAAGCTTAGTACTGTGATAGGAGGCACTTTTGCAATAAGTCAGTTCTTGAAACTTGATCCCTGCTAGATATTTCACGGTCAGCTGTAAGTGGTATTATTGGAAAATGGAAGCACTTGGGAACAGCAGCACTTCTGCCACAAAGTGGAAGACCGCATGGTGCATAAGTCACCATCGCACTGCTGATTCCATAGCTGAAAAGTTCCAAACTTCCACAGAAACAATCCAAAATCTTGTGGAAAGCCTTCCCTGAAGAGCGCTAGCTGGTATAGCTGCAAACTACATGTCATAAGTCATTGTTTGTGTAATGGTCAGATGTCCTGATACTTTTATCCATACAGTGTAAATAGATCTCCCTGCTTGGCCCTGTTCAAAAGTGCTAGTGCTTTTGGGGCAGATCGAGCATTCCGAATAAAGGTCCTAGTCGGGGGCTTTGCCCCTTTATCTGTGCACCAGAATGGGCCCTTGTTAGTTTGCCAGGTCACCTGTGAGCAGAGCTGGGAGGAAGTCATTGCACTTTACTTCCTCTCGGCACACGAGCGATGCAGGGAGAGAGTGGGTAGAACGGAGGCCCCCAGCCCACTTCTATCTCCTTAAAAACATAGCCAGCACTAATACATACTGCAACTAAGCGGTAAGGGAACAGGAGCATAGCCAAAATATGGTATCACTTATCTGTGTGTATGTTAGTATATATTTCCACTCCGATTAGAGGCAGTGCACTAAAATGGGGATATCACCAACTCAGGGAAAGGCAGGAAATCTAGAAGAAATTTAAAACTTTAGTTCATCATTGTACTCAAATTTACAAAAAGAAAATCACAACAACCATTATGCCCACGTTCTCTGCCTGCCTTCAGCAAGGTATATAGGGCTTGCATTGTTATTGTGTATACATTGATACAAAATACAAAAAACAACAAATTGATGCCACTAGTCTCAGTGCATACAAAGCTCCGAGATCAGATGCATCCCCTGGATATATATGTAGTAATATAGTTATTACTGTATATTGGCATAAAAAATTTATAATCTATTATTGAGACCTAAACATAATAAATAAACCAAAGTATATACAAGTGATACATATGCTAATATGCAAGCCAAAAATAGACACCATGTAGGGAAACAATCCAAATCCATATAAAGGTGTGATACCCAATCCTAAATATCAGCTTTATTAACAGGTGTATATGCTACATAGGAGGGGATCCATCCCAAACCAATTCCCTAACACTGGGCTATTTTCAGATTAACTTTAAATACTGTTCTGCCTTATCTTATAAAAATCTGTACTGTGCTAGTAATAAGAAACACATCTTGTGCATAGTAAAGTGCTATATTGATCTAAGCACAGTCCCAGACCCTCAGTCATAAATAAGCATCTATAGAGTTAAATGGCAGACAATGCTAGAAACAGTATTGTCCATAATATATGATAGGGTAGGGAGAGAATGCAGTATATAGTGAGAAAGTCAGTGTCTAAAACACTGACAAGGTAAATTAAAAGCCTCTCTCCCTGGTAATCTAACTAGACAGGCATAGAAGCAGAGGATAGAAAAGTGAAAATCAAAATCAATCAAATGAAAGTCATAGTGCCCAATCTATATAATTGAGACCTAAACATAATACATATTATGTTTAGGTCTCAATAATAGAAGATTATACATTTTTTTTATGCCAATATACAGTAATAATTATATTACTACATATATATCCAGGGGATGCAGCTGATCTCGGATCTTTGTATGCACTGAGACTAATGGCATCAATTTCTTGTTTGTTTTTTGTATTATGTATACATTGGGGTTAAGCCCCTGGAGTCTCTCTGCGGTACTTAAGATATTGGGTTAGACCTGTCACTATCCCATCTTTTGGGTTAAGTGTATGGGTATATACCTATATTCTTATTTTCGTTCTTTTATTTTTTGTCAAGATTGATACACGCTACACACACACAATGAATGAAATGACAAAGGGGAATCTGTGTAAATAGCTTGCTGACCATTATTGCTTTTAACCTTTTCTCTATTCTTTATTTTTTTAGGGCTGTAGGTAAAACATGCTTGCTGATCAGTTACACTACAAATGCATTCCCTGGCGAGTACATCCCAACTGTGTAAGTATCTGCTCCTTGTACGCCAAAATGTATCTGATGTATGTTTTCCTTATACTTTGGATGCAATATTTGGGCAAATATTAACTTTAAAAATGTTTTGAAGGTCAAGACTGTTTGTTTTTAAGTGTACCTGACATGGTACACACAAATTTACTTCGTTTATTAGTACATTACATGTCTACATAGAATACTAGTAAAATTTGCAGAAAATGTATAGTTTGGGATCATGCCAAATTAGCCCCTTGTTAGTTTGAATAAAGGTGGTTTAAGGCAAGATGGCTGTGTTTAAGTGCCATACTACTAATGTTAAGTATATTATTTAAATGCATAGACACTCTCGGTAAGGCACATCCAGTCAATAAATAATAAAATAAAAAATGGTATCTTGTCACACAATTATCCCTACAATCTCTATCTAGAAGTCAGAGTATAGTTTATATGTAGTTGTTTTGGTTTTGGTTTTTTTTAACATCAGGGCTCATTATTTTATATAGAGGTCGGACAATATTATTTTCCCAGATCCAATGCAAAACAGATTATTGGTTGCTTTTCGGACTGTAAAACAGTGCTGATAATCGGTTTCTTAAAAAAGAAATATAGATGACTTTTTTTTTGTTTTTTGTTTTTGTTGTTTAAAGCAACACAATTTCTATACAAATCTGGCACTTACTGAATGGGTTAACAGCCGTCACACTCCTATCACTCTCAGCCAGCTCAGTACATTACAGTACATTATTCATGGTCTCACCTCCCTGCCTTCAGCGCAGCTCTGCATGCAGGGGCTCACAGGGATGAGTGTCGACATTTTGCCCCCGTGGCTGGCGACTTGAGTTTCCTGGTGTGGAAGACCGCGTGCGGTGACTTGCGGAAGTATGTTATCAGTAAATTAAAAGACTGACACCGGAACTCATCTGAACATTAAAGGGGAAGGCACTGATGCTAGTCTTGTCAGACCATCTTAAGTTCATTAGAGAATAAGTGCTTAGAGCACGTGGTTGCTTTCCTATCCAGTTTTCTTTATGTTTATGTCTACATATCCATTTAAGATGTGCTGTGAAGGTGTATATTCAGTAACTTACTCTGCCTTGTTGAGGTGTTTTTACCTTTTTCTGCTCGAACACCATAGTAAGTATTTATTACTCTGCTGTCACATATTAATGGTAATGACCTGTTTGATAACTGTCTTTGTAAAGTCTTACAGGCTGCACTGACGTCTGCTAAATGTTTGAAGTATGCATTTCCACTCTAGCTCATGGTGCAGTTTAATACAACGGTATTTTTTCTTATCATTAATTTAGGTTCGACAACTATTCTGCAAATGTTATGGTGGATGGAAAGCCTGTTAATTTGGGCTTGTGGGATACAGCTGGACAGGAGGATTATGACAGACTGCGTCCTTTATCTTACCCACAAACGGTAAATACCAGAATACTTAAATGTACTTTGATAATGTGCATACATGAAGATGTTTACACCTAGGGAAATGTTCTTACATTTGGAATTCACAGTGTGTCTAATTTATTTATTTATTTTATTTATTTATTTTCATACCTAATTTAACACTCAAGTTTGATTAGGTATCTAGTGGCTTGAAGGAAATGTGTTCAACAAAATTTGTTGGACTTCAGTTTGACTTCAGTAACCTGTTGAAAATGTTTGACTTCAGTAAGAAGAAATTTTCTGTTGTATAATATAGTGGTTTTTGTACACTCCACACCTATTCCTACAATTAGCACATTTCTATTCATCCAACCTTTAGTACACACTGCCATGACTTTGTTAATATTGTATTTGCTATTTTTCCAGCTACATTTGTCCCAGATATCCCACTGAGATGTAGTCAAAGGAACACTATAGCATTGACAGGCTATTGCTCATGCGCAGCAAAATGCTGCGCTGTGACAATCTGCATCTCCTCGTAGATGCAGAGCATGGAGACTCTTGATGTTGGTGCTGCACACTGTACAGCACTGACATAGGAAGCAACTCTAGTGGCCTTTTGAGTGACTGCCACTAGAAGTGTTACTAAGCAGGTTTGTAATTTACATTAAAAAGCCTGCTAGGACAGGCTACAGACACCAGTACCACTACATTAACCGGTAGTGGTTTTGGTGACACTAGTGTCCCTTTAACACAGGATGAGAACAGCATACATTTTCCTTTTATTCCAAGAATAGGACAGTAAGCAGAATTATGTGAATTAATATATGTACATATATTCCTCCCCAAATCCCACCGATTTATACTGCATATTAGTGCATATATGTCCCGCAGTTCTGTGCAGTTCTTCACCAGTCGAACTTGTTATCTTTAAATTTGGTTTGTCCTACTCCAATTTCCTATTGCTCTTTTTGGAGAATGTATGTAAAAATATATATATATAAAATATAATCACCTTCAGTGGTTTCTGTTGACATTAATTTGGGAAAAAAAGGAGATAAGCAACAGTGTGGCTTAAAAATCTGCATTTGAACCTGAATATTTCTTGTTAGGCCTTAAGCCCGAGCCCCCAATCTGCACATGTTTCGGTGAGTTAATTCCCTGTTGCTGAGCAGCACACATTCTCTGTAAAAGCAAGCCACCTTCTGTTGGTGTGGGTTATAATTGGCAGAGCTTCTTACCCCTTGCATGCAGAGCACAATTAATGCTTTCAATGTTTCTTTGATTAAAAATGTACGATGAATGGGTGAAATATTAGGAAACAGTTTGATTCTTTGTCTTTGTGTTAATCTGTTCTTCACATCTTGATTTTCTCAATCCTTCAATCCCTCGTCTTATTTCATTAGCCATGGTAATGGCTGTTGCTGTGATTCTTGTTTTTTGTCATTCCTTTTTCCTTTTTAGTCATTGCCATAGATATATAGGGGTTGGTGTACAGCAATTTCTCAGCCTGTGCTATGTGCATCCACTGGATAGTTATAATCAGGCCAGTGAAAATACATTTGTTAGATGACAGAATTGAAAGATTTTAAATTGGAAAATTGTTTAGTAAATGAGATCAGGGCTATCCAGCATTTTAACTGCTGGGGCCCCGTATTAAAAATTGTAACATGTCCAGCTTGTGTAATCATTGATACAATATAGAGTATCGCTCCATCAATACAAACTGTTTAAAAAAAACACACAAAAAACAGGGATGTCTAAGTGATCAGTTTAATAATTTAATTTTGTTTTCATTTAATGTAAAATGTTGAGTGGGAAGTTAAAAAATTATTTACTTTTTTTTCCCTCTCTAGGATGTATTCCTAATTTGCTTTTCACTCGTCAGCCCGGCTTCATTTGAAAATGTCCGTGCCAAGGTAAACTCCCAGGGTGCTTTTAATACGATTGTGCAGATGTTTATATGCAGTGTGCTGGGTGGTTCTCTGGGGTGAGAAGTTCATGGGGCACTCTAAGCTTAATGTAAACTTTGCAAGTGACTTGTGTTTATTAGACTGGTGGCTCTGATCTTTAATAGGGAATGTCATTGGTTAGGGTGTTCCATGAGTACATGTAAAAACTGTACATTTTGATGTATTTAACTTTTTTAAATATTAAGTGACAATAGGAATGTAGTTTCAGATTGTTATCCTTGCCTTTTAAAAAATGGCATTTAAAACAGCCATGGCATTTAATGACCATCATATAAAATTTCCCAGGATTCTTAACTCCTCCCAACTTGCTGTTAGAGGATCCTGAAGATAGGCAGAAAATTGTGGTCAGGGACACATGGAATCCATAAAAACAGGAAATACTAGTGTAAACGATCAGTATCGATAACCGTTAGTCTTTTTAGGTTTCATTTCTGAATTTTGTGAGGTCTATTGCCAAGTCTAGATTTTGGTAAAATATATTGTGCTTTCTATTCATAGTGAACTTTTTTCCTTCCTCTTTGTATAGTGGTATCCAGAGGTGAGACACCATTGCCCTAACACACCCATTATTCTCGTGGGCACCAAACTTGATCTGAGAGACGACAAAGACACTATTGAGAAACTGAAAGAGAAGAAGCTTACGCCCATCACCTACCCTCAGGGCCTTGCCATGGCAAAAGAGATTGGTATGAAAGCTTCTATACTGTTTTTTTTTTTTTTGTTTGTTTGTTTTTTGTTTTTTTTGTGTTTTTTTTTGTTTTTGTTTTTTAAACACACAACCTAGCATGCTCTGTCCTCCATGTTGAAATATGCTTACACCTTAAAAAAATAATTAATTTGAGAAATCCTCTGTAGCTTTAAAAAGTATTTTAGAGCAAAAACAAACACATGTAACTAGTGTAGAACGTGTGTGCACTATTCCGTGCAGTGTTTCCTGTATGTCTTTCTGTTAAACTACCCACTCCTTCTACCTCAGCCACCCTTAATTTATTCTTCCTAGGTACATTTTTTTTTTTTCTTTTTTAGCGCTCCCTCAGGCAGTTTGTTTCCCCTCTCTGATACTTGTGTGGCTTTTTTATTTTATTTATTTTTTTTATTTTTTTTAGCATGACAGCCCAGTTAATAAAAAAAGGAAAATAACACTTATGTGCTATTGGTACTAGGGCAAATTAGTTGTATAGAGAAGCTGAGACAAAAGCCACATCCCCGGTCTCTATTACGTAAGTTCCTGCAGTGGTGGACATCTGCCTTTGATCTCCAAGCACTCAGCTGACTCTCAGCCAGCACTCATTTTGGATGGTTTAGAATATATTTGACAATCTCTCTTCTTCCCACAGGTGCAGTGAAGTACTTGGAATGTTCTGCACTTACACAGAGAGGTCTGAAGACTGTGTTTGATGAGGCCATTCGAGCAGTCCTCTGTCCACCACCAGTCAAGAAGAAGAGGAGAAAGTGCCGTATTTTGTAGATGTTACGCCGGTCACCCTGAGCTTGCAAGCTCACATGGGATTATTGAGACTCAAAATGCCAACACCCAGCCCTATTTGTAATAATTCATTTTTTATTTTTTTTTTGTCTATACAATCTGTCATTCTTATGGTTTTCTTCACCCTCTAAAAATGAACATATTTTATTTCCCCTTTTTTCCAAACTCCATTAAAATACCAACCTGAATAACCGATCAGTCCTATTTAGCCTTAGTTTTCCAGAAACTGTTTCCACTTGCGTAAACTAATCAAACGTTGCCAAAACAGCCACTGAACCCGGTTAAATATTTCTGTTCTTTAAGCGTTAAGCCATTAACCTTTGGGGTGTCAGAGGTGAAAGGCAAGGTGTTGCCTCTAACCCCTACAACATGCAAAGAATTTTTAAAATATATATATTAAAGACATGTGTCGTCTTACTCCAGTTACTTGTTTTTGTTTTGTTTAAAAGAAATAAATATGTACTTGGATATGAAACTGGTGGATATGACCACAGTAGGCAGGGTGCTTACTGCGTATATTAAAACACTTTATTAACCTTAAATCCTTGTATTGCATTGTAAAATCTAAACGGTTATTTAGGAATGTTAGATCACTTGTGTATCTCTTTACTGCTTGGGTTGAAATAAAGTTAATTGGTTAAAGTGTACTAATCTGTTCCTTGGGGGGGTGGGGGAATAATAACTGTATTAAAACAGAAGTGCAAACGATTCAGATTTCTAGTGGTGTGGCAGAGAGCAGCAGTATTTAAATGTGACACTACCGCTTTGGAAACAAACTAAACATCACATGTGCTCTGAGTGCTGTAGGAAAGGTTGCTATGAGTAAGTACTTAATTTCTTTTAATTTTTTTTATGTTTAATAGGGCATTTTATTTTGGTTACCTCATTACTGGAGAGGTGCCCAGAATGGCTTGGGTTAGATTGATCTAGCTATCGTGTGCACACTGACAGATTGATTCCAGGGGTTGTAGTCAGAGCAGGTTGTGAATTCAGCATTGTGGACTCAATTTGTGTGCCTTTCTGGCAAGGAACAAAAGAGTTCTTACGGTTAATAATGGTCATTCCCACAGATTAAGATGTACAAGATATCCACGTTGGCTTGCTCGTAGAATTCTAAATCATGTATTTTAATATCTGCTATTGTAACTAGCGTTTTGTAATATCTGAAAGTTAAACCTAATACTGTTTTTTCATGTTTCCTTTGCTTAAAGGGTGCAATCGATGGCCTTTCTTTAACACTAGGTGTAACAATCATGTGGCACAGTTATTCAAATGTAGTTGGTTTGTTTTTCCCATGTATATGCTTTTGCCATTCTTCTAAAGCATATCATAGTGATAGAATGGTTATACAAAACAGTAATGAATACTAATTTTAATTATTCCTCCAGTTTTGTGAACTTCTTTTTCTTGCTTTCATGAGTTCTGTTATTTTGGTTCTGTGAGGTCTTAATTATAGAGCAAGTGTTAACAATCTGATGCACACCCCTAAACACTAGCAAACATTACAAACTGAACCTTTCTACAACTCGAACAAAATTTAAGAGCATTTACGAATGTTTAACAATTGTGAACAGTGTTTTTACATTGATCTTTTGCTAATGCAAGTTAGTGTTTTACATGCATGTTTGAATTAATAAATCCTTAAACCACAAAACTTGGACATGGCTTATTTTTAATTGGATGCATGCATCTTTCATTCTTCATCATTTTGGAATGGTCACGCGGGAAGAGAATTATGGGCTTGGGTAAAAGTAGTGCTTGGTCTTGAGCTTAATGGGGGACACTATGGTACTTATCAACCACCTATCGTTGAAATCTTCATTTTCCTTCGCATACTGATCACCACCACTTCCGATACTGCTTGTGAGCCCTCTACATTGGGAGAATAACTTTTATTTATTTTTTTAATAGTTTTATGTTAACTTAGAGGTCCAGCACACTCTCCCGATAATTGAAGTGGGTAACAGGATCATTGAAAGTGATTACGTTCTTTTACCTAAATTAAAAATATTTAACCTATTACTTCAATGTTCTGCCTCTGCCATTATAATTGCAGTTTTTGAGTTTTAGTATCTGTTAAGTGAAGTCGGTATTCAGTTTGAAACAGTGAAAATTCTGTTCTTTTGGTGGATGGTTAAAGTGATCAATTTTCTCTGTACTATTAAACTTCTTCGATGTGGCTGCTTGAACCTTTTGAGTGCATGCTCTTATAATTAGACAGCAACAATCAGAACAAGAAAATATCCCTAAAAAGGTGCATTTGAAAGGCTGTGCTCTTTCAATCAGCGAGAGATATGTTAGGTCTCAATCTTCAACTAAAGTAATTTGTTTTTCCTGGAATCTCCCAAACCAGTGGTAAATGTTGGAGGCAAGGCAAACCTTTGCTTATGATTTTAACACTTTGCGAATATAAAGTTGGCTAAATGTTTGAAAGCTTTTGGGTTAGCTCTTTTTCTGCACTTAAGTAATTTAACATGTTTTCTTTGAGTATTGGCAGGTGTGCTCTTGTTCCACTTGCGTAAAAGTGTGAGATGTAAATAAATCTGAATGCATGTACTGGATATGCATAATACACTAGGCTGTGTTCCAGAGGGATATCCAGTTTTGACCCATCTGTCAGGTGACCACATTTTTAATGGTTTGCATCTGTAACCAAAAGAATAGCCTTGAGATGAAGGTTAAGCGTAGCTATAAATATAGCACTCCCAAAGGGCTTTTTGGCATTTAGTTTGTAGTTGGAAACAGAGGAAATGTGTGGGACTATGTTGTGGAGTAGTTTAAGAATAATATTGTAGGTTGTCTAAAAGAGAAACCCTCTATAAAACAGATACCTAAATCTCGTGGACAGTTTAGACATGCTTTTTCACATGTATAACTGTTACAGGATACTGCATACTTGGCATGAACAGTAAGGGGACTGTGTAGCCTCATAAATGGATGTGCAGGAATCTGCAACAAGAAAACATTGTTGAATGGGGAAAAGGCAGAATGTTGCAAAACCTTTTCTTAAGTACTGAAATGGAGCATGCACGAAGCGCAGCTATTTTAAGCCAAATGCTATAAAATGCATATATTGTGATGTCTAGAGTGACACTGACATGTGGCTAATCATTTTAACCAAAGTATTTTGTAATTCTTAGGATTCATTCACTAAAGGGTAGTTTCAAATCTAGAACACAGCCAAGTTTGGAGAAGACTGTATAAAACGTTGAGCAGTAGATGTAAAATGATCTGCTTTTTGTATGTTTTACATGCATCTGAATGCAAATTTTTAGCTCTTTTCAGGTAAATAGCCGTGAGCTAGCTGGTTCTATATTGGGTTTAATAAACCACTGGGCGCGGTAGGAAAAATGTATTGATCCATAGGAGTTCAAAGATAAACAAAAAGCCTCCTTTCACGGCCACTGAATGTAAATTTAACATAACTTTCTGCTCATTTTGTTAACTAAATTCTTGTCTTCCATCTTTTATTTACTTACACACCTGGATTGTAATAGCTGCAGCTGAATGAATAGCTTTTAGTGAATACAAGAACTGGATTTAAATCTTTTAACTTATTAAAAAAAAAAATGTATATTCAGTTTGCTTGTATCCGCTAAACTTGACATTTTATACTTTACAGTGAAATAACACTATACAACAGAAATTCAACGAACAGGTAGATGTGGAACATCCACACTTTAAAATAAAAGACAATTGTGCCCAAATACATTTCATAGTTTTGTTTTTTTAGTAATGTATGAAAAACATATGCAACAAAGCACCTATTTTACAAGTTTTGTAAACAGCAGTAACAGTAAGCAGCTTTTCAATCCAAGTCCGAGCCATGATTATTTGTAAAAAGTACCAAGGAGCAACCGGTTTATTCAGTCATTCCGAACTGACCCTGCATATAAAGGTGTATCTTCTACACCTTTGATATGACTGGCCAGATTAAAAGTATAAAAATCATGTAATCAAGCTTGTCCTATCTATGCCCCTCACACTTTAAATGCTTTAAAAAAAAAAAAAAAAAAACACTTCTCCGCATAAGACTACCTCTTTACAGGTGGGTGATATCAACAAGACGCATGGAATAGCGGATTGATTCTTATTTCACTGTGTTGCAGGACGCAGATTAATTTAGGTAAATAGGGGCTAGTTAAAAAAAGTATGTATTGGGAGAATATTGAAGCATCATATTGTATATTCATGTTTAATGTCTCAGCCCTGGCTCATTGTTGAGCAATTAAAGATGGGTCTCAACCTGAAATGTTAGAGAACAGACATTTTAATATAAAGGGAAATGGTAACGCCAGAATGACCAGTATATTAAAAGAAAGTTCTTACATTATTTACTATCCAATTCTTCTTTTGGCAGTTTTTATTGGCAGCATCATTCGGTTTCCTCTGCTAGCAGTTACCCTAAGAGGAATAACTGATGTAAATACATCTCCAAATTAAGTCCTCAATGTTTTATTAAGTGGTTACAGTGCTTGTTGTAACCCTTTAAGTGATTTTAAGTTGTCATGGTGCCTAGAGTCTGTGTATCATGTTTTGCTATGAAGTGCTGCAAATAATGAATCAACACGTTTTCTGCCAGAGGTGTAACTCCACCACCGGCAACATTATTGAGGTGTCGCCCAGAATGTAATTCATTGGCTGAGACTGGATATGTGACTATTATTTATATCTCAGCCAGTTATCGCTATTTATATAGCGCCAACAGTTTCCGTAGCGCAGTTAATAACCGCATCACTATCCAGCTCTTGTAGAACTGCTGTTTGCACCACTAAAGCAGCATGGAGTCTCAGTACCCAGTGGGTAACAAGGTAAGAACTGGGATCAGAGTACTCCTAGAATAACTACTACAGGCTGTAAACCTGTTAGATGGCTGAGCTCTCAAGAGAGGGAAAATCCTCTGCCATGGAAAATAGGCAGGAAAAATGGCCTCTTTCTTAACTAAACATGAGAGAATCATCTGGTAACACCAAGGTTGAAAAAAAAAAACAAAACACAGAGGGTGGGGTGTCAACATTCTCTTCACAAGAAGAAGACAAAAAGTTGCCAGAGATTGACATCCTACTTCCCATTTAGGTATAAAACAAGCATTCCTTCTACATCATCCCAGTTTCTGTATCTCTGGCAAGGAAGGTTGGACCACAAGAAGAGGTAACAAAGGCCATGAAAGCCTAAGTTTGGCAAGTGCCATAAACAAACAGAAAACAAACACATTCTTGAATAAACATTTTAAAAAATGTGTTGCAGTGAATCACTGATATAAAAAGATAGAAGATATTGGGAAACAAACAATAAATATATAGGATGCGATGTACTTTTCTTTCTATTTATTTACAAAGTGGCATCCACAGATAATTTGATACGGATAAATGAGCAGATGTGTCACTAGGAAGGACAGAAAATTATGGAGTACCAGTCGGGGAAGATTAATACTGGAAACATGGCACAGTTCTTTCAAAGTATAGTCCTTTCCATAATAAATTTAAAAAAAAAACACATGGTTACATTTTAATTTGACACTTCACCCAGAAATACTACTCTTTTCAGAAGATATTTAGAGAAAATAAGTCTTCAATGTATTCAGGCAGTGAATACTGCTATCAAAATATGGGGTAGAGAAGGTTACAGGCTCAAAAAAGGGCCATGGGGACTTCCTGCTATGCCAGCCAGTCAAGTCGTTCAGACCAAGTCTGACCTAAAACCAAAAAAAAAAATTAATGTAACAAAAAGGAAGTGTCATATGAAGTGCCTTATGCAAGTCTGAGTTAAAAAAAATCCTTGTTGGAAACCAGAACAGTTCTCAGCTCAAGTACAGCTGGACCAGTGACTTATGCAAGGTAGCTTATGAGGACACTATTAACCTTTAATGCTGGACACTATAATTTTATCGGACTTTAACTACTTGTGTATATGTATATATATATGAATCTGTATATCTTTAAAATGACAAAGAAATGGAGATTAACATACCTCGGCGTGCTTGTTTTTTTCACATATATACACTGGACAAAATTATAAATGCAACACTTGTTAATGCAACACTTGTTTTTGCCCCAGAGGGGGCCCAGCACACTGCTTCTACTCGTCTCCTCTCATCCAATAACTTGTGAGACCCGCGGCCTGCGTGCCGCGCGGAGCGTTGTCATGGTAACCCTTGGCAACGCTCAGAAGGCCACGGGTCTCGCGAGAGTTATTGGAAGAGAGGAGAAGAGAAGAGTAGAAGCAGTGTGCTGGGTCCCCTCTGCGGTAACAGAGAGCCAGGGGCCTGCGGCTGCACACATAGATAGTGATATTCGCTATGTGTGCAGAGATAGAAAGTGGGGCCCAGGACCGCCGGGCCCGTGACAACCACTATGGTTGTCACCCCTTGATGGTGGCCCTGGGTGTGGCATATCAAGATGCTGATTAGACAGCTTGACTATTGCACAGGTGTGACTTAGGAAGGCCACTGTAAAATGTGCAGTTTTATCACACAGCACAATGCCACAAATATCGCAAGTTTTGAGGAAGCGTGCAATTGGCATGCTGACTGCAGGAATCTTCCCCAGAGCTGTTGCCCATGAATTGAATGTTAATTTCTCTACCATAAGTTGTCTCCAAAGGCGTTTCAGAGAATTTGGCAGTACATCCAACCGGCCTCACAACCAAAGACCACGTGTAACCACACCAGCCCAAGACCTCCACATCCAGCATCTTCACCTCCAAGATCGTATGAGACCAGCCACTCGGACAGCTGCTGCAACAACCGGTTTGCATAACCAAAGAATTTCTGCACAAACTTTCAGAAACCATCTTAGGGAAGTTCATCTGCATGCTCGTCGTCCTCATTGGGGTCTCGCCTTGACTGCAGTTTGTCGTCGTAACCGAATTTAGTAGGCAAATGTTCACATTCGATGGCATCTGGCACCTTGGGAGAGGTGTTCTCTTCATGGGTGAATTCTGGTTTTCACTGTACAGGGCAGATGGCAGACAGCATGTATGGCGTAGTGTGGGTGAGCAGTTTGCTGATGTCAACATTGTGGATCGAGTGGCCCATGCTGGAGTTATGGTATGGGCAGGCTTATGTTTATATTATTGGTTATTATTTATATAGCACCAGCTTATTCAGTAGCGCTTTACAATAAGTTATGGACAACGAACACAGGTGCATTTTATTGATGGCATTTTGAATGCACAGAGATACTGTGATGAGATCCTAAGGCCCATTGTTGTGCCATTCATCCACATCCATCACCTCATGTTGCAGCACGATAATGCACAGCCCCATGTTGCAAGGATCTGTACACAATTCCTGGAAGCTGAAAACAACCCAGTTCTTGCAGGGCCAGCATACTCACCGGCCAGGTCACCCATTGAGCACGTTTGGGATGCTCTGGATCGGCGTATTACAGCGTCCTGCCAATATCCAGCAACTTCGCACAGCCATTGAAGAGGAGTCAACCAACATTCCACAGGCCACAATCAACAACTTGATCAACTCTATGCGAAGGACATGTGTTGCACTGCATTAGGTTAGTTAGATACTGACTGGTTTTTGGACCTCACCCCAATAAAGTAAAACTGCACATTTTAGAGTGGCCTTTTATTGTGGCCAGCCTAAGGCACACCTGTGCAATAATCATGCTGTGTAATCAGCATCTTGATATGCCACACCTGTGAGGTGGATGGATTATCTCGGCAAAGGAGAAGTGCTCACGAATACAGATTTATGAACAATATTTGAGAGAAATAGGCCTTTTCTGCACATAGAAAAAGTCTTAGGTATTTGAGTTCAGCTCATGAAGAATTGGGGCAAAAACAAAAGTATTGCATTTATAATTTTGTTCAGTGTGTATATATAAAGTTTTGAAGACCACAATTTTTGAAGCTTAACACTAGCAATGGCTAAAGGGCTACCATATGTGCAGGTCATCCTAAAATCCTTGGTGGCCATCTTGCAAACTCCACTGCCCAGCAAACAACTGTGTCCAAAAGTCTATATTAAGAGGTAGAAATCCCATTGGCAGACTAGTCAGAAGAATTTCCCTGGCTACTAAACAGAAATAAATAAATATAGCAATAGTCACGTTACAATACTTAACAAAAGACCACCAAAAAATAAAACCAATGGTGGACAACTTACTTTAGTTATGGTGCCAAGTGTCCTACCCGTCACCCTGTAAGCACTCAAATTGCTTTTGAATGGATTGAGGTCTTATATCGTGTCAGCTGGGCATCCAGAAGTTCTTTACTAGGAACTTCCATTAGCTATATTGAGCAAATATTCGCTCATTTGCCAAGTGTTATCTGCAATCTTTCATAAATAGTGCGGATTTATAAGGCTATCTCTAGTTTCAAGCACTACAAGAGAGAACTGATTCCTAGTTGGGAACCTTACCTAGTATTACTATCCTTCTGCAAAGAATCATTTGAGTCTCTAAAGCATATTTTCTAATCATGCCAGCCAAGAAGTTGGAGAAACTGGAGAAGGTAGTTTTACATCCTTTTTACCTACTGCAGGTTGAGAAAAATGTGTTTCATTAAATACTTCCTGGTCAGATTAGGTTCTGCTGTTTGACTGGCTGGTTTCTCTCCTCCAGAACATACTAGACTAAGAGGTCCTTTTAAAGGTTCTAGAAAAGCTAAATCTGGATCAAGAAAAAAAAAACCTGTTATGACTATAAATCTAATAGTTGGACTCTTTACAAGACTTTTTGGGCATCACTTGAAAACACCTGGGCCTTCATAGCTTGACTAGGCAGTACCAGTTGGACATTCTGGCTGCTAAGAATGGAACTGTCAGATAAAACGTATATCAGGTGGTGGTATACTCTTCCTTTCTACTCTATACTTCTTTGAGAATGAAAAAATGTTCTGCTTACCGTGAAATACTTTTTTTTCATTGGATAAAGGGCAGTATTTAATTTTTTTTTTTGTATATTCTTGCAGTTTTCTGATGTTCTGTGATCTCTGTTTTCCAGGGTCTTCTTTAATAGTTGAATCTTATATTGGAAGGGAGGTGGAACCTTAAGGCTTAAGCTTTAAGTTCTCTCCTTGATGCAGCTACCCATCATTAAGTACTGCCTCTTATAATCTTAAAGGACCACTATAGTGCCAGGAAAACATACTCGTTTTCCTGGCACTATAGTGCCCTGAGGGTGCCCCCACCCTCAGGGACCCCCTCCCGCCGGGCTCTGGAAGGGGGAAAGGGGTTAAAACTTACCTTTTTCCAACGCTGGGTGGGGAGCTCACCTCCTCCTCTCCGCCTCCGATCCACCCCATCGGCTGAATGCGCACGCACGGCAAGAGCTGCGTGCGCATTCAGCCGGTCGCATAGGAAAGCATTATCAATGCTTTCCTATGGACGCTTGCGTGCTCTCACTGTGAAAATCACAGTGAGAAGCACGCAAGCGCCTCTAGAGGCTGTCAATGAGACAGCCACTAGAGGATTAGGGGGAAGGCTTAACCCATTCATAAACATAGCAGTTTCTCTGAAACTGCTATGTTTATAAAACAATGGGTTAACCCTAGCTGGATCTGGCACCCAGACCACTTCATTAAGCTGAAGTGGTCTGGGTGCTTTGAGTGGTCCTTTAATTACACTGTAATATATAAATATATTTAACTATATGCACTAGAAAATTCTACTAACAGCATATATGATTAGCCAAGAGCAGATTTACTACTTGTTTTATGTGCTCACAAAAATCGGGCCTATCAATTTGTTGTTGGTTTTGTTCACATAGACCTGCTTATTATTACTTTGATAAATCCCAACAGTGGAATAAATTATTTGATAGTCAATTAATCCATTGTATACATAAAGTGATAATGCAAAAACCTCCAAGCCAAAATATAATTAAAAAAAATATATATTTTTGTGAATATCTGTATACATTACATTACATACTTTTTCCAGCCGGACGGAGAGACATGTTTAACCCAGCAGCCTCTGATTAACAGAAATCAAATCGCTACGCACAATACCAGTTTTGCTTATAGCAGGAACCTAGGGACTTGTAGTTCAGTTATTAGCTGTCTGCTTATAAGAATTGGGTGAACTAAAGCTCCCAGAAGCCCACTGTCTTATTGAACGCTGGAGATTAGGAGGGAGGCACAGAAAGGGTACAGGAACTAGCATGAACAATTCATTGTATAGTGGTGAAGGTTTGACAGGGAGGCGGGTTAAAGATGCAGAATGCTGCAAAATGTTTATTTTTTTTTTTTGTGCAAAAGCTGTTCAAAAGTGGGCATACAAAATAATGTATGTAATTATTGGGACCAGAGATGGCCTACAATGTAGATCCCAAATGTGGTAGTTTGCCAGAGACATCTATTTCTATAATATCTAGGGACCTACTTTGCAGGCACCCTTATTGGGACAAAAGCCATAAAATCCATGAAAGGTTGTGTTGGTGTTGAGCATCGCTTTAAAATCCAGTTGTATATTATACTTTGATCAATCTTTTGATGAAGCATGCCTTGAACTTATCAATACCATTTCATTGGCAGAACTTCTAGAGTTATCAACCAACATTCATTTACAAACTAGATTTTACACTGTTTATTCTAGTGTTGCTGCTGTGTACGAAATCCACATAATTACTATGCCTAGCTCAGGATTTCTTAATCTGTGCTTTTTTATTTGTGCATATTTAAAAAAATCTTTTTACTCTGCTAGGTCACATTTGGAAATATGTGAGACTGTAAGTGAACGAGATCACATTTAGTAAAATCCTGGCGTGTTTTACTGGTATCCAAACAGAAGTTATATTTTATAAATTCCACATCCAATTTTGTCAGAATAACAATTATTACCGCATTAACACAAGTTCTCGAACAACTAGAACACTTAATATTTCATATTTAAAGTCGGTATTGCAGTCTAGCAAATCATTTCTTGTTGCTAGCAAGTCATTCCCGGCCTGTTGTGAAAATAGGATTCTCTCTAAAACGGTGGTGTCTTTTTAAAAATATAGACATACAAAAACATGACATATACACAAAGAGATCACACACAAACAAATAGATTTACATAAAGAGATCACACAAAAACAAATACTGGTAGATTAACACAAAGAGATCAGGTTTGAGAAAAAAACAACAAAACAAACAAACTGCCTTTACTCCAATCGCTACCTCTGGAAGGAATTTTGTTTTGGACAAGATACAATAGTGAACTCACAAATCCAGTTTAGGTTAAGGAGGGTAAGGGACGCTTGTCCTTAAAACCAAAAATATAGTGAAGAAAGATTGAGATTGCACACTGTACTTCAGTAAAATAATTCTATCCTAAATTAACAAACACCCAACACACGGACCTGATTAACATAGCAACACAATGCAAGTTCCAATGTGTCTGAATTCTAGAATTCTACTCGTGGAGTAAGGGATCATTTATTTATTTTCCTTCAAGAAGCTACAATAAGAGCACCGCAGTGCACTCATACAGGCAGAGTTATTCACTGAAGCGAATTTCTAATTTAAGGCCCAAATAATCAAGCTGAAAGTTCATAACAGGAAGGAATGGAGACTTGACCATGAATGAACCTTTCTCTAATCCTGGCCAAGGTGTAGGTAAATTGAGGAGGGTAAGGGTCCAGTGGTTCTTCCAGGAGAGACATTTTTGTAAGCAAGAAGATATACATTTCTTTGTTTAACCCCTTAAGGACACATGTCATGTCTGACATGTCATGATTCCCTTTTATTCCAGAAGTTTGGTCCTTAAGGGGTTAAACACAATGCAATATCCCTCTCAATGAAAAAGCATTATACTACATTAAATAATAGTGTGAGAAAATCTGACACAAAGTGTCCCTTTAAAAGAAGAATAGAATACAATGCAAGCACTGTTAAATAACATGCAACACTGTCAATGTACTTACTGTACGCTCAACAGGGAAAAGATATTCAAGGGTCATTCTATGTATCATAAGAACTTTTCCCTTTTTTTAGAGGCTGAAAATGTGAAAATGGTTTAAAATGTATTTGTAAAAAATGCAGCTGCTAGACCTCCTGGATCGGACACAGCAAACAGGAAGTATTTACTACTTCTATTGATGCATCAATTCTGTTCATGCAGAATACAGACGCAACTTGCGCTAGTAGAAAGGATATCTGCCTTCTCCAGGCTCTGCATGTTGCAGCACAAAGCCCAGTTTACAAAGGTGTGAGCCGAGCTCTATGTAAAACTCATAGCAGATACACATGGCTACAATCAGTTTGCAGCGCAGTTCCACTCATCCATGGAATTGCTCTATTTGGATAAACTACTTATACCATAAATTCCTGATGGACTGACGCTTATAGGATCAAATTACAAAGACCAGAATGAGCCGCTCCTGCTTAGTGGAGTCTCATCCTGAGTGTGTGGGTCTGCCTATGAAGCTTCAGAATCCTTGAAGGCGAGTATATTTTCTTTTTTTAATTTTACTATATTTTAATCCATTATCTATAAATTGCACTAGAAATTGGAGGAAGGTTGTCTTTTAACAAACCTCTGTGTTACATTTTAAAGCAGCTCTGTCACCCAGAACATACTTTTCTCAAATTGTTTACTCTTCTCTTCCTCTCTCTTAATCTGTTCTTTTCTTGTGCAATACAAAACACGGAGTAGGAACTATTTTGTCTCATGCATTTTTCCTCTGTTTGACAGATTGTGACAAAGAGTGGAAATTAAGGCAAGCTCCACTTCCTTTGTCAGGTCTCATTTTCTCACAATACTCACCTGCCCATTGTGTCCCTCGTATTAAATCTCACAATTTGGGTGCCAGCCATTTGTGTTGTTTCCATAACAACGAATAGTGCTATCATCGCAAGGAGGGAAAAAAAGGGCACACAAAGGCAGGGCTGTACAACACTACCAGCATAGTGAATATGGGCGCATCTTGGAAAAAGATCTGGCGCCGCAATCAAGGAGGAAAAAACAATCCCCCCCAAATAAACAGCAAAATGAAGAAAAACTAATTAGTGGAGGTATTTTGGATTCCCTTTCACTGGTCATGTTATATATGTAAGTTATCATATATGTTTTTGCAAAAAATAAAAATCAAAACAAAAAACCGAACCCGATGACATCAGCACTGCACACAGATTGTGTTACACCCAATAGAAAACTCAAAGGCGTTTAAAACCCCTGTAGGCATATACTCCTTATTTGAGTGTACAGGGGTTTTCAGAGGGACGCCTTTTAAAACAAGAAAAACTTGTATTTGAAAGCTTAGCGAGTCAAGGAAAATAAACAACATAATATGCAGTTACCACAAGGCTTAAATAAAGCAAAATAATGTACGCATACATTTATAAAATATATACCAGGAAAAAAAAGGCCAACCAAATAAAGAGATACGTGCTATGGGTTAATTTCAAATAAAAGCAGCATGTAAGTGGGCAGTTAAATGTGGAGAGGTAGGTCTCGTAACACACACATTTCTAAGATCAATGTGATTTTGAGTTTACTTGTTCTTTTAGGTAAACTCCAGCTTGGGTCAAAGTACCCAATATCAGTAATTTTAAACAAACAGAAAAATTAATGACACACACATGACTGAACCTTCTAATCTGGTCTCGCTAGGACCTGCATGACTAATTTTCCAGCCACCGATTATACACTGTACATAGAGTTCACAGCAGTCTGGAATCTGGAACAGATAAGAAATCCTGCTTGATACCATAACTAACAAAAGGTTTATTCAATACCTCCGAATAATGCTTCACGTCAGTTCTGGATTTAAAGGAGACCTGCTACCTTTTCCCTGTGATCATACGCTTGCTGGTAAGCTTTGTCCCTACCGTGGCAACAACCTGACTATACTACAGGCCCTGCTCCAAAGAAATTGTGTCCTTACCCCAACAGGTTTGGACATTTACTCATTTAACTACGTAGTTATCATTTATAACTAGCTGTTTAGTGAATAATTCCCCCAAATAAAAAGGTTTCCTCTGTAAGGCATCACAAAATACTTGTGGTCAGTCTTTTCGTGCCTGTGAAAGTGCAAATCAACAACTTAACATTTATCCAAAATCTTCTAATATGAGCATGTTTAGTAAGGCTATGTTTCTCTCCTTGCAGCGACAAATTTTTCAATACCCATATGGCTTTTGTAAGTCACTCAAAACAACTGCTGAGTAAGTGCTTAATGAAATGTGATGCCTTCTGAGAGATCACAGTGTCTTTTTGCAGCATGAAACAACTGCCATGCTAGAACTGGTTGTGGGAACATCACACCCACAAAAGTCTCTTTCCAGTCCTTCATTTAAGACCATCACAGGTAAAGAATAAACAATGCATGGCAATGTGCATGTGGGGGACAAGCCATGTGCTCAATTTGGTTTGCCGTTAAAAGCCTTGCGGTGTGTGACAGGACGTGCAATTGGATTTCTCGTTACACAGGCTTCTTAGAGCGTTCAGTACAATGTCTGGCATATGATCTGTAAGCATCCTAGGGCTTATATAGATACTGCCAAACGAAATTTCCTTGGACCACCTGGCACTGTATTTGACATCCGAAAAGCACAACCTAGCAATGGGAGAAAAAGAAAAATATCTCAATGATTTACACATGAATTCAATAAATGGCAGATTTATAAGGTAATCAAGAATATCAGCAATAACCACACTTGGCTTACATTCGGCTTGTGATTACATTTCCCTTTGTCTGTATTTTAGAGACAAAGCAACCCACCAAGGTGGTTAACAACCCCATCTGTAAATTTCGCCAGTTAGAACATGTATTGGACCAGTTCAGTCGCTAGATAGGAATACAGCATTTATAAAGAGGTTTCTCTGCCAAGTATCTATTCAAACAACAAGAACAGCTTTTGAATTATTTTGGGGATTTTACACCATGGCAGTTGTACATCAAACTGATGGTTGGAGTTTTTCTGCCATGCTCCACAGTTACATGGAATGTGGAAGGGAACCTTCAATGGAAGACTGCAGTAGTCAACATACAAGACAACCTGTTTTTGTCAGCAAGACAAAGCAATGGACTATTATGAAGACACAGTTGCAATAAAATTAAGCATGTACTTACCACCCAGATCTGCTGTCTGTTACGATGTGTATGATCTTTCCTGGAAGATACAGAGGAGGATGTCTTGGAGAGTCTAGAGTTGATGCCTCGTTCAGGGCACTGTAGGAAGAAGACCTGTGAACCAATAATGCTTGCTCGGCCAACAGCGGTTGTGACAAAGTCTCTTGGTTTCGGCCATCAAGTTCTGTAGGGAAGTTATCAGGATTCCCGCCAAATATTTCATACCAACATCCCCGCAGCAAGATCTGATACTGAGCAACAGAAGACGACACATATTAGTATTCCTTCATCAAGCATAGCAGAAAATGATCAAGTGTGACTTAAAGAGACAGTCCACTGCCCAAATAAAAATCACTGTTTAAATGATATACCAACAATAAAAACATGTTTGCATTTAATTGTACATTTTTACAATTGGGGTATATCTAAATACAGCTTACAGATACAGATCTCTTGTCTGCAGCCTTTGCAGCAAGCTCTAATTAACAGAAAGTTTATGACAAAGGAAAAGATCCCTCTTGGGGACATAATTGCAGTGTGTGGGCTTGGGTAGTGTAATGGTGGGTGACGAGGAAAGTGTATAACTGGGGTGAATGGTAGAACTGTGGCAGAGGTGATTGGATTATAGCTAATTGATTTGGACTGGTGCTGTGGTGATTGAATTATTGGTAATTGATTTATACAGGGGATTTTGGTAATGTGGCTGCTGAGAGATGTACTTGGTAATAAAAATATATGATGGTTGGGAGGAATACGGCTGCGGGGAAATTTACTTGATAAGTGGGGAATCGAATTAGTTTGGATAGGGGGTGCTAGAGAAAACTTTGCCTACAGGCACTTGTGATGTAAATCTGGCCCTGAGGCAGGTGCTCTAAGCAAATGTCTGCCTCTTGATTTAAGCTCCACTGAGCTAAAGAAGAAACCGAGATTTGGCAGTGTTAACATTGCTCCCTAAGGACACCTCTAAATAGCCAATAGACACTAAACTGTTGAGGAGCCAGTGGCTGTGGTAATTTAGCATCATGCTATTTTCACAGAAACAGGGAGACACCTAAAGGTTATAATCTTGCACTGGGATAGGATGTATTAATGAATGGTAGATTGCATTAACAATGTCTTCACCTCCATACATATAATATGATGGCTTAATCCTGCAGCCTTTTACCTATAAATACCTAAAGAACATACTGATTATTCATTAAAACCATGCTATATTTTGTAAAGGGCATGTAAATAAAATGAATCTACCTTGGGACGATTGCAATTTACGACCATCCTTAGAATCCTAGTCTTTAAGTCTTCCATGTTGGGCATGCTCAATCTTGAAAAACAAACAGATTTATATAATGTTACACCATGACCTCAGAGCAAATAATTCAATTATTTAAATACCTGGAGCCAAACAAAATACAGGAATATTTACCTTGGTACAAGATCCTTTCCAAGTATTATTGATATGATGAAATTCTTTGAATAGTCAGCAAGGCCTTTGCTAGAGACAAAACGATAAACAATACATAACGCATTGAGAAAAACAAAGATTTTAATAAGAGAAAGTTAGCCAAGTGGCCTCATAAAACATTTCCAGTTGGTTTCAAATATATGTTTTCTTCAAGATGGCTGTATGTACATTTATTCTAAAATTCCTATACTGATAAACACAGAGAGGACTGAAGAAGCCCTTTTGAATCTCCAGTGCCACACAAATCAAAGGGATACTGTAAGCAGCAAAACAACTTTAGCTTAATGAAGTGGATTTGGTGTATAGATCATGCCCCTGCAGTATAACTACTTCAATATCTGCCATTTAGAATTTTTTACAAAGATCTAGGGAACTGCTTTACTCAACACCAGTTTGAGCTGTACCGGACAAGGCATGTACAAACCAAGAATGACTGACAGTGATTTAGGTCACTTTATTAACGGTGTGGTTTCAAAGGAGACATTGCATTGCAGATAATCTAACTTATCACATGTAAGAACCAAAGTGTAGCAAGCTCAAAGAACAGTTACTCATTCACCTAATCTACGCAAGCTGGTAAAACAAACAGGAAGTACAATGTATATCATATTACAATGGCAGATTACAGTGGAGACTGTAGAAAGGGCAGAATACAGCATTAATGTTAGGATTCTTTAATGGATAACACTAACATGCTTTTTAACTAAATGGGTAAATTGTCGGCAATTAGACTAGTGATTTGGAAATATCGGACCGAAAATTGCTTAACTGGTAAAATGATCTAACTCAATTAGGTTTCCTATTTAAGCCTACAGCTGGAAAGTCAACTGTCCGTTCCCAATAATTCACATTTAGGGAAATATCCTGTAAGCAATGAAACTCATGAATTCACAATATACAAGAATTGTACCCAAGATACAGGTTAAAAACACAAAACAACATTACAGATTTCCGATAAAGGAAAATAGTACACAGTTCCGCATTCCTTCTTACCTCAGTAGTCCCCCTGGTGGTGAAAAAGCATAACACTTCAAAGTGGGAAAGGAATTCCGAAGCATAATTGCCAACATGGAGGCAGCACCAGCTCCTAGGCTATGCCCAACTATAACAAGCTTGTACTCCTATGTGAGAGAGATGGCATGTGTGATATAGGAACAGGTTCCTTTAAGATTTGGCTTGAACATAACACTTTACAATAATAAACAATGAAGTTTCATTATAAAAAAAATTAAAAAGTACATCGTGAAAAGGTTGAGTTGAACAATTTTGTAAAGAAGGGGTGTACTGATTTTTAGTCGCTTTAGACAGGGACAATAAAAGTAAATACAATTAAAAAAAATGCATATCTCTAAACTGTAAGACTTTATATCTAAACTGTAATACTAGGGGTTACAAGATATTACCAGATGGCTGCTATATTAATAAACTGCTTAAACACAGTAGAGTTCCCTCACTAAACAGTGAACTGAAAATGGAATTGGAAAAAAAAAAAGAAAAGTTACAAATGTAGACCTAAATAGCCGATATTAAAAAAAATATATACACATTATATATATATATATATATATATATATATATATATATATATATATATATATATATATATATATATATATATATATATATTCTCAGCAACTCCACCATAGTCACAGCTTGGCTCTGAAGAATGCAAATCTATTTTCAATACACCACCATTCACCGCTTAAGGAGTAAACCCCAATGGGTCGACTGTTGGGAGAATTTTGCCATTTTGGGTTATTTATATACATTTTAGGCCAAAATAATTAAACTCGGCTGGATTTGTAATCTTGGCCTTAAATTGGCAATCCCTTGTAATTTCATTGCAATTCCCTGTTTTGTGAATAACACTGAAATAGTACATCTGGATAAATGTTAACTGAATCTGCACTTCTCATATTTACTAAAAGCAAACCAGGTTACCGTTTTGTAGTATAATGCTCAAAACCAGTAATACACCAACATGTGATGCCTACATAATAAACAGGATTGGAACACTCTTTTTCCTGAATTTCAGCTGGATTAATTTAAACAAATCTGGCTGAAAGTAAATTCACAAAATAAATGCACCTATTTTTTTGCAGTTGGAACTACAGAAATTCACAGTATTTGGCCATTGACAGCACAAGCAGCCAGTAGTCAAATAGTTAAAATAATAATAGGCGAACATTTATCACTTTAATAAACAAATAAAATAAACAAAGTTAAATAACCTAGATATCTTTTAACTGGGGTATATTGGGCCCTTCTCTGAGGTTATCCTTTCTACAGTGGAGTTATTTGTCATACTGACGTGAACAGCAGGTTTTTGTAACAATCGCTTCTATTAGCTGAGATAATGCCAATTCGGTCTCATTATCACTGGATTTGAGTGTCCGCTCGAATGTTTCCATTATTTGGTTTTCAGATATCCAGACAGGGGGGGAAACAAAAATCTAGTCCACATTCAAAGTTATTGTAAATTTCAGACATTGTGCATGGGTGCCACTGCTGCTCATTCAAAATGTAAATCAGTATAATCATTTCAGATTTACAAACACAATGCAGCAAAAGAAAATTAAAGTATACAGCAGAGGGCAGTAGGGAGCAGAATACCAAGAGTAGAATATTCAAAACTTTATTGCTTCCAAGACAATCCTTATTTTATATTGTATTCTCAATTATTTATATATGGTAAATAGAGGATCTCTTACACTAACTATATAAAATTATGGCTAAGATATCTGTATGGTTAGCCCTACTAAGTTCTATGCTTTAAGACATTATAGTGGTAAGTAAGGGAACCAGTCGCGGTTACATTCAAAAACTTGTAATATTTGCATTTGCCCATAACAACAAGGCTATATGAAAAGGTAGTTTCAGCTGGAACAAACCAGGGAGGCACTGGATCAATGAAATGAATGCATTCTGTGATCAGAGAACACTGTCTCTTCACTAAACAATTATAAGAAATATATCACAGCCTAACGTAACACCCTTAGCACCTGTATCAAAAACCTCCTCAGGACAAGAGCAGGTGACATTTTGACCCCCAGTTAGAGTCTTCCTCAAGCCACTGACTGGCTCTGACTATGAGCTGAAACATTGCCTCTGTTTCCAATAATAATGTGCCTTTGGATTTACCCTTTTGGGTGCCGGACAGGTTTCACTCCTATAAACTCTACGTATATGGACAGCAGCGATCCGAATCTGTGAGGAACCTCTGGAATATCCCTCTGCTTAGTGTGTGCAGTCCTATGTGTTCGCAGTAGCAGGTGAGCCCTGAGATGATTGTCTTTCCTAAATGACACTACCAATCCAACTATGCACAAATACATCCACTACAATAGTGTAAACAGATTAAAATAGTATGACAGACGATTCTCTTACCACTCACGTTAGCATTTTGTCCCAGTATTAGGACATTTTTTTGGTTGATAGTGTCACAATAAAGGGATAGTCTGAATACCATATACACTACTACTGCTTTAGTGGTTATAGTGTCAGAAGTCCCCTGACGCCGTCTTATGGTAAGCTGCCAAAGCATTAACAAACGGTTTGGCACTTACCTGACTGTGGGGCTTCCTTGGTCCTTCAAGTCTGATGCGATACCCTAAAGCCAAAGTTCCTACTAACTCTGGAGATTATTGATTGGCTGAGTGTGTCAGTACGAAACTGAGGGATTGCTTTCTCAGAAATTCAAATTTGTCGAGTTCACCACTGTTGGCTCAAGAGATGCCTGCTCTGGCAAGGAGTACTACAAACACGTGGAAGAAAGACGATTTCCACATACAGGAGTTTATGTTTAATATCTCCTTGAACTGGCTACTTATTGGTTTTATACTCCCTGCTGCCCTCTGCTGTATACCTTTGTTTTGCTGTTTTGCTTTATATGGAAGGTATAATCATTCCTGATGTCAATTCCTGTGACATTTCATGTAAGGGACATTTACTCCACTGCCAACCTTTGCTGCTATGAATTGGTATGGTCTATGTGGAGCTACACTTCACGTAGCCATACTCTGTTGAAGATATTATAAAACATTTCATTCTTCTCTGTATTCTTCTGTTTTTAAAAGGTGTAATTTTACATGGCACAAGTTTAGTGTACAGCAGCAACCCCCTCCCATACCATGTTTTCTGTGATTTCTGTATAATTAGCACACCAGTTCACTATTGTTTTCTTTCTTTCAATAGCCACAAACAGCCATTGCAACCAGTTAATCATGTTATGTTTTCATATGAATAATGGGTACAATATGCATTCAAATAATTATAGCCGTGTAATTAAAATATATCAATTAACACAAGGTTTTGTGATCAGCTCAGCCAGCCTCAGAGCATCTTTGCAAATGTTCCTCACAAACATGTGGACGTCCGATTTCTCCATTGATGTTCCAAAACGAAAGCATTAAGGCAGTTTGCAAACAACTTTACAAACTGTGAGATATAGCGTTGTGATGTGACTATAACAATGTTACCAGAGAATACTTACAGGAGCGATGGTGAAGGCCTGGTTCAAAATGCCATCATTGATAAGTCTTTCGTAAATGTAACGAGCAGCTTGTGTTATACCCTAAATAAACACATGAAATAAATAAAGAAAATACATTTTTAAAGTGGAAAAGCTTTAAGCTTCCAGGAGTTAAATGCAGATGGCACTGAATTACATCTTACATTTAAAAAAAAAAAAAAGCCATTTAACGATGAAAATGTATTGCTAACAATGAATACTGGAGTTTGCACAATCACTCGGGGCAACACATTCCTTGGGCCTGCTTAGACAAGAGAACTTCATTCTAGTCATACATAACATATTTTGCAGCTAGTTCCAGATTCACACAAGGACAAGGATGAATACGGTCAAATTAAAGGGACACTATAAGTGGAGTGTCCTTGCTCCCTTAACCCTGCAATGTAAAACAATGCGGTTATTGGTGACGCTCGGGCAGAGGGACACTGTAGTGCTAGGAATATAGCTTTGTATTCCCAATACTATAGTGTTCCTTTAACCACACACAAAAATCAAAAAAAAAAAAAAATGGTTTTGAAACTTATGATTCTGTTATATTAAGGATATAGTGACATCCAGAGAATTTAATCAACTATTTATTGCATCAAGTACGAGGTAGGTGATGACGTGGGTGTTAAAGGTTTTTGTATTTTGTGAACAATAAGTTGATTCAAGTAATATTGTTGAGGGGGAGGACACATAACAGGGTGAATGAGTGAAAAAGTGAAAGAGAGATTTAAATATTACACTGAAGACGAGTGTATGGTTAGCTGAAAATTTAGCAATGCCACCATAAGAGAGTATTTGAATATCTTAATAATGGACAGGGAAGTGGAAACAGAAAAGATACGTTCAGTGTGCCAGAAAAGCAAGATAGTCGCTCATAATTATTCTGAGTAAACTGTGGCTTAATAGAGAAGTAAAACAAGAGATTACAAATAAGAAAGGGGCATTTAAATCGGACAAATCAGAGGGATCCTATATAAGATATAAGGAAGCCAATAATGCTTGCAAAAAGGCAATTAAAGTGGCTAAACTAGAAAATGAGACTTGGATAGCCAAAGAATGCAAAACCAACCCCAAAAAGGTTTTCAAGTACATCAATTCTAAAGAAACAAAAATTGAACACTGGAAACAGAGATGGGTCTGTTAGTTAATGAAGACCAGGAAAATTTTAAATAACTATTTTTCTTCAGTATATATTAATGAGGATCCTATGGCAAGATCCTATGACAAGAGATGCAAATGATTGTTGCAAAAATCTGACAGATAACTTGTGATTGGATGATTAGAGAAAATTAATGTAAATAAAACTCCGGGGCCTGACAGTATTCACCCACAAGTACTTAAGGAGCTAAGTGGGGAAATAAGTGAACCTCTGTATTTAATCTATTAAGATTCTTCTGTTTCAGGTATTCAGATACTGGAGGATTGGAGGAAGGAAGATGTTGTTTCTTATATTTAAAAAGGGTTCTAAATCCCTGCCTGGAAATTATAGACCTGTGAGCATAACTTCTGTGACTGGGAAAATATTTGAAGGGCTATTAAGGGAGAAAATTCAGGAATTCGTTGGGAAGAACTTTGTTATTAGCAATAATCAGCATGGTTTTATAAAACATAGGTCATGTCAAACTAACTGTGGCGGAACCAACCTGGCACTATGCACTGGAGAAGCCTGGTTGCTCGCCTGCTCCCTTTAGACTATGGCCCTGCAGTTCAGACCTGTTATTTTCCCTGCTGAAAGGTTTATTCGTGCCTTTCTGCCAGGGTGTTCGGTAGATTCCATCTACCGAACAAACTACCGAACGATGGACCACCTGGGAACTGGAGTGTGCCGTCAATTGACCGCCCAGAAGCTGCGGTTAACCGCATCTTAATTGATGAACGCTGGGTGGCATTTGTTCGGTTGCCGAACACGTGGCAGCCGCCACTTTACCTCCCGAACGGCCAGCGGTGTTCAGTGCCCAAACTATGGAACTGAAAACGGACACTTATTGGCGCGAACACCGCTGAGCCGCCAGCCTCCTTACCTTCCCATTCGGTAGCGGAACCGAATGACTGTTCATTCGGTAATTTAACTGGATGAACAGCATCACCCCAGATAGCTAAGCCATGGAGCCTGTTCATGTAACGAAAGACTATGTGAAAGATTTTGGCTCCATGGCGATTGAACTATATGTATGTGATCTGAGCGCCATCCGGTAATAATGTGCGCTCAGATCTAAGCTATCTGGGGATATGTAGAATGTCTATGTTTTATATAATAAATGTGCGTAATTTTATGTCTTTTACTGAAAATGTGTGTAATGGAGTTTTGCCTCTGTCCTTGGAGATAATTGGATTACTTCCCAATTATCTCCAGGACAGAGAGGAGGGATTGTGATGCATTGTGGGATTGTTGAAATGTCTGTGATTGGTTCTTGTACCCTTTGTGTCCCAGTCTCCCATAAGGTCCCCTAGGGGAGTGTCCACCAGGTGGGAGACCTGCATAAAAGCCGGGCAGTTAGCCCCAGTAAACCAGATTCTGCTTAACCCTCAAAACGAAGTGTCGTCTCATCTTTGGGGGGATTTGCTGTGTGCTGTTAGAGACTGATTGCCAGGAGTGTAAGCCGCTTGGGGGCTTTTCCTGTTCGTCTGCTAACAGCTATTCGTGTGTCTCCAGTTCGGGAGTTTGGAGTGCTACTTGGTATGCAGTTCGGGAGGTTCGAGTATTCCCTTGGTTGCAGTTCAGGAGTTGGTGAATTTGTGGGTTTGCAGTTCGGGAGATTGGTGCTTGCAGTAGCTGTCTGTGCAGCTGAGAAAGGGGAATATCGCCTAAACGGATTTTAACCTCTTGTGTGCAAAACGGTCCGTTACACTAACCTAATTGCATTCTACGAAGAAGTAGAAGTATAGATCAGGGTGTTGTGGTGGATGTGAATTTTGCCAAGGCATTTTATACGGTTAGACACAATAAATTGGTCTTCAAACTAAAATTAATTTGTCTAGATGAATATTCTTGTTCTTGGGTATAACATTGGCTTAAGGATAGAGTACAACGAGTTGTCAATAATGGTACATTTTCAAGCTGGACAAAAGTGGTGTATGGAGCCACATCTATTTTTGACATATTTATATATGATCTTGAAATAGGCATATTTTAGTGTTTGCAGATGACACAAAACTTTGTAAAGTAATAAAATGTGAGCAGGATATTGCTTTGCTGCAGAGGGATTTAGATAGATTGGGGGATTGGGCACTAAAATGGCAGATTAAATTTAATGTAGAGAAATGCAAAGTTATGCACTTTGGGGTCAAGAATGCACAAGCAACTTACACCCTAAATGGTAGTGAATTAGGGATAACAAGACACAAGAAGGTTTGGGGAATTGTTATAGACAACAAATTAAGCAGAAATATGCAATGTCAATCTGCAGTTGCTAAAGCCAGTAAGGTTTTGACATGTATAAATAGGGGCATAAATTCTCAGGAAGACAATATAATTTTGCCTCTTTATAAATCGCTGGTAAAACCACACCTTGAAAATGCTGTGCAATTCTGGGCTCCTGTTCGAAAGAAAGATGTCATGGCACTAGAAAAAGTGCAGAGACAAGCTACAAAATTGATAAAAGGAATGGAGCATTTTAGTTATGAAGAAAGGTTAAAAAATGTAAATCTCTTTCGTTTTGAAAAATGGCGCCTCCGAGGGGATATGATAACATTATACAAATATATTCGGGGCCAGTACAAACCATTATCTGGAAATCTATTCATAAACAGGGCTATACATAGGACATGAGGTTAATGCATTTAGGCTGGAAGAAGGGAGATTTAATCTAAGGCAAAGAAAAGGTTTTTTTACAGTAAGAACTATAAGTACATGGAATTATCTGCCTGAAGAGGTGGTTTTATCAGAGTCCATACAGATATTTAAATAGCAGTTGGATAAATACTTCCAAAAACATAACATACAGGGATATAAATTCTAATTAGTGGGGTAATAGCTGCTTGATCCAAGGAGACATCTGACTGCTATTTTGCAGTCAAGAAGGAATATTTTCATAGTTTGCTGCAAATATGGAAGCGCTTCAGACTGGGTTTTTTGCCTTCTTTTGGATCAACAACAAAAACATATGTGAGAAAGGCTGAACATGATGAACGCAAGTCTCTTTTCAGCTATGTAACTATGTATTTTAATGTGTACACTTAAATATATTCAAGAGGTGAGTTAAACACCATGACCACTACATCTCATTATGGTGGCATGATTCTTTGGGTTTTGTTTCTAAGTCATCACTTAATATTACTACATATTTCTTATTATTCTCTAATCTTGCTTGGTTATAGATTGTAGTCATCAGATTATTGATTTTAGGTTTGTTTATTCAATGAACTTGATAGAAATTCAGAAAACAATGAATTAATAATAAAATCTATCTATATCTTGGTGAGAGCTCTCTTTGCAATTACACAAAAATATGAGGCTCTCAGACCTTCTGTTTTGGCTTAGAAAATGTGAAAGAAACTTCAGTATTATCCAACCAACCTTAGATTGTAATAAGAGGAAAGCACTGAATATGTTGCATCTTGCTCTTGCAAACCATCACTGCCATGCAAGGTTGGAGCCCAAAGGCTCTTCACAACAACCAGAATGAGCTTTACGAATTGTGGTGATTAGAGTTTTAGAGTGTCCTTTAAAAAACCTTTGAAGATTTCCTTTGAGTCTCCTGTCTGAACCAAAAATCTTCACAACCATCACAACATCTTTATGACGCCAATGTATCAATATGGAGATAAAATAAACACATTACAGAATAAAGTCAGGACTATGACTGACCTTGTGAGAATAGCAATCTCCCTGCACCCCATCAATGTGAAGATCCTCACATTCTGCAGAGAGGTCAGTCAGAACATCCTGCAGATAAAAGTATTTACTACAGTTAATATGCATACGCACAGAAAAATAATTATTTTTGAAACAGCTGATCTTCCTTTAGTATCATTATGTACTTATACATATACACATTGAGTCCACATTTTGAGTGTGTGTGTATGTGTATCAATAGAAGCAGGGGGTCTACCACACCAGACAAGACCCAAGGTGCAGATTGTGTAAGAGGCCACTGAGACACATCAGCACATAGTAACCAGTTGCAAGATGTTAGCAGGGACAGCATACACTGAGAAGCACAATCATGTTGCTGGGATTGTGTACTGAAACATCTGCACAGAATATGGATTGGACCTGCCTATACCCAGATGGGACTTACCACAAAGGGCAGTTGAGAATGACAGGGTTAAGATCCTGTGGGACTTTCAGATCCATACAGACAAGAAAGTGCTGGCCAACCAACCTGACATTGTGGTGGTAGACAAGGAACAACGGACTATAGTAGTGGTGGATGAAGCAATACCCAAAGACTACAACATCAGGAAGAAGGAACATGAGAAGGAAAACAAAGGACTGAAAGAGGAGCTAGAAAGGATATGGAAAGTAAAGGCAGTTGTAGTTTCAGTTGTGATAGGAGAAGTCGGTGCTGTGACTCCCATATTAAGGGAGATGGGACATCGGAGATCAGAAGAGTGCAATTCTAGGAACAGCTAAGATACTGCGCAGAACCCTCAGACACCCAGGCCTCTGGTAGAGGACCCAAGAATACATACTTTACATTTTGTTTTTTAAAATGCAGCTGATCTTACTTGGGAGTTGCATGCTCCTATTCCCAAAAGTGCATTCTCCCTTACATAGATTTAGTGCCTGCCTTTAGTTATGTTTCCTGCCTCCTTAAAAGAACTCGGTAATCTTAAATTGGGAGCAGGCGCGATAAGGGGGGATGCTGGGGGAGCGATAGTGCCAGTAATACAGCTTAGTATTCCTGGCACTATACGATCCCTTTAAATAGAATAAAGGTAACTCAATTTATGACAATTTATAACTAATGCTGGGACTATGCAGCCCTATCCCACTTGAAATCATCCACCATAATAAAGATGCCCTCAGTGTTTCTCTCTGAGGAGCATCTAATTGGACAACATGACCAATGTGTAGTAATCCACCAATCCAATGCACCTCTAGAGAGAAGCATTAGTCACATTCAGCAGGTACACATGTTGCGCATAATGAACATAGATTCCTTAAATTTTTTTAAAGATGTGCCACAGTGGTCCTCTGTTTCTAATAAACACCAATGTTTATATTATCAGACAAAAAAGGCAACATTCTATGCACCAAAACCACTACATTAAGATGTGGTTTTGGTGCTCAGACTGCTCCTGTAGACACAGCTGTAATAGATTGCTAAGCTTGCAAGGGTATCTATCAAGGCCCCAAGGCAACCTGCTCACATTGCTTTTATTTACCTACTGACCTCTGCAGCCAGTCATCTTGCCACTTGTGACCTCTCAGATTAACCCCTGCCTCCCAGCATGTGAGCCAGATAAACTGCAGTCCAATGTTAACACATTCCGGGTGGAGACTTGCATTGAAACACTCAGATTCCATCTCATAATATTCCCACCTGCAGCTCAAGCATGAGAGTTTACAGAGAAGGTTGTTTAATGTTTGTATGAATGAACGGAAATGGACACACGAGCTGCACTGGGCCTAAGGCATCAAAAACTCTGAACACATCAATAATGTCAGGAGAAATAAAACGTTCATTATTAGACAGGGACAAACGAACAGCATCATGACTGACATTTGTCCCGTTTAATTACGTACCTCAAGAGACAATGTTCCTCTTACAGACACTAGGATGGCTTCAGTTTTATGGTCAAGAGCCACAAAAAAGGGGATTTCATAAATCTAAGAGTAAAAGAAGCAGTGACAGTGAGCTGTAAAATGAGTACAATTAATCCCAGTGCTGTGTAATGTGTTGGCAGAGTCTGGTAGTCTTACCCGATTGTGAAAACTGATATGGATAAAATCCCGGTACTGGAGTCCTGTGGTTTTCAAGATGGACGCAAAATGGAAGTTCAAATGATCACCCCCAACAAGATCATACTGTGCTGTCCTGTGTGTGCAACTGTGTAAGAAAAAGGACAAGGAAACAAAATAGAAACATAAAGTTATTCACTGAATTCAGAAATGTAGCAAATTAAAATTCACATGAGAATACGGAGGTAAAAATAACGTACCTCCCGGGGCGGGGCCTGACCACCATGGCGGACGGTCGCAACTTGCAGGAGCTCCCTAGCAAACTACATGCCCAAGCGTCGTATCGAGACTCCTGCCGCTCACAATCTGACCCTAAAAAGGGACTTAACTGTCACAGACAACGGCTGGAGTGTTCCGGACCGGAAAACCTGTATGCCGGCCGCCAAAAACTTTGCAGAGCGGTTGCTTCCTAGTGAGGGCTCCGGGCGGGAGAAACGGCCGATTTCCCGTCCCCTGTCCCCAGCCAGCGGCTCAGAGATGCAGACCTCAGCAAGGGCCCGGGGCCAGGGAGTTTCCTCGCCTCACCTCCACTCAGCAGCAGGACCTGGAGCCCTCAGAAGCCCAATCCACTGCGCCTATCTCATAGCCGACCTGGTTAGAGACTGCATGAAGTGGCCCATTAGAGGCATTGGCTGACTCTCTGGTCCTCCGAGACTGGCCCTTCTTAACTGTTGCCGAACCATCTACTACTGCCAACCACCCTTACCACTCCTATGGACGCTCTCCGGACCCGCAGACCAGAGAATCAGGTTGTGACGGACGAGGGGACATGCTATGCCCCACAACTGAGTACCGGACTGTTGTTTGCCCTTGTCTTACCATTTGCTAATTATTATTGCCCAGGTTGATGCCCAGCTCACGTAGGCTCTGTCCCCTACGCCCCCACAGCCACATACCAATTACTGCAGCCCACACAGGACGCCAGTGTCCGTGGTTAACCCGGTAAAATAACAGATGACTCCCTACCCACAGACAGATAGAATCATAACACTTATGTAGCCTAATCACCCGCCCACTCATCATGCCTAGGTTTCCCCAATAAGTTAGACATGCTACCTATACACAGGGGGAAGATAAACCATGCCACTATCCGGTCTGCTACAGTGATGCTAGTAAAACCCATTGTAGCTAGATAAGAGATGGTTTATTAAGCACTTAGTTACCGTTTGTATTCTTTTGAACCTTACCGAATTTCCTATTCTCTAATCACTAGCCTGAACATGCATTCATTCCCTGCATACAGTTCTTCTTGCTATCAGTTACTACTAACAATGTGCAGGGCTGCTACATAAATCTAAGGTCTAAGCATGACTACTATATAATAAAATGTGCATTTCTCTAATATGCCATGACAATGTATAACTGTTTTGTCGGTTTGTTTTGCTGTCGTGGCGATGCAGACCAGTTTGTAACTCTCCACACGAAAAATAAATAATTTTTAAAAATAAATAAAAAATAACGTACCTCGCATCTATTCTGCGCTTCTGGGTTGTGGGAGACCAGATTCCCCATAAAGCACAGCACACGTGTGTCATTTAAAGTGTTCACACTATTCAAAGAGCACTAGTTCAGTGTTTTAACATCACTCTGCAAATGTGCTGTTCTCAGTGGGGCTGTCAGCCTGGGGTGCAATCATCAAAATATCCACCATATGACTATAGTGGATTTTGAGAATTTATCCAGATTACCTACATAGCCTAAATCTTGCCATTCAAGTTTCAATTAACTAAAATGTCAAGTTTAGTAAATAATCATGTTTGTGCATATTCGATCAACAAAAATCCTGCTGTAGTCGTTTTCTAAACAATTTGTCTCTTGCTAAGAACAGGGATATTTACTAAAGAGAGAATTCAAGGTGAATATCAAATTTAAGTCCAAAGTAGCCAAAATGAAAGCATAGATGACTTAGAGGATTTTTCCCAGTTCCTCTACTTTGGCCTAAGGTTTGATATTAATTTTGAATTCTCACTTTAGTGAATACACCCTGTGAATTAGAATGAGTTAAGAAAATGTTACAGGCCCAAACCTTTGCTTAAGGAATGTGCCGACCCAAATGGTTATTTTAATGAAGCGCTTTAACCTGACAAAGTGCTTTTCTGTGAATACAGTAATTGTCCAGCTGAGCTTTAACATGACATGTCACATAGAATCATATAATAAATGCAAATTGATTCGCCAACATGAATTAGAGCAGTGGATTTGGAACATGTAGCTCCAGGCAGTTGAGGCAGTACATCTCACAGTAGAGCAGTTTCGTAAAATAACAGAACATGGACAGGTGGTTACTCACCACTCTCCACAGAGTTTACACAGCCCAGAGAGGGGGTTGCTGAATATGTAAAGAGGCCAACCATAGGCAGCTGCTGCAAACTGCATGTAATGGGCTGCCTTCTCCAACTCCATTTCCAGTTCCTCTGCCTGAAACAATAAAACACCAGGTGAGATCACAGCAACTAAAAAAGTATGAGTCTTCTATGGTGAAACAACAAAATATAACCTGTTTGTTCTACACTGTAAGACTGCTAGGGCATTGTACACTACTACAATGTCACACTGTGAAGAATAATCTGTACTCTGCCATGTCTCTTCAAGAATAGTAATAGTAGGGCTTCTATGTTTCACCATAAAGGAATACAAAATAAAGGACCTGAGCGAGTCATGGTTTGAGAAAGACATACGTGTCAAAACGTTGTCCATTCACTTTGATGGCTGAATAAACCACCCAAATTTATTGCGGAGTGCTCAGGACCGTTCCGTTTTGTTTGCTTATTACTGTGGATTCAGCTGAGCATGATCCCACCTTCAGATACCAGAACCAACTGTGGAATTTGCGTTGGAGTGCCTACCCCAAACTATTTACCATAACATAACTAACATGTCTGATGGGTATAGCTGCCTTCTTCTACAGGCACAGCCTGAAACCAACTAGTTTTGGAAGCACTGGTCCCCTGTATCACCCCGGTCCCTGACCCACCTCTCCTCCCCCCCTCTTCTTTCCTACTTTGTTTATTTCACTTTTCTCCCATCTACATCCTTAATCTTTTTTTCACATTTCCATTGTCATCCATCAACTATATAACCATGCCATGTTATTGTTTGGGGGGTTATATATCCCCTTTGATTGCACATGTAGCTGTGAAGAGACATTTTATTATTATTTAAAAACACAGTATTGGGCAGACTAGATGGGCCGAATGGTTCTTATCTGCCGTCACAGTCTATGTTTCTATGTAAAACTATTACTGCAAGTTTGCTACTTCTTTGACTACCTACTAGCTAGAAAATTGCACTAGAGGCAATAGATTAATGCAACTTCTCAGTATGCTTTATAGAACATTGAACCTATTGCTGTGCTCCAAGTAAATGTTGGATGATTATAAAATTAAAAAAAATATAACATGTAAACATACGTGCCTCCCCAATCATTGTCACTTTGTGTATTCGCAAAGCCCCTTTTTGTCACTAGACAAACTTTGTACATCAGCAAATCTCAATATGCAAAGAGGGGGAAAGGAGAACATGAAGGCAGCTGAGCAGAGGAGTCATGGAGCTCAGCAACAGGAACGAGCAATCCAACCACAGCCACTTACACAATATGTTATTATTCATATTACCAGGTTGAGTGATTTTCCATATACAATGGCGCACACATACACTCACTCTCTCTGCAATTCGATCAGTCCTTATGCATAGGCTTGCATAGGATTTTCTAAGTCCAAAACATTTCAGGCTATTTTATCGGTCTCTGTCCTTAGCCGTATTGTTTCCAGTGTGAATATGAAATGCAGTTTGTATTCCTTTTCAAAGACCGTTATTACTGTCCGGAGAACAAGTAGATAATTTTTTTTTTTTTTTTAAGCGATAATGTAGTGTTCAGAAATCATAGCCCGGTCCAGGTACACCACTTAAGTCACTGCATTACTTACAAGGGCCAGGATTTCCAGCTTATGCTTTAGATCCTCTCAAAAACAGGAATAAGCGGAAAAGTACTCCGCACCCTGCTGTTGCCCTAAACTAGACCCTGGCATTGCCCTATAATTAACCCCTCTCTTCCACACTAGATCCCCATTGCCTTTGCATTGCCCAGAAAGTAATAGCTCCCTTCAAAACTTTGATTCCCCTAGCAAATGAACTAGTTCCTCATATTTTCCTACCAATCAACCCCTTCCCTCAATAAATTAGATTTCCCTACCAATATAACTCTTCCCATCTGTAAAATATAACCCCATACCAATTAAAGGAACAACCAAAGCACTATAACCACTACAACCAGCTGCTGGGGTGCCATGAGTGTCCTGCACAACACGACTTGGCTCAGTGGAGCTATTGGAAGCTCTTAGTAAGACCGTCCAGCAGCAGGGGACAATTTGGGTACTCGGGGAAAGCACAAGGGCACTCCTGGCACTACAACCATTACAGCATATTGTACTGGTTATGGTTCTTGAGGTGTTCCTTTAACCCCATCCCACCTCAAACAGGAGACAGCTTACAAAAAAAACAGAGCAAAACGGAGAATACAGTCAACAGCAACAGGGACAGGTTATAGATAATAAGTGTCTGTCCTCTTATTTTTCCCTGCCAATGCTAGTGGAGAGGAAGGTGCCCTGGTGTTCTCCCTGGGTCCACCAGTGCTTTCACCCAAACTCCAGGACAGAACTGTTCACCTTACCCTCCCCATCTCCGCCACTGGCCAGTCAGAGCTGCTCACATACCTCCCCACCTTCACCAATGACTTTCAGTCAGAACTGCCCATATGTAAGCCCACCTCTCCAAAAATCAATCTGAGCTGTTTATATTTACATCCCCAGCTACTTTAATTTATCATCACCCACAACACAAACCATGAAACACAAGTGTTAATCTAACCACCCAAACGTCAATCAGATTTGCTCATCTATATGAACTCCTCAAAGTTCCTTAAACCAAATTTGTTCATCTTTACCCTGCAACAGCTAAGCGGAGCCTGACAAGGTCATGTTGACTTCTTGACCTCTATATATTGCTAATTTTATTTCTCAACTATCAACCTTCCATCAAAGCCACTATTTGCTCTTCACCTCCATGACCAACCTTCTCACACGCTGTGGATGACCTGAGAAGAATAGACACTGGTGTAGAGGTAAAGATCACCAGCAGTGATTGATGTCCTTACCCCTAAATTTTGTGGTGGGCTGCACAGTACTTCATCAGGATCCCTGCTTTGTTCCACCTTGTCCTGTTCTTGGTGAAGGAGTGTGAGCCCAGCTGCGATATCACTGGGAACCAAGTCTGTGTCCTGAGAGAGGAGTTAGAACACATCTTAACAGAGAAAAACATTTAAACCAAAGAAGTCAAAAATAACTTTAGCCATCACATTGACCAAGTGAAATCTTAAGCTACACCTACGAAACATACAATATGGTGTACAGAATTCAAGATACTAAAATAATGCAACACGTAAATATGATAATAGCTAGTGTTTTTGTTTCTACCTTAATTGCGATTTATATTCCTATAAAATACATAAAGGTACACTGATGTCCCCGACAAAAGAAACTGATAACTGCAAAGCCTCTTTAAGTTTTGTTCTATACATTGTTTCTGCCAGTGCATCTATCAGGTGTATATCATCAACTCATGCGTAACAATTCCATAATAGTAACTTATGAAATACACCGATTATCTACTGTCTGGTTAACTTCGGCCACAAAGATGCAGAAAGTCCAGCCTTTAACCTTCAGCTTTTAAAGAAACACATGACAATTTTGCCCACTGTGTGTTTTGCACATATGCATTTCACAAAATACATGGTATAATGTTGCCACAGTACCTGTAACAAAATAAGTTATCAGTCCAGGAAAAAAACTTGAAAAATTAGACTTTTAGGTAACGCTTTAGATTCGGAGAAAACGTCATGTATTTTATACTTGCTGAGGTTGAGAATTTTGCCAAATCAGCTAATTTAGGCCAATTTTTGCAATTTAGCTGTCAATTTACTACAATTCAGTGTTTAATGAATACAGCTAATGGCTTTTTTTGAGCACCCAAGTTTATATCACCTAAGAAATGCTGTTCACCCTGCATCCTGCTTTCATTTCAAGACTCTGTTGCCGAGTATATTACGTGTTTGCTTTTAGAAAGGGTTCAGTTGTGGGACAAAGTAGATTGCAACTGAAAAACTAGAGAATGCTTGTAACTTCAAAATATTTTTTTTCCTGTTCTTAAAGGGACACTCCACTGCCCAATTAAATGTAATACATTTTTTTAATTGTGGGTTTACCTAAAAACAGCTTGCGAAAGCTGCATTACACTTGCCAGAAGCCTTTGGAAGCCCTCCCCTTCTAACTCCACCCAGACTTTCTGTGGCTGTCCAATTACAGACTTCCCAATGCAGCTCAATGAGACATCTTTGCAAGGCAGGTGCTCTGAGCAATTTCTGCCTCTGAAGTTTAGCTCCACTGAGCTAACCAAATCAGGAAGTAACAGGACTGATTTTCTGATAACAAGGTTAATTTATAAAAGTGGCAATTTCTGTTGAGATCTACACTTTTTCTACAATGGAAAAATGAGGACTAACTCTTCACACAAAGAATTTTAGGGGCAGGAGTGTCCCTTTAAAGAAATTTAGTTTTAAAATTATAATCTGCAGTTATGGTCTATGAAAAACACGCCCCAATATAAATTCTCTCTTTCTTCAAAACAAGAAATAAATAAATCATAAAATCATTCTATCCACACTTTACCAGAGGTGAGTCAACTAGTGGGCAAGTAATTTTCACTGAGGTCCATAAACATTGGATATACTGTATCTCAGATCGTGGCCTTTCATTGGACCCTGTTGATAGGGTTGAAAAATATGCACTCATTTTTCATTCAAGAAAAAGCAAGTTTTGTTATGATACTTACGGAGAAATAGGTGCTAAACAGCTCAGCAATGCTGGAGAAAGCCACTCTGTTATCATTGTCATTCCCTACACAACAGCAGAGCAGTCGAATGCGGTTCTCCCACACTCTGTTTGCTGTTTTCTTGACGTTGTAGAGTAGTTGCTGGGACTGGCTGCTCTCCAAGTCGTGGCATTCGTTGTCTGCATAATATAAAGCCTTCTTGCGACCCAGTGGATCAAAAACAAGAAAAACGGCTATGGTGGTAAAGAATATGATAACCCAACTGCAAAACAGAGAGGTAGGGAGAATTGAAATAAATGGCATTTGTGATGCAGAAACACATGGCAAAATGATAACTGCACTCCAGGCCAAGATAACGCACTAGCTATATTATCAGCAACAATGTTTCCTCTGCTACTAACTGCTCATATGAAAGACAATGGAGATCACTCAGAAGGATGAGAGAAGAAAGGAAAAAAAAAAAAAAAAAAAGGTATTGCTACCTGCATAAGGTGATCTTAAATTAAAGGAACACTCCAGCATTAAAAAAACAACATTTGGTTTACATGTTTAGAGTGTACCTTTACTATAATTATTATTATTATTGCCATTTATATAGCACCAACATATTCCGTAGTGTTATGGGCAAATGCAAATATTACACGTTTTAAAATGCAAATATTGTATTCCTCAAACTGTGTACTTTGTCTTTAAGATATACTGCAAACTGACAAAGGTGTTAGAAATGGAACATATTGTTTTTCATAACTGTTTCTTTAAGCAATAACTTCTTACTTACCTTCAGTGCATATTATGTTTAAGCCATTTTGTCCCAGACGAATTACAATAACAATAATGCATAAACAAGCTTCAAGGCTATGCTACGACTCTTTCAGTACATAATATACTGTGGTAACCCTAAATAGATAAGATGTTCAGACTTTAAGATGCCATCTTGAACAATGAATACCAATCAAAGGTTGCCTCTTTTTACAGAGGAGTGTGTATAACAAAAGTGCTCAAAAGAGTCAAAAAGTGATTTACAGGCAGCTCAATACACTAGTGTGGAAATATCCTCTATTCCACTGAATAAATTTAGTAGATATTGGTGCGGTGTAAGTGACAAGGACCTACACCTATAAGTGGAGCGCTCAAACACAGATAAATCTTACCAAAACGTAGTCTCATTCAATGGTAAAATATGGGGTACATGTCAAAATAAAATACAGAAAATACAATATAGTGTAGACGGTACTAAAAAATGGCTTCACAGTGATTATAATAATATCGTGTTGAATATTACACTCACATTTCAAGGAGCCTGTATATAGAAAACACTGGCTCCGTATAAAGGCTTGTGTGCTGTTATGGTAGAACCACCCTCCTACTTCGGCTTGAAGAATTTCTCGGGAACACGAAAAAAAGAGAAGAAAGCAAACCAATGTGTAGACTTATGGTGATAAATGACACAGATATGTGTTCAATAAATGGGGTGCTCACCTGGTCCTGAGCCTACGAATCCCGGCTCTAGGTATGTGGATTTTGTGCCAATTTGAATGGGGATGGCACTACCCCTGTGAGGATTCCTTTGAGGCTCCAAAAAGAACTTGGATGAGGTATTGAATGAAAATGGTGAATTTATTAGTTTAAAATAAACATAAAAACAAAGATGATAAAAGTCTTCAAATAAAAGTCGTTTAAAAATGGCCAATACGCGTTTCACTCTCAAATAGAGCTTCTTCAGTCAAGCCTTTATACGGAGCCAGTGTTTTCTATATACAGGCTCCTTGAAATGTGAGTGTAATATTCATCACGATATTATTATAATCACTGTGAAGCCATTTTTTAGTACCGTCTACACTATATTGTATTTTCTGTATTTTATTTTGACATGTACCCCATATTTTACCATTGAATGAGACTACGTTTTGGTAAGATTTATCTGTGTTTGAGCGCTCCACTTATAGGTGTAGGTCCTTGTCACTTACACCGCGTCATCTTGAACTAAGTCAGGAAAATCTCCATGACGTATACAACCTTTAGTTATGGACTTGTATTTTTGCCAAGTTAAGGGAGGTCCTAAAATTGAATGAAAGTAAAAGAAGTTACTTTTATATATATATGAACTACTCTGACCCTAAAATGAAGACACCTAAGGTATAAATAGGTGTACTTTTAAATGTTAAGACACAGAGGAGAGATTTGGAGACAGACGCTGCTCCATCTTAAAATGACAGAGAGGCTGACATGATGACATGCTCAGGAGGGTATGTTAATATATTAATGATATTTGCAAGCATTTAGTTTAATCTTATAAACTCTGCTATAAATTATTGAAATGGATTTTATATGTCTATATTTTTATGTAATAAATATGTAAAAAGACAAAATTGTATTGCTTCCAAGACAATCCTTATTTTATATTGTATTCTCAATTCTTTATATATGTTAAATAGAGGATCTCTTACCAACTATATAAAATTATGGCTAAGATATCTGTATGGTTAGCCCTGCTAAGTTCTATGCTTTAAGATGTTATAGTGGTAAATAAGGGATCCAGCCGCGGTTACAGTAGCGCTTTACAATTTTATATTAGAGGGGATTTGACTATAAATAGGACATTTACAAAAGACTTACAGGAACGATAGGTTGAAGAGGACCCTGCTCAAATGAGCTTACATTCTATAGGAGGTGGGGTAAAAAACACAATAGGACAGGAGACAGCAAGCAAATAAGGTGATAGTGAAGCAGAGCTGGAGGAGAGAGGTATGGGACAGGTATGTGAGGTACTATAACAACGGGCACCCACAAATGCACCAAAAACAAAGTTTACTTTTTGTTTTGCTCTTGAACGAGACTTTCAGTGATGACAGTCTCCCTTTCGTCTTCAGACAAAACCAATGCAACAATCAGATGTGGCATCAAATGCATTACATAAAGACTTCCCTATGGAAACTAACATTTTTCAGGGGCTAACAATATGCTGGTTATCATTGCTGGCCACATTGCAGCTATAGAAGACAATTGGTTTTAATGCCAATAGTTATTTATAATTATATCCCACAAAGGGAACTCAATGCTCTCCAGAAGACTTAAAACTACTGTAGAACCCAAAAAGACATCCTAAGACTCCAGTAGGTACTATAACCAATCTCCCCCCAAAAAACTAGTTAATATCTAAGAATCCATTTAGATTCACACCAAACTCAAGTACCGGCAAGACTGCCTGGTCCTCCTCCTATCCATTCTCTATTTGGACATTTATAATATATATTTCCTTGCTTTGTTTAATATATGTAAGTACTTTTTTTTTGCAGTCTATATTATGTTTAGTTAATTGTGGTGCGACCTAATTTTTCTTTTTTTCTCCTTCGTTTTTCTTTCTTTCTTCTTTTTTTTTTTTGCTAAAACTCTACATGGATGACTAATACTCCATTACCAGGTGGGATTTATCTCAAACAGACAGGCGTCTGATTACACCCAAAAAAACATTGACCTGATATGGTACGCCAATTGACGGCACTTGCCAGTGGCCGTGGTTTCCCTCCACGCCAAGAAGGAGTTTGATAGCCATATTTTTTTGAAGACTTAGAATAGATTGGCTTCCTGAATGAATGTAAGAACTTCCTTAGGGCGACGTATCAGTCACCAATGGACTACCCGCTAACATTGAACATTCCCTCTCCCTCTTTCCCCATACTCAGCGGCACACGCCAAGACTGCCCACTCTCTCCCCTATTTGCCCTCTCACTAGAACATCTATTGCAGGCAATCAGGCTTAACTGAGAGGTGAAGGGTATTGTAATAAGAGGCGAAGAAGTTAAGGCGTCTGCATATGCATTCCATATCCTTCTAAATGTCACAGCGCCTGAAGCATCAAAGATGGCATTTTTTGGCCTCAGTAGTAATTATTCCCAGATATCTGGCTACCAACTAAACGCCTCCAAACCTGACCTGATCTCACTCAATATTCTAAGGAGTGATCTGGAGAACTTACGATCTAGATTCATCTTTTGGAAATGCACATCAGAAACTACCCATTTAGGGATCCAGCTTACAAATGACACCTCTGCCCTTTATTCTGCAAATTATATGCCCCTTTTTCGTAAGATGGTGCACAAAAACGTAATTCATTGGATACCACTTGGTATTTCTTGGATAGGCAGAGTCATCTTGGAGAAGATGCTGCTGCTCCCCAAGTTTCTATTCACCTTCCATGCTCTCCCCATTCCTTGTAATATTTTAAATAAACCCAAAAATAGTTTGCACAATATGAGAACAAAGATATCACCTGTATAGGCCACTTATACCCGGGCGGAAAACGTACTGAATACTTGGACCTGCCAAGCTAACAGCTTAACATTAGATTATTTACGCTTCATCCAACTAAAAAGCTTTACCTCCTCCCTGACCATCCGACAGGTGGCATCATCCACATTGACCCCCTTCGAACAAGCCTGTATCAGTTTACTGTCCAGGAAGGAACAGATCTCAGGCATACAGTATCTCACAAAAGTGAGAACACCCCTCACATTTTTGTAAATATTTTATTATATCTTTTCATGTGACAGTACTAAAGAAATGACACTCTGCTACAATGTAAAGTAGTAAGTGTACAGCATGTATAACAGTGTAAATTTGCTGTCCCCTCACAATAACTCAACACACAGCCATTAATGTCTAAACCATTGGCAACAAAAGTGAGTACACCCCTAAGTGGAGACTCCTAAACAGACCTTACCCGTTGTACCAATGGGTACTGTCAAGACCAGTTGACTGTTTCACCGGCAACAAAGACAAATTTGCAGCCAAGCTCTCCCTAGCTATCTGTAGAGCAATTGCAGAAGTTTGGGCTACCTTGGAAATTACCACTTACAAACCATATACCGAAAAATCCAAGAGAAACTTGACATTGATAGATTAAATAGAAAAAAAAAGGCAATCAGACATACATACTATGTTGAAGCCAAGAAAAGAGGAGGGTACGTGATACTCAAAAAAAGGATAACCCTGATTATCAAGTCTCAATGAATTACCAACTAAATTTACAGCACTTCTTTTGGTTAAAACAAGTTTTTGTTTTATTAGTTAAGGTTGGACCTATTCATATAGACCTTCCAAGATAAAATGTCTTCACGTTAGGTGTCATCACGCACAGCATTTTTCTATGGCAGAGTACTGGAACTTACATGCCAGCTTCTCTCCATAGTACTTCTTTATTAGAAGCATTGGATTGGAGAGAGACAGATGTCAATATAACTGATGACTTCACCAGGGGGAAAAAAAAGTCAGTAAACAACACAATAACATGCCAACATGAAAAAATATATATATTAAAGGACCACTATAGGCACCCAGACCACTTCAGCTTAATGAAGTGGTCTGGGTGCCTGGTCTAGCTAGGTTTAACCCTTTTTGCAGTAAACATAGCAGTTTCAGAGAAACTGCTATGTTTACCTATGGGTTAATCCAGCCTCTAGCGGCTGTCTCACTGACAGCCGCTAGAGGCGCTTCCGTGCTTCTCACTGTGATTTTCACAGTGAGAAGACGCCAGCGTCCATAGGAAAGCATTGAGAATGCTCTCCTATGAGACTGGCTGAATGCGCGCGCGGCTCTTCCAGCGCACGCGCATTCAGCCAATGACAGAAGAAGAGGGAGGAGAGTCCCAGCGCAGAGGGAGCCCGGTGCTGGAAAAAAGGTAAGGGATTAACCCCTTCCTCCCCCTTCAGTGCCACGGGAGTGGGACCCTGAGGGTGGGGGCACCCTCAGGGGACTATAGTGCCAGGAAAACGAGTATGTGACTATAGTGGTCCTTTAATGTTCACCATTAAAGTGTACCTTTAACTTTGCTGTGATTCATTGACTGGCATATTTCCCATACTATCTGGTTCACGCTTCTTTCTCTGAATATTTATATATATTTTATATATTCTATTTCTACACACGCGCACACACACCTTTGCACAATTAAAAAACAAAACATGTTAACATGGGTATTATGCGAATTAAGATACCTGGCGATAACTGTAATGAGCACAACGTGTACAAGCGCTTTGTCACATCGTACACCATTGTCTGACACCCAGATCGCTCCCAAGACTGCCCACACAATCTCAGGTAGGTAGAGAGAAAGTCGCACGTACACCAGCTTGGGCATGCACTTCCGGGGCCCAGGGTTTGAAATTGTGCCTAAAAAAAACACAGAAGAGAACTTCACATAAAGAACATATACAGGAAACCATTTGATAAACAAATTAGAAACAGCCAGACACACGGACAATAGATTTCCTGGACATAAGTATTTCTAATTGGTGTAGTCTGTGTGTTAATACTATCCTTCTGATTTTAAAAAAGCAGTACGGGAGAAGATTTAAGTATTAGTTTTTTACGTTCCTTCCAGCATTGACAAAGGTGCTTATTATTTAAGTACCAACTAGTGAACTGAAAAATGTAGGCACAGACAATGAATATGGACACAATTCTCTAATAGAGAATTAAAACACAGAAAGTGATGAAAACGATGGCTTGGATAAGAATAGGGCTGAGAGATTTTAGGTAGAAAGGCTGGCTTCATTAATATTGCTATAAATATAAAGTTGGCATCCATTAATTTTCCGTGCTTAAAACTGCACTGAGCATTAAATAAAAAGAACATCTGAGGACATTATTATTATTATGAGTTTTTTTAAAATAAGATTAGCTTTATAAAATGATAATTTTTTTTGGTCATATTGAGCGCTGGCTCTGCACATAGACACGTGGGTATCAGCAGCGAATGGTTAAAGGTATCACTGAAGTCAGGAGCTTTCTTAATATGATGACTCTGCTGTGGGTCAAAGTGCAAGGTTCACTTATAACCTGTCAGGTGCCTTCAGGATGAGTAACACATTCCTCAAAAGTCATTTCTCCAGAACAAGAGGAAGTGCCTGCTCTAGCATTTAAAACTCTATAAGAGGGTGGGGGCTGGGAGGCCATGCTGGGTGGTCGCAGACAATTTGATCTCCTGACTGAACTTAACTAAACAGTGTTTTTCAAAAAAATACTCCACTATTAAACCTCCTTCAGTTGGTACCCTCATCTGGCAGAGCCGGGGCACCTTTGGAGTGAATTTCAGCACCAGCACCTTTGCAAGCCTGAGGGTGCGGCCTATAACCTGTTGGTTCCCTGGCCGGGGAAGCAGCCGATCTCTGTGCCCGGGCATTCTCTCTTGAGGACACTGAGCCCAGTACCCCCCCTCACCCCTGTGGACCGGGTGGGGGGAAGAGAGGGAGGTAATCCTGGCCCCCACTGGCTCACTACCTGTATCATTACTTTGGCAGCACTAGACAAGCGCCTTACTCAGCACACCTCAAGAAGATGGCGACTGAGCTCACTACTGGAACCTCTGAGCCCACGCAGCCTGCAGTGGAAATGCCAAGCGCAGTGGATCAATTACTTAAGAGGTTAGAAGACATCTTCTGGAAAGACCTGGAGGCAAGTGGGTCAATCTCAGCACCTCAAATCCAAGCGGAGAACCGGAGGGATGCAGACCGAGGGAGGAAGGAGCTGCCTTCGAGCAATCCTTCCCTACTCGCCTTTGTCCATCTACCAGCACGTCCAGGGTGCGAACCACTACAGGCTGGATCCCAAGGCAGCATACACAGAAAGCAGACCGCTACGGTTAGCGGCATGCCAACTCGGACTGCTATCCCTCCCGTGTAGAGGTGGACTGGGACCCTTACCCCTGGGTCAGGGGAAACACAGATGCAGGCTTATGAACCGGCATGGAGCAGGAGGGACTCCCCACATTGCCCTTGGGGCATCGCTAGGACCCCACGCTTACCTGCCATGTGCTTCCCTGTCTTGAGAATAGGCTGACTGTCTGCTTACATTCCCAGGCGGTTCCACCTCGTGTATTTTGGGACTTACCTGCATGTGGTTATAGCTATTATGTTCCATATAGTCCCCATGACCATTATAAGCTTGCCTAGCAGCAACCCTTCCACATCTGTTACCTCTATTTGCTGTACCTGCAATTTTTCATTGGTTTGCTATCGTACATAGTTAGACGCAGTCACACTACACTGACACATATTCACTAAAATGAGAGGATTAACCAGTTTTTATCTTAGTTAATGAGCCTGACTGATTGAATAGCCTTTATTATCATATTGTATGAGCATGTTCAGTCTGATTGACCTTTGACTGACCCAGTGCATACAACATGCCTCAAAGATCTTTTTCTATGACTCTCACCCCTCACCTCCATGCATCGAACTAATCTTTTTTTCTAACTTTCAAAAAATGTGCAGTTTATTGTTTTGCTTGATGGATAACAATTAAGCCTGATTATAACTTTTATGTGTGTATTATTCACAATCTATTCATGCACATCAAAAATAAAGAATTAAAAATTTTATTAAAAGAACTCTGTAAGTGCTACTTTTTGACTGTAACTGGAGACTATATTTTATAGATTTTACCATTGTCTTCTGATGATCCCAACTACATGCCTCTCCCTCCACCTAAAAAAATCTAAAAATAATACTAATTTAATTTGTTATTTTACATTAAACACAAATTATACTGGCATTGGTGGTGTGGCAGTGAGAGCCCTTGGGGGCTCCACTACAAATTACACCGGGTACCAGGGTGACACAAGTGTTTTGGGTACATACCGTTTTGTTATACCCTTTGTTTTGCTCTATTGGCTATTACTAATTTGGGCACGCTTCTACTTATATGCCCCTGGCTTTACACAGCCTAAATGTGGATTTAGTTACAGTATATGATCATTCATTCATTAAATAAATAAATAAGGAAAGAAAAACACCCCTATTAAAATTCTGTAAGCTTTGTTTAGTGAATTCGTGAGTGCGCTGGATCTGGTATGTTGTATGATTTTGCCCCAGCAGCACCCTATAATGTAGCATGTTCCGGTGAGTGCATCCCACTTGGTTTTGTGTGTGTATATAATACATATATAAAAGGTCTTTTTTTGGCAGTGCTGGCTACCTGTCCATCAATAAAATGTATTGATTAGCATGCCCACCTCATTGAAGCCCCTTTAAATACCCGACAAACCAGGGACTCACTAACTAATAAGATTTAAAAAGAACAAAAATAAAAACACACCAACTCCAACTATATGTGGCAGAATAGGATGGAGAGAGCAAGAGCTCCCACATAGGATGGGTCTCTTCAGATTACACATGCTTTCAACACCTTCTGTCCAAATGACTCTTCCACGGATGCCAAGATGTCTAGCTGATGGTGTCCAATAAACGTGTTACGTGGAGACAAATAGTCGCTCCACACACGTCTTTCGTGTGGCCTTAATCTCTGCTGCCCACGATGTAGCTATATACAACTATAGGTAACATTCATCTATAGCAGGGGTGCCCAAAAGGTAGATCCCCAGATGCTGCAGAACTACAATTCCCACGGTGCCTTGCATGCCTTTAAAATGTCTTAAGAATGACATAGCATCATGGAAGCTGTAGTTTTAAAACATCTGGGGATCTACCTTTTGGGTACCCTGATATATAGGTTTAGAGGGTCCTTCGATACCAGAGATAAGTCCCATGTAACAGGTTCTCTTGTAACCATGGGGAAGGGAAGGAAGGAATTCATATCCTTTTGTTATGTAATGTTCTCAGGAAGCTCTACAAAAGCCAAAGCTGTTTTCGGCAGCCATCAGGAAGTGTAGTTGCACAATCTTAACTGCTTTGATTTGCATGACACTTTTAAAGGGGAACTCTAAAGCACTTTAGCTTGCTTGAACTACTTTATGAGTGAAGAGTGTGCCCTATTTTTTCATTTTACAAAAAGTGTAGATATCAATAGAAATTGGGACTTTTTTTTAAATTAACCTGGTTACACCCACCTGGCTTTTAAACAGAGAAAAAGTCCTGTTACTTCCTGGTTGTTTAGCTCAGTGGAGATAAACTCAAGAGGCAGCAATTGCCCAAAGCACATGCCTTGCAAAGACTTCTTATTGAACTACATTGGAAAGTCTGTGATTGGACAGCCACAGAAAGTCTGGGTGAGGTTAGAAGGGGAGGGCTTAGAAAGGCAGCAGACAAGGGAATTACAGATTTCGCAAGTTATTTTTAGTTATACTCCCAATTAAATGATAAACCAATATATTTTTTCCAGAGCCAATACAGATTATCAGTTGCCTTTTGGGCCGATTGCAGATAACTGGTGCCGATATTCTGTACATTTAAAAGTTTGGAAAAAGCAACACAATTTCTACACAAATCTAGCATTAACTGAACGTGTTGACAGCCATCATACTTCTATCACTCTCAGTCAGCCAACCCAGTGCATAACAGTAGATTATTCACTGTCTCAACTTCCTGCCTCCAGCTGAACTCCGCATGCGGGAGCTCACAAGAGGCGTGACATGAGGTTTTGGTGTGGCGCCTCATTAGCTGAAGGCTGGAGTTTCCAGATACGGAAGACGTCATGCAATGACAGGGAGAGGTGAGTAAGTAACCAGTAAAAATAGTAAATTACAAGAAATATGCCAAATATAGGCTCTAATAATTGGCAGTACAGATAAATCAATCTATCCATGTCCCCAATGAAAATAACTGCACAGTGAAATGCATGCATGTATTCATTTGAGGTATATATTAAACAGTGACTTTTTTTCTAATTTTTTTTTTTTCTATTTGGGCAGTGGAGTATCTTTGTCATTTTGCTGGTAATTGCTGGTTATTCTCTCTTTTTCCATTCTTTCTTGGAAAAGTCAGGCTAGACATCTGTATATCATTTGTGATTGGAATTAAGTCGTTGTGGTGGGCCGGAACCGACGTAGGGGTAGGCCTGTAAAAAGGGGGCAAAAAGAAATGCAGGAAAACACACTTATAGCAACAAGATTACAATATAAGATACGCTTGCCTTACCTCTTCCCCCGCTGCAAAATGTATCTGTATAAAATAGCTGATTCCAAGTGAACTTAATTTATCATGTGCGCTGGCGTCCTGCAACTGGATGTGATTGATGCGGTCCCTATTCTGAACGGATGTCTTAAGAGGCAGGGTCCCAACCTGATTTAATGCATAGAGTTACTTGTAAAGGGCCTTTTAAGAAGTTAGGGGGATTGCCTAGTGTAAGTGACTTAATTTCTGGTTAGAATGTTGGAGTGACATGAGGTAGTCTTTCTTGGTGAGACATAATGCCTGTCTGTCTGATTAGCTTTAATCGAGAAGGTTCTAGGACTCAGGAAGCCAAAGAAGGTTCAATACAAGGAGGTATATGACCCGGTTGTGTAATTCAAATGCTGCCTAATGAGACTGATGACCCCCCCATCACGGGGGTATGTTATTCGTGGGCTGATGAATCGATTACTTATACCTTGAAACCCTTGTTGAGTAAGCATTTAAGGAAAAAGGAGTATGGTTGAAAATGGCTGTCGGGAGGTGGTGCTGTATGTCTGAAAGGGAAGAGTTTGATATTGTCTGAAATAATGAAGGGGGCAAAATGCGGCAAAATGCGGTAAATTATACCCTAATTTGAATTGTATGCTTGTGGACGTTGTATTCCACTGAGAACCTTCGAAGAATGTCCACAGTGCTATTGTGTGTAATGTAGTGTTAGCGGATACGGCTATTCGTGACAGTGTGCCAATAGCTAGGTTAGAAAAAGAAGAAAAAGAAAAAGAAAAAGAAAAAGAAAAAGAGAAATTGCTCAGAACTTACAGATTTTAATGAACAAGCGGATTTTTTAAAAAATAAATTCATGGAAAAAAAATATTCAGAATCAGAATTGAACACTACTATAAATACTGTCAAACAAAAGGAACGAAAAGAACTTTTAACATACAAAAACAAAGAAAACAATGAACCAATAGTACTCCCAGTTATTTTTAATTTTAATAATAAAAGTAAAGATGTTAAACGAATAATAAGAAAACACTGGCATATACTCAAACATGATGAGATACTTAGCTCTATTATACCTGTTCATCCAAATATTGTTTTTAGAGGAGCACCCAATTTTAAATCTATTTTAACTACTAATTTTACTAAAAAATCTCCTCCCAAAAATCTGTCTTTTTTTCCCCAGACAAAGGGTTTTTATAGATGTAAACAATGTATTGTATGCAAAACTACTGATCATTCTATTTCATCAAAAGTCTCAAGTTTTATGTCCAATCAGACAAAACAAGTGTACAATATCTATGATTTTATATGCTGCAACACGAAAAATGTTATTTATCTGCTTGAGTGCCCATGTGGCCTCCAATATGTGGGGATGACCACAAGGTGCTTAAAGATAAGGCTAAGCGAACATTGCAGAAATATTAAAAATGGATACTTAAATCATACAGTATCCAAACATTTTATTATGCACAATAAGGACCCACGCCTATTAAAATGCATTGGTATAAAAAAATGCTTTACCTCTTGGCGTGGAGGTGACATAAAAAAACTGCTTGGAAAAACCGAGATGGAATGGGTGTATAAACTTCAGACTCTTATACCCCATGGTCTTAATGCTGACTTTGATCTACACAATTTTTTATGACTTTTATGTAAAATAATATTTGTATTATTTATTGCTGTCTATAATATGAATGGCTTATATATTCTTTTTATGTATACAATCCCTTTTTATACATCTATTTTTATTGTATTAATGTTGCCAGTATTTTACAAATTAAGTTCTTATTCTGTATACCTTTATTTTAATTTGCAATGGTGAAACTTCCATACTTCATTTTTATTTATTTATTTTTAAAGATAACTACATTTCCCAGGTTGCACTTGGGCAAAAACCTCCATTTTGAGGAAGTAATGTATTAGTTATGTGCCCCCCTGCCTACCTGTTTTATTTATAACTTAAAATCTATGCTCTACAATGAAAATGCCTCCAAGGCACTAAATCTTCTTAGGTTATGTATGATTATGGTTTTTTTTACTTCTGTATGCGGCCGCCGGTCGCGGCTAACTTTTAACTACATTTCCCATAAGGCATTGCGGCGAAAACCTCCGAAATGCGGAAGTGCCGTATGTCACGTGATTGTTTTAAAATGTTCTAAATTATACTTTTCAACCCTCGTTTTTGATTTCTAACCATTAGAAACAAGTTATATTACTATAAATTATATACTGACTAAGTTTTGAACATATTTTAAGTTTTAAATGTGATTCTGTTTCTGATTGGACGGACCAATTTTTGGCGCCAAATTCAAATGAGTTATGTTCCTATATAACACCTACAAGCCAGGTATCATCTGTTATTCCATTTGATAAAGTCTTAGACGAAACGCGTTATGGATATTTAATTATTGTGTTTGTAAATATATTAAAATATTTTTTGGTCATTTGTTTGTGCCAATAATCTTTTTTTATAGACACATAATACTCTTTTTACCCTGGCTTTTTAATTATTATTTTTATTGTTTTTTAAAAAAAACCTGAAAACCCCTGGAAGCTTCCTGCATTTAAAGAAATCCAAGGTGGGGATCAATCCACCCAAGCTGTCATCACGGAGCAGTTGGTCTGCTCTGGTTTTGTAAGTACATTCTTTTATTATTTTATCAATATTGCTATACAGTGAGCACTATTGGCTGTCTCTTTTATTTCGAGAAACTGGACACGTATCACAGAGAGGAACCCATCTATATCCCATAAGCGGGGATCAAACCGCCGTATGCGCTTTATTCCAGAGCTAGGACATTAGCTCTGATAAATGTGAGTTTTATATTATTATTTCTACACATCCATATTAGAACTCTACATACTACACTATTGGTTGTCCCCCTCTCTCTTTTTATCTTTCATATAAGTGGATTCACTACAAAGTAGAAGACGTCAACAGCAAAGACTATCTGTAAGGACAATAACATTGGACTTTTCCTTCTTTCTAATTGGACTTTATTTTATTTAAAAATAATTTTTTTATTTATTTATTTTTTTCAATTTTATCTGTGTGCGCAGCCTTTTTTCTTATTTTTCTTATTTTATCCAAATTAAAGGGTTTGAGGGATCCCCTTTAAAAGGTTGCTGCCTATAAGTTATCTAGCGCTGTCTTTCTCTTTTTCCTTGTTACCATTTCTCCAATTTCCCTTTTGGGATAGCTGCTTTTTAACTTTTTACAATGTCTATCTTTGAATTCAGAAACAAATATACTATTGATGTAAATAATGTATTTAATACAGAGATAATTAATACTATACAAACAATTCCTCAATACTCCAACCAACAAGATCTCTTTATGAAATTAGAGAAAGCCCTATCCACAGAAATAAAGCTTAAATGGGAAATTGCCACTTTTAAAAAATATATAGATGAGCAAATTACCCCCCGTGGTTTAAGGCTTCTAAAATTACCCACCTCTGATCAAGATGATCTTGAGTTTATGGAGGAGTGGAACAATAAATTAGAGCTATGCACTTTCGGTTTAATGGAAACACTAATAGTCAAGAAAAGTAAAAAATTGTCTGTTCTAGACATCGAGATAAACGAACTTAGAGAACAACTTTTACCATTCACCGAAACTAAGGCTTATAAACAAAACTCCATACTTATTCAAAATAAAATTGAAAAAGTTGAAGTTGACACAAAACACCTAAAAATCAAAAAATACATTCGAGATAAAACTGACTACTCTAACAAACAAGTAAGAACTTACCATTACAAAAAAAAGTACACTTCAGAAAATTACTCCTCTAGACCTAATCACCAAAACTATGCGTATAAAAATGCTTATTCTTACAACAATATGTCACAACACCCACCCCAAAATTATCAGAACAATACTACACGGAGATCCTATCACCAATCCCCACTCACATTAAAAACTTTTCCCCATCAATCTCACGTTTCTTCCAAATTTCAATTTCAAGGTAACACTAATGCATACCAACTACCCTCACACAAACAAAGAAAATTTCCTCATCGAAATTATAATCCTGCACCCCGATCACCTAAATATCAAAATTCTTCTGGTTTCAACTTTTCACCAAAACCACAAAGACCCAGGTATACCAATGATCATAATACATATTCCAATTACTCTAAATCACCTACTATTCCAAATCACACTAATAGGTATCAATTACTATCAGTCGATTCAGACTTTGACAACGAGGATCATTTTTTAGAGATACGTACTCACCAACCAGCATTAGCCCAGACACCACACCCATCACGCTCCCAAAAAAGAATTTTAAGTTTAGAGGAAGACGAAGTGGAAGACGGCAACAAAAGAGAAAGACTAGAAAGACAATAATACCCTCTACCAACTCGTGCAATGGCATTTTTAATCTCTCTCAAAAAGTTTTAACAGCTGCACAACTGTCTGTTTTAAGTAAAGGTCTTAAATTTGCCCCTACCTCATCTTTTAATTCATTTCAAGCCTTTCTTGATGTAAACAAATTTGTTAGAAAGGCTACACTTAAAAGATTTTTTATAAGTAAAGATGACAAAGAACCAATTTTAACCACTTCACCCCCTTCACAAAACACAGATAAAAGTCCATTTTTAAATACACACCTTAGAGAAAAATCTAAGTTTTACCCATCTCATTTTAAATCAGCCCCTTTGATTTTATTTGAGAAACTTGTTCACAAAGATTTAGAAAAAATTAAATATAAGAAATATGATACTAATAATCTCACAAATGCCGAAAGACAGGCAATCAAAGAACTCCAAAATGATAAAAACATTGTTATTAAATCAGCTGACAAAGGAGGTGGAGTAGTCATCCAGTCTAGCAAAATGTACATTGATGAAGCTCACAGACAATTGAAAGATATTAAAATATACGAACAACTTGTATCTGACCCTACTAAAAATATACAAACTATTTTACTTAATTTTTTAAACAAAGGTCTTAATCTAAATATTTTAAACAAACATGAATTTAATTTTTTAAACAAAAAATTCCCGATTACTCCTGTCATCTACTTTCTCCCCAAAATTCATAAAAATGAGCAACACCCCCCAGGTAGACCTATTGTTTCTGGGATAGGTTCTCTCTTATGTAACCTTTCCCAATATATTGATACCCTTCTTCAGCCTTCGGTCAAACTCATGAAATCCTATCTAAAAGACTCTATGTCACTTTTAAAATTTTTAAATGATTTTACTTGGAAAAATAGTTTTATACTAGTCACATGCGACGTACAGTCTCTTTATACTATTATTCCTCATGACATTGGCTGTCAAGCTATAAAAGAAATTTTAATTCATGAAGCTAGGATTCCCGATATCCAAATAGATTTTATAATAGAAGGTATAAATATTATTTTAAAAAACAATTATTTCTGGTTTTTAGATTCATTTTACTTGCAAAAAAGGGGTACTGCTATGGGGACTAGGTTTGCCCCCAGTTATGCAAATTTGTTTATGGCTAACTGGGAATCTGAAGCCATCTGGGGTAATCACCAATGGCGGGCAAACCTAGTCTCTTATTTTCGATACATAGATGACCTCTTTTGTATTTGGGATGGACAAGAGAACCATCTTATTGATTTTATTAATCATTTAAATACCAATAATAGGGGCATTATTCTTACACACGAATTTAGTAAAGAATCCATAAATTTTCTAGATCTTAATATTTTTATCAACAATGGACAAGTCCAAACAAAAACATTTTTTTAAAAAGTATGTGTAAATACGGCTATAGACAGATCCAGTTGCCATTATAAGCCCTGGCTTGAAAGTGCTCCAAAAAGCCAGTTTTTACGCCTCCGGAGAAATTGCTCAGAACTTACAGATTTTAATGAACAAGCGGATTTTTTAAAAAATAAATTCATGGAAAAAAAATATTCAGAATCAGAATTGAACACTACTATAAATACTGTCAAACAAAAGGAACGAAAAGAACTTTTAACATACAAAAACAAAGAAAACAATGAACCAATAGTACTCCCAGTTATTTTTAATTTTAATAATAAAAGTAAAGATGTTAAACGAATAATAAGAAAACACTGGCATATACTCAAACATGATGAGATACTTAGCTCTATTATACCTGTTCATCCAAATATTGTTTTTAGAGGAGCACCCAATTTTAAATCTATTTTAACTACTAATTTTACTAAAAAATCTCCTCCCAAAAATCTGTCTTTTTTTCCCCAGACAAAGGGTTTTTATAGATGTAAACAATGTATTGTATGCAAAACTACTGATCATTCTATTTCATCAAAAGTCTCAAGTTTTATGTCCAATCAGACAAAACAAGTGTACAATATCTATGATTTTATATGCTGCAACACGAAAAATGTTATTTATCTGCTTGAGTGCCCATGTGGCCTCCAATATGTGGGGATGACCACAAGGTGCTTAAAGATAAGGCTAAGCGAACATTGCAGAAATATTAAAAATGGATACTTAAATCATACAGTATCCAAACATTTTATTATGCACAATAAGGACCCACGCCTATTAAAATGCATTGGTATAAAAAAATGCTTTACCTCTTGGCGTGGAGGTGACATAAAAAAACTGCTTGGAAAAACCGAGATGGAATGGGTGTATAAACTTCAGACTCTTATACCCCATGGTCTTAATGCTGACTTTGATCTACACAATTTTTTATGACTTTTATGTAAAATAATATTTGTATTATTTATTGCTGTCTATAATATGAATGGCTTATATATTCTTTTTATGTATACAATCCCTTTTTATACATCTATTTTTATTGTATTAATGTTGCCAGTATTTTACAAATTAAGTTCTTATTCTGTATACCTTTATTTTAATTTGCAATGGTGAAACTTCCATACTTCATTTTTTATTTATTTATTTTTAAAGATAACTACATTTCCCAGGTTGCACTTGGGCAAAAACCTCCATTTTGAGGAAGTAATGTATTAGTTATGTGCCCCCCTGTTTTATTTATAACTTAAAATCTATGCTCTACAATGAAAATGCCTCCAAGGCACTAAATCTTCTTAGGTTATGTATGATTATGGTTTTTTTTACTTCTGTATGCGGCCGCCGGTCGCGGCTAACTTTTAACTACATTTCCCATAAGGCATTGCGGCGAAAACCTCCGAAATGCGGAAGTGCCGTATGTCACGTGATTGTTTTAAAATGTTCTAAATTATACTTTTCAACCCTCGTTTTTGATTTCTAACCATTAGAAACAAGTTATATTACTATAAATTATATACTGACTAAGTTTTGAACATATTTTAAGTTTTAAATGTGATTCTGTTTCTGATTGGACGGACCAATTTTTGGCGCCAAATTCAAATGAGTTATGTTCCTATATAACACCTACAAGCCAGGTATCATCTGTTATTCCATTTGATAAAGTCTTAGACGAAACGCGTTATGGATATTTAATTATTGTGTTTGTAAATATATTAAAATATTTTTTGGTCATTTGTTTGTGCCAATAATCTTTTTTTATAGACACATAATACTCTTTTTACCCTGGCTTTTTAATTATTATTTTTATTGTTTTTTAAAAAAAACCTGAAAACCCCTGGAAGCTTCCTGCATTTAAAGAAATCCAAGGTGGGGATCAATCCACCCAAGCTGTCATCACGGAGCAGTTGGTCTGCTCTGGTTTTGTAAGTACATTCTTTTATTATTTTATCAATATTGCTATACAGTGAGCACTATTGGCTGTCTCTTTTATTTAGAGAAACTGGACACGTATCACAGAGAGGAACCCATCTATATCCCATAAGCGGGGATCAAACCGCCGTATGCGCTTTATTCCAGAGCTAGGACATTAGCTCTGATAAATGTGAGTTTTATATTATTATTTCTACACATCCATATTAGAACTCTACATACTACACTATTGGTTGTCCCCCTCTCTCTTTTTATCTTTCATATAAGTGGATTCACTACAAAGTAGAAGACGTCAACAGCAAAGACTATCTGTAAGGACAATAACATTGGACTTTTCCTTCTTTCTAATTGGACTTTATTTTATTTAAAAATAATTTTTTTATTTATTTATTTATTTTTTTCAATTTTATCTGTGTGCGCAGCCTTTTTTCTTCTTTTTCTTATTTTATCCAAATTAAAGGGTTTGAGGGATCCCCTTTAAAAGGTTGCTGCCTATAAGTTATCTAGCGCTGTCTTTCTCTTTTTCCTTGTTACAATAGCTAGGTTAGACCAGATTATAACGTTGAAATGTGAAGTTTGGGTTGGGTGTTTGTCAGTTGGTGAGGAACGAAGAATTCTTAACTAATGACGGGGCAAAAGCGTTTGTGGCCAATTTGGATTAGCCTGTGATGCATTCCTGATAGAGGAAGAGCTGAAAGTGTCAGGCAACCAGGACAGCCCACGAACTATCCTCATAATGGTCAATGAAGATAAATGACCTGTATGAAATTATGCCGCAGACTGCCATATTTGTATAACCTTTGACTGCCATGCCCTACCAGGATTCTCTATGCAAATGCGGTCGCCATATATCGGGTAATTCGACTAAGGCCGGTGTTTCGTAAAGATGGTAGTCCGTGACTCTTACCCAGCAATCCCCAATCAATAGTTTGTAGATTGCTGTAACCCAGTATTAGTGGTCGCTTCTGTACGAGAGACTGGGAATTTGACAGATCCTGGCGGGATGAACATAGAAGCCCCAATCCCGGGTTCTAACGACTCTTATCACATGACCAGGTTTGTCCTTGCCAGGGGATCTAAATCTCAATATCTCCGTCAGGCAGACCCGGTAATAAGCGTAACTGTAACTAAATGATCTCACCAGAGGGATAATGTGCATAGCGAAGTTCCAAGAACCCAGCAATGATTTGCCGGTGTTCCAATTATGAGTTCCCAGCTGACGGAACCTGTTTCGTCTTCATGAATGCGCACAAGTTATCCTCTGGGAGATTTGACTGTATGGTACCTGAATTCAGTATGAACCTATTAAATCAAGTCCGGTGGTGTTTTATTAGTTTGTCTCGTGACAGAGGAGTGCCTAGAGTTTAACCCTGCTGTAGTGTACCTTATCCTTGTAGGAGTGCAGTTTCTATTCCACTATTAGGAAATCTACTAGATAATGTATCACCGTGATGCACCTAGTGATAATGAGGGATAGCTAGTGAGCCTTTGCAAATGCATCAAATATTTCCCTGCTACTCCCACCAAAGTGAGTCTGTTAGTAAAGCAACACTTCACACACCACTTACCCCCATGAACATACCATAAGGGGGGGAGACGGATGACTAGCAACATGAAGGTGTTGGAGAAATCGGTCTTACTGTGTCATGTGGTTTACCCGCCCTCACAATTACTTGTATCTGCTGTGACATACTGTAGAGAGAATTATGTGGATAATATTAGGGTGTTAAGTATGAGTTGTGGACGAATGAGCAGACAGATCAATGGTGAGCCGTTGTTTAGGAGTATTGCTGATGGTCTACAGTATACGGTATGTACCTAGCTGAGGAGATCGGGACCTCTAAGGTGTCTCAACCAAGTGTGGGACCCGTGTGTAATTATTTACAGGCGCGGGGACAGACCTAAGTAGAACAACCACACTTATTTACCTTGTATATATGACATTCAATTTTTAAGGGTATATGGCTTGCCATGAGTCCCAAGGCATATGATGCATGCGTAACAAACTGTATTCACTAGAACTATATATTGTTGTGATAAAATTACTACAAATTAGTAGGTGGGTACTCAGATAGTGAGGGGAGGGGGGGAGATGCATGGGGCCTACCCTGTGAGTTGGCGGGAGTACGTGTTTGTACAAACCCTCCTGGGGATAGTTCGGAATCTAAAAGAGCCTGGCGTGTATGATAATAGAGATATGCTGAGGGCAGCGGGCCTAGTGGGGGTGTATGACTTAGCGGCTGCACTAGGGAGGGACGGTTCTTCTCCTGTTGTTGGCTTAATGGGACATGCTGAAAAAGAAAAAACCACAACAACAATGAACTGATCAATTAAACACAGTTGAGTTTATGTAGAACTGGCTGGCTAACTAGTGTCAAAGGGAAAAGCTATCTACCCCGTGACAGGTGAGGCCCTGCTAGTTGCCAAGCGGGTGAGAGGCTCTACCTATGATTTGGGCGTGGGGCTCGAGCCACTAGCGTGGTGGCGGGGTGTCAGCCTCTCGGTGACAGTAAAAGACCAAAAACATGTGGCCGTGACAGGTGAGGCCCTGACTATAAACCCGATAGGTGGGTGAATGCGAAAATCTCCTTGTTGAGATTGGGGAGTTTGTACAACTAAGGCCAGATAGCCAGTTCTCTGACCCTAGACGGGGGCTTGATGAGGAGGTAATGTAATGTATTTAGCGACACCCAAGTTGTGGTTTGTAAAGGTACCTTGAGGTTCCTATGTCGGAGAAAGAGAGGAAAGAGAAGAAAAAAAAAAAAAGAAGAAGAGAGGGAAAGGAGGAAGAAAGAAGAGGAAAGAAAATGTAGTTGAGATAAAATTGATGTTTAGCATATTGTAGTTTTTTTTTGTTTTTATAGAGACATAGCTGATAGTATAGTATCTTTAGACCCCAAGGGTGCTGAAGATTCCCGGGACATGTACTATAGATCCCTGAAGGGAGATTTGGGAAGGCGTCGTGCCATGAAAGCGTGGTAGTACCTGAAGCAAAGAGGAGGGTGAAATGAGCAAGGTTTCTTAGAATCAGGGCAAATGTTTACAGATAGTGATTCGAATGAGCGTATGACGAGTTATCGAGTGGTGCCGTGGCCTGACATGGCAAGGCGGGAAATCAAACCCCTGTACCCCAATACCCCATCGTAGAAATGCGTGGCCTTGTAGAGGCAGTAGATTGAAACATGAACGAAATTGTATTTTTAACTGATAGAGACAGGAGACAATAATGAACCAGTAGCTATCTAAATGGTAGAATGTAGTTCTAAACCTGAAATTTAGGTGTCTTTTTAAAAGGAAAGGAAATCTAAAATATTAACCTCTTAATTAACCGTATTAGATTATGCCTTATGTAGATTAAGTTACTTAATGGGTTATAGTTAAACAGAAAATAATAGGTAACATGGATGTGAAACTTACGTAAATGTAATTTGAGATTGGCAATTGCACTGTCAAACTGATCGGTCTGAATCATCCGACAACAACGTACCAATGTATGGACGTGATACATGTTAGACTTAAATTAGGCATTCTGCACAAAAGGAGGGAATTTAAACTCTCACTGAATTACACGCTGTTTAGGTTTTTTAATAAATATATAGAAAATATATGGTTATGGACCAATGACCCTTTCTTAACGGGTAACAGGTAAATAGTAACACTACTCCTATGAGTACTTAAGTTTCCATAGTTAATTATCAGAACAGTGAGTGTCCGAATTGAAATAGGCAATGTGCTAATGATTCCCTTAGCCAGAAACGGGTATAATACAGAACGGAATATAGGTTTGTATATGTGTGGTACAGATCGCGTATTCGGGTAGATGCTAGCGTACCCATTTGAACAGGTACTGAAACTGATGTACCATGTACAAAGAAATCAATGGGACGGGTTGGTAAGCGACAAGATATTGACCTAAATTCTGAAAGACATAATGCCAATACGAGCGTAATTTGGTATACATGAGACATACTGAATGACTGGCCATATTAATGTATTATTGACCCATCTTAGGACTACTTGACACTCTCTATGTGACTGGCCAATACCACATTGATTTTAAAACATTAATAGTTTTTCATACGTAATTAAACATATCTTTCGAAAGGATCAGTAATTGCATGAAAATACATATTTGAATGATTCACCGAAAATAACTTCGCTCAGTAAACTAACAAAACCAGGATTCTGGCTCTTCTCTGCATAGAGTTGGGAAGAAGCTGCTGGTAGACTCCAGATAAGAAGTCAGATTGTTTTAAAACAGATTTACTATTCACAGTAGCAGGCGCCAGGGCTCTGCTGGCACACTGTAGTGGTTAAGGTTTTTTGATGGTGCTCTATTGGTTAAGGCATATATTGTTTAAAGGGACAGATATAGATATAAATGTTCATACAATAAACAGTATCAATATAATAGACCTGCTACAGAAGGTTTTTACATGCATAAAGAGTACATAATGCTATTAATTTAGCAACATTGTAAATTACCTGAGTAAAGCAGCAAATTTAAACTCTAAGCTAAAAAAAAAAAAAAACTAGCTAAAAAATGCACTGTACTGAGCGTTCGTTTGTTTAGGCGGTCATTTGTTTTAAGCATTCATTTATTTTCATGAAATATGTAGCAATATGAATTAAAGAAGTGTCGAACGGCGGGAATAGCCCGACCGCGGCTATCCCTGCCGATTACCTGAGTGTTCAGTTGTTTGGCGGTTCGTGAGTTTAGAACTAATTTGGAGCCAATATACAAAAGCCACTACAGAAAAGAAAAGAAAAAAAAAAAATTTCTAAATTTTTCTCACCTTAATTGGTCGCAGACCACTTGGGGGGCCGGTGGACACTGAAATCCTGTTGGGTCAAGCACCCAGGCTGTCAAACAGGTATTAAAGGTTTTTTTTGTTTTTGAAATACCCATGGCCAATTAAATTTGGGGCCAAGAAAAAGTGTTGTATTTGCACAATCGCAGTAGCACGTCTGAAACACATTACCTCTCGGGCGTGCGTTCCACTTGCTGCGTCTGCAGGCTGATTTGCAGTCACCGTGGTAAATTTAAAACACAAAACATGAAAGTGTACCTTTTGTGTGTGGCATGTGCCTAAAAATTGATGTCATCCAGACATTTTGTAACTCCACCGATTAGGCACAATAAGACACAGCACACTTCCTGGGCAGCGATGGAGCTGAAGGAACTCCCTCGGATAGCAGCCGGTGCCTACACAATCACAGCACAGAACAAAACTTCCTGAAAGATACCGGAACCATACTGAACACAGGACAAGTAAGAACTGATGAATTCCTGGTTTGTCAGGTATTTGAAGGGACTTCAAGAGGGCAGGCATGCAAATCCTTTTTCTGCATAGGACATTACCTGTCCATCATTACAATGAATATCCCTCTTGTACTGTCGATGTGACAAAACTCTTGTTTCAGGCTGCATGACTGACAGCTCTGAGAGATTGTCTTACAGCTTCAGTGTTTTTATAAACTGCTTTAATGGGCAACGTTGTGAAGGTGCAAAAGTGAATGTGAAAACAGGCAAAAATCATATGCAATATTTGTAATTGATTACTAAAGGAACATTGCACACTCAGATATGGAAATAACAATAAAATAATTTCCGCAAATATTCATCATATGAAAAACATTTACAGCGTTTTAGTATGAAAAAAGGACGCACATAGAATGAAAAGACAATGAAGCCTTACCCTGCATACTGACGTATACAATAGTAGATACGGAGCATATTATCGCAGCCAATAAGACAATGAGAACAATTAGATAACTTCTCAAAGCAGGTCCACCAACACAGTCAAAATGTCCTTTATGAAGTGAATATAGCACCAGTATGCCAATCCACCTAGACAAAAATAAGAAGAAATTAATGAATCAAGAATAAAATATTTAAAAAAAAAAAGGTTAATTACAGTGTATTTGAGAAAAAGGGATTTCATGCTTAGAAACAACATTTATTCCCGAGCCTCGGACAGCTCTGCTGAATCGAAAATCCTGCACATCATCTTGCAGTAACATGAATGTAAATTAACTTACAGGGTCTGCACATTAAGCGAACTAGTTATTGCTAAGCAAAATAATGATATTCCACTAAGCTTCTGATTAACTCAACCTAAGATTTAGCCTATCCTATCTAGGAAAAAGCTGACAGCAGAACGACACCCATAAATCTTATTTGAAAATATGGTACCCAAGGAGTGATGCTTTTCTTCTACCATTTAGAGTACCCAACTTGCTGTCAATGTGATATGTCCCTTTTTCTTACCCCTCATATTTTATTTTCCTCCTCTCCCTTTCCCCTTCTTCAATATTCTCTCACCCTCATATAAACCCTCTAGTACTTGGAGGCCAGCCAAGAGACTTTCAAGTTGGAATCCAATCACAAAGAAAGATGGCAATTGAAATACAACAGGGAAACTGCGATGTTGATATTGTAGGGTTAAGCCTGCCTCTAATAGCTGTCTACCAGACAGCCACTAAAGGCGCTTCCTGCTGTTTTAACGCAGTCTGACTCCAACGACACTGGACTTCCTCACACTTTGCATAAAGACATTTAGCATGTTCAAATCCCCACAGGAAACCATTAGATTAATGCTTTCCTATGGGGAAGGCCAAATGGGCATGTGCATTAAGTTCCTGCTCAGCGATGACGTTGGAGGAGACGGAGACAGGGGGCCCGGGGGAAGGGGTCAGAGTAACACTTTTTTTTTAGAGCCGATACCGATAACTTGTGAACTTTCAGGCCGATAGCCGATAACTTACCAATATTCTGTACATTTACCGTTTTTAAAAAATACACTATTTCTACACAAATCTACTGTTAACTAAACATGTTTATTATTTATTTGCAAATCTTTTTTTATTTTTTATTAAGGTAAATGCACAAAATATACATGCCAGCCAGAATTTTTTACGTTTTCAAGAATATGTGTGTGTATAGTGGATGCAGTGAGAGTATTTGATTAGTGAATGTAAAAAAAACAGTCTGAAGCACTTCCAATTTTGAAACAAACTGGGAAATAATTCCTTCTTCACCCCAAAATAGCAGTCAGATGTCTCTTTGCCCTTCCTGTCCATCCAGCCCGGCAGGAGGGGGCACCCTCAGGGCACTATAGTGCCAGGAAAGCGAGTATGTTTTCCTGGCACTATAGTGGTCCTTTAATCCAGCATCTAGTGGCTGTCTCATTGACAGCCGCTAGAGGGCTTCCGCGCTTCTCACTGTGAAAATCACATTGTGAATGCTTTCCTATGGACTGGCTGAATGCGCGCGCGGCTCCTGCTGCGCATGCGCATTCAGCCGAGGAGGTGGGGAGGAGGAGGAGAGTCCCCCGCCTGGCGCTGGAGAAAGAGGTAAGTTTAACCCCTTCCACCCCCTAGAGCCCGGCCGGAGGGGGACCCTGAGGGTGGGGGCACCCTGAGGGCACTATAGTGCAAGGAAAACAAGGCACTATAGTGGTCCTTTAATGACAACTTGTGCTCATTCTAAAGACACACTTTAAATGGGAAAACAATGAAGGAGACGTGTAATAACTAAATGAAAAACTAAATTCAAAAGGTGTAACATGATTTTTTTTTTTTTCATATGTTTCAATTTAGAGACAGAATCTTATTAAAGGGATTCTCCAGTGCCAGGAAAACTGCAGGGTCCTGAAGTGCCCCCTCCCTCCAAAGTCGCTGAAGGGGTTAAAACCGCTTCAGACACCTACCTGAATCCAGCGCCAAACGCTCCCCCGCTGGAGACCTAATGCGCATGCGCGGCAATGGCCGCGCGCACGCTCATTAGACCTCCCCATAGGAAAGCATTATTCAATGCTTTCCTATGGGGATTCCGGCAATGCTGGAGGTCCTCATGGACAAGAAGTTGAAGAGGACTTAACCCTGCAAGGTAATTATTGCAGTTTATAAAAACTGCAATATTTACACTTGCAGGGTTAAAGGTGATGGGAGTTGGCACTCAGACCACTTCAATGGACTGAAGTGGTCTGGGTGCCTACAGTGTCCCTTTAAAATGAACATTATTTATGTTTTCAGTTACGATCCTGAAACTATGCTTCATAATTTATCAACAAGTGGTTTTCATTTCTTACTTTAGAGATCATCAACATTCAATACTTTCCTGTGGTCAGCCGACTGCAGCAATATGCAACATGTTTGCTATGCACTTTGCTATGCAAGGAAGAGGGTGAAGTTGTGACATAAATTACAACATTTTAAAATTCTTTTGCACCGCAGAGCACAAAAGAAACACGCCTACAATCTAAGTATAATTTTAAAAAAAATAGCATTATTAATTGGCTGAAACATACAGTGCATTCATAAAGTATTCAGTCCCCTTCATTTTTTTGTGTTGCAGCCTTTTGCTACCATTATAAAGGAACACTTATAGGGCCAGGAACACAAACGTATTCCTGACCCTATAGTGCTAAACCCACCATTTAGGGGGCAAAGGTAAAAACAACTTATTTCCAGCACCGCGCGGCTCCATGGGGAAAGCATTGGATTGGGTAAAATTCGGCAAGGGGGCGAAGCCAAATGCAGTTTTGGCCAATCAGCACCTCCTCATAGATATGCATTGAATCAATGCATCTCTATGAGGAAAATTCAGCGTTCCCACGCAATGCGTGGAGCGCTGAACGGCACTGCTACCTACTGTGTAGCACTGAGCCAGGAGGCACCTCCAGTGGCCATCTAACGAGTGGCCAGTTGGAGGTGTCCCTAAGGGGCAATGTAAACACTGCCTTAACATGAAAATGCCTGCAGGCAATGATTATACTCACCAGAATAACTACATTAAGCTGTAGTTGTTCTGGAGACTATAGTGTCCCTTTAAATTGTCATTTTGTTTCACACCAATCAACACTCAATACTACATAATGACAAAGTAAAATCAGATATTTGGGGTGTGATGCACTGGGCTTCGCACACCTGGATTTTGGTAGTTTCTGCTATTCATCTGCAGATCCTCTCAAGCTCTTTCAGATTAGATGGGGGCTGTTGGTGGACAGCCATTTTCAGGTTTCTCCAGAGATGTTCGATTGGGTTCAAGTCCGGGTTGTGGCTAGGCCACTCAAGGATATTCGTAGAGTTGTCCCTAAGCGACTTTTGTGTTGTCTTGACTGTGTGCTTAGTGTCATTGTCCAGTTGGAAGGTGAATCTTACATTTAATGGAGGCTACTGTACTCTTGAGAACCTTCAATGCATCCAAAATTATTTTATAGGGTTCCCCAGATCTCTGAGCTCATGGCTTGGTTACTGTTCTGATATGCATTTCGAATGGTGAGCCTTTCTAAATCATGTCCAATCAACTGGATTTACTACATGTCAACTCCAATCAAAGTGCAGAAACATCTCAAAGATGATCCAGAGAAATGGAATGCATATAAGTTAAATTTCAAGATTAATAGAAAGCGGTATGAAAACTTAATTTGCTTTGTTATAGTGGAGTATTTGAAGATGAATGTGGATTTGTTTTTTGTTTTTAAAAAGAACATTAGTGTTCACAATACAAGCGTATCCCTAACACTAAAGTGTTCTACTAACAAATTAAATATCCCCTGCATCTGCTCCCTAGCATAAAAAAAAAAAATTAGATTAACTGCAGTTTTAGCAGTCGCCACGCTGGTCCCTGTGCGGCAGCTCCCCAACTGTGGCTGAGATTATTAATCTTGGGAGTGTGCCAGGGCACTCCTGGTACCATAACCACTACAGTGTGCTGTAATGGTTATGGTGCTTGGTGAGTTCCTTAAAATCCAAATGGCAAAACTGAGGCTAAAAAAATTGATTTTAAAATTTTTGCCAACTCAGCTGGCAATCATCTTAGCCTACATTTTGCAATTCTGATCTAATTCTGAGTTGTCCCAAGCAGATGACCCAACAAAAGACAGTCGCCCCAAGCAAACTATCTGCCAAAAGGCAGCTATCCCAAAACATTGCCTTTCTGTACTCTTATAAGGGATACGAATTAAAATGTTTAACCCTTTATCTGAGCCTCTATCTAATCTCCTAACTGAATACAGATTTGTGTACCTTGCTAGGCATGCCATGAGAAGCACCCATAGAAAGCAGTTATATGTACAGACACAGGGTTACACAAAGTGAAACATAGGTGACCCAAAAATAGGGAAATTCCTTTGCACTGTCAGTAATTCTCAGTTTAGTAAATAACCTCTCCTAATATGTCTGGTGTGTGATGTATACCATGACCTGTGTGAAGGTTAGGTAAATAGCAGATAATGCAGTATAATGCAGTATATTGACCATTAATGACAGGTAGGCAGTGCTGTAAGGTGCCATGATCCCCCCCCCCCATACATGTTTATCAATGTCAGACATGTCATCACTCACCAGATCAGTCTCACAAACAGCTCAAAGGCTCCAGGAAACACCAGGTCATCACTAGCTATAGCCCAGCGCCTGCCAAACATCAGTAACCCCGGCATCCTGCCAGTCCACACGGCCTCACCGAGATCACCAGCTCCCTGCCAGCCGTGCTGAGCCCGGTATGGAAGGGAGGGAGCCTGTGTTTCCCTGGGGGAACAACTGAAATCCACACCCTGCTCCCTGTGCGGTAAACAAACCCGATTTCCCCATCACTGCACTCCCTGTGTAGCACTGAATGGCGACCGTGCGGAAACAAACTCCCACTGACTGGCACTGCTGAATCTAAACAGCCCCTCTGTCCATACACACTGCCTGGGTTTAACAAACTGGAGCTACACTTGTGGCAGGTTTTATTATTTGTGGAGTTTAATAATTTTTTTTATTTTTATTTTTTACTTTGGGTAAAGCCTACAACCACCTTATGTATTAGGCTGGTTTGTTTTCCAAGAGCTTTAAATGAGAATGTGTTTATTATTGACTAAAGACTAAATTGCAGTAAATTGGAAAAATAACAGTATTATTTTAAACTTACAGGGTTATTCGCTAAAGTGTGAGTTGTCAGGAATTGAAAGTGAGTTTCACATTGATTTGAATTCACAGAGACCCTTGGTGGTGACATCGTCGCTGGGGGTCCGGTGACATGGGAGGAGGGGCAGGTAAAGGGGAGTTCTAATTATCTAAACCTGTCCATCGCGTGCGCTGCCATCTTCTTGTGGCCAGTCCTCTTCAGCGAAGCGTCAGAAGCCGACGTCACAGCTATATTCGCGCGCGTGTGCAAGATTACAGCATTGATGTCTATGGAGGATCCCACGAGACTGCAGGATTCTCCATGGACAGAGCCAATTCAGTAACCCTCTCTATGAATTATGCGTTTGCCCAGAGACGCTTCCTTAGCAGTGACCACAATTAGTGGCCCCAGACTGACAGAACAGCTATGTCTCTGTTGAGCCGAAACTTTGCACTTTATGAGGTGGTGTATCCAGAAATAAACTTACCTTCTTGATCCTGTTGTGTTGCCTGTGTTCTTCTGCTCCTGTGAGTCTACTGGTGGATTCAGCGATGTCCACCTTTGGCACGGAGCACCTCCATGACAGAGGGCCAGAGTTTTCAGGCGGAACCTGTGTGCAGGGATTCTTGTTTCTGAAGTCAGTACTGATGTCAGCAAAAGGGAATCCCTCAGAGGTGGGATTAGCGGAAAAGGCAGATAAAAATAGATTACACAAGGGAGAGGGACTGTATCCAGTGTGGTTAGACATTTGCAGACAATGGTTAGAATGTTACACCGGGATACAAAGTACCATTGAACCTTAATAAACCTAGGTAGGATTTAATGAAACTTTTCAAACTCAGTGCTTCCTTCTACAGTGCTCTTGTTGCTGCATGTCTGTCTCCATGTCACCGAATTACAGAAGCTTTATGAAGTGTACAAAGTTAGGGTACCCAGAGCCACCATGTTCCCTGGACACATATTGATAGCTATAGGTTATCAATTTTTTTTAGGGTGGGGAGAGCTGCAACACTTATTAACCTACCAGGCTGGAGTCCATGCCCTAGTTGGCAATGTCTAACATGGAACCTTAGCAGAATCACCGGGTAGAACACTGGCTCAGGTATATGGAGAGCCCGGATTCTCTGGGTGTATTCCCGGTACGCTTGTTTTAGCCCCCTTTTTCATTTTGGTCTGCTTACTCTTCTAGATGGAGCTAGCGAGAAATGGTTCCCTTCATCCCTTATTAGAGGCATAAGTCAGCGCCGTGCTGTCTACCTTAAAGATACAGGAACCTGGAAGTTTAGAACTTTAAATCTGGAAAAGGCTCTAATAAATGTGAGTTTATTTCCACTCACAACCCACAAAACTATTTTCTGCTACAATATACATTATTGCACTATTATTTGTATCTCTCTTTTGTTTTTATATATACCCCCTACCAAAACAAAGCTTGTAAAGAGGGTTAAGTGTTTTATGCACCCATTTGAGGAAAAATCTACCTCACACACTGGTATAGCGCTGCACTCAAACTGGTAGTTTGGAGGGTGGAAACACCAACCATACTTCAAGTTTATTTTTTGGGGATTACTGTTTTGTGGTGGGGTGTTAGGAGTACCCACGGAGTGTATACGGTAGCTAAACAAAACTTAACTATACATAAAATTAAAGAAACGCCCCCTTTTTGTGTATATATAAGTACTCGCCAACCACTTGTTTTTCCCTTTTTTACATATATATAAAATGTGCAATATTTATGACCATTGTTTTATCACTAATGTTAAATTTTCTCATGTTATCTTGCAACTCGAAAATGTGTCAGGTTGCGCTTATTTGTATATGACACAACAAAAATAAGGAATAAAAAATAAAAAGTCTCGTAAATTGTATCACATAGTCAAAATGGGTTCTAATCATTCATTCTTTCTTGCTGTATTCAGAAGAAAACATATATTTAAAGGGACACTAAAGTGGCCCTGACTACTACATCTCAATTAAGTGGTATGGGTGCAGTGTCTCAAACCTTTAACCCTACAATGGAAAACACTGCATTTAAAAAAAGAAAATTTGTAGAGGTTTAAATTGCAGAGTTAAAACCACTTACTAGAGGTGTTTCCGCTGCACATATGAATACATAATTGGACGTGAGCGGCGCTTGCCATGCATGAATATAAAGCTATGCTATCTTGATGATGTTGCGGGAGGTAGATATTTGAACTGCACTGAGCAAAAAGGTAGGTAAATCCTTTAATTCATTTTAGGACAGGTTTGTATAGTGTTATTTTAAATGTCTTTTATGAATTCTGATCCTTCTTTCAATGACTTCTACAACCCTTTATAAAAAAAAAAAAAAAGTGGTCATGGTGGTCGAGTAACTTTCATCCCCAACACCCCACGAGTATGTCATAAAGATTGGATCTTTATGAAATACGTTTTTTCACTGCATTGGAATTCCTCTGAAATTTCAACTCAGTCATGAGATATACAGAGACAAAGTAGGGACAACCAGGGACGGCTGCAGGGAATTGGCTGTGTCTATGGAGGATCCTGCGATCTCACAGGATATTCCATAGACCTTAATTCCGTAATTACATACATGTGTGAAATTACAGTTGTGACATTGGTGCCAAAGAGGACCTGCTAGATGAAAATGGCTGCACTGCAAGGGACAGGTTCAGGTATGTAAATCTCACCTTTACCTACCCACAATTTATTAATTTATTATTATGCATTCTTCTGTACTCTTACAGATTATTGGTTTATACAAGAGACCATATTTTAGTCACACCTCAGAGTAGTTTTGCCAGTACCCTTTGATTTAGATGGGGTCTGTGAGCAAGCACAATTAGAGAACAGCTCACCAATCCCCAAGCTAAGCAAACTAGGGAATTATGAGGAGGTGCAGATGAGGTAAGAACTTTGAACTGGCCTCTGCTTGACAAGATAGAAATTCATTCAAAACCCTTTCATTTTGTTTGTTCCCTTTTTGAAGAAGCTCCTAGGAGTCTGGCTACCATCTCACACCAGGAGCCACTCACAATAAGAAATACACTGAAGTAGCCTAGCTATGTTAGAATATAGCAGTATTTAAGAAAGTTTTCCAAATCAGCTATTTGGTCCTAAAACTTTCAGTTTGTTGTCTAACCATCCTTACGTCTTCATGGTTCTATCTTAATAAATTTAACACATGGTTGTAGCGTATTCTATGCTGCAGAAAAGAACTGGTTCACATTCCTTTCCAGTGTAGCGTCTGCAAAAGGCTAGGTCTTCTGTTAGCCACCAGCACTGCCCTCTAGTGATGAATAAAATTTTGGTAACCAGTAACATAAAAGACAGCATAGAAATTTAAATTATTCATTTATTTGAGCACATAAGGAGATTTTTTAATTTTATTTTAATTTAAAAAAAAAAAGTAATTCCACAATATGAAAATGCTTGCATTCCTCGACCGGGCTATCTGATTCGGGATCCGATGGATCTTCTGAATCCATATAAGCCTCCTCCTCAATGTCGCTGAGATCCAACTCAGAATCTACTTGGGCTTTTGCCCTTTTCCATAATCTAGCCGATTTTGCCCGGTTAGTGGCTCTTTTGCGCGGTGACATAGTAGTCGCGCCATCTGTGACAGATGTATGGCTGTCCATCTGTGGCATTGAGGAATGTTTCATCTTTGCCAAGGCCTTATGACAGGCAAAACCTGGGCAAGAGTCGGTTGAGCTGATTTTTGTGCCTGAATCAGGGCATGCGTAAATGTCTGTGATATTGAGTCAGACATTAGTCCCATGGCCGACATAAGGGCTTTAGTCATAGCCTGTAACATCGTGTTATCTATCAAGCTCAGCTGGGGAACCCGCTATATTATCAGACACACCTGAAGGTGCCTTAAAACCACCTTGGTTGGGGTTATTAGACCCAGAGGGTGTGGGAGCATCTTTGTCAGAAGGCATAATAATTATGCTATTGACTGACAGGATTATTTCCAGAAATAATAGAACAAACCTGTGGGTAGTAAAACCTGTGGAGGAGGGTTGAGTAACCAAAAGGAGGGAATCTAAAGTGTAGAACAAATTTTATGAATATATATTAATATTACTAGTAATATATTTAACCCACAGAATAATCATTGATACAGGAGAAACAGAGAGCCGTCCGACCACCACGAGCACTAACCCCCAACTCCGAGTTCCGGTCTTTGGGGGGGCAGTGCTAGTTTCAGGACGCGGGTAAGGCAATAAAATGGCCACCGCGAGCGGCAAAAAAGTCCCGAAAGGGAGGGGAACAGAAGCGTTCATGTAGACGAACACCTTCCTAGTGTAATCAATGCGTTTGCGGAATTATCCCACGAAACTGCCGAATGAGGGTCGTGAAAGTGAACGCAAGGTTCCAAGTGCGTTCGCATCAAACATCCGAAGGAGGATATCTAAGCGTAAGAAAAATCAGGCGAATGGGTGCACTGAGGAAAGCGCGCGCACTCGACCTCAGTAATATGGCGGTCGGACGGATAATGGGCAGGAAAAGAGCGCAAAGCGCCGTGACAAGCATCAGCGGTTCCTGCAGACACCCCTGAGCTCAGTTAATCGTACTGGTCTCAGAAGGTCAAGGGAACCAAGAAGGGAACAAATACATCAAAATAATAGTCAGAAGTATATCTAAATAAACCGTTAAAACAGGCGGAAATGTAACAAATAATTAAATAGGAAGTAATATTCCCACTAATAGTTAAATTAACTCAGATAATATGAATAGTATTAAATAACACAGTAATATAATGATCCCACAGTTAAGAAACCATGGCACCTGATGTTACTTAACTGAGGGAGCAGCAAAGAAAGAGGAATTGGTTTGGTTGACAGAGCCTATTATGCTGGAGAGTGGAATCCGATTGGCTGTTCCTGTTACTAAAGATACTCATCTCAGACTGTTTACTGTTACTACTGGTTATGTTTGAAAAAAAAATTTCTTTGCTGCCGAGGGAAAATAAGACACGGAGGCTCCTTTAATAAAATTGTGGTTATATGCTATCTTTTAGAGGTTTTAGAATTACTGCATATTGGATAGATTTAACCATGTCAAAAACCCAGAGAATGTTGGCAATACAATGTGAAATATACACTTTGTAGCAAACATTCAGGTGCGGACTATAGCTTGTAAGAAATTCCTCATTTATTCTACCCATATCACTATAACAATACGACCGTCTTTTACCACTCATTTTCTGAACTTGCAGTTTTCCATTATTATCAGTGAATATATTTCCACCATTTCATGTACAGTTATTTTGTGAGTTATCAAATTAGGATTAAATTGTATACACTCCCCTCTCTCTTTTGGTTCTCGCTTACTTTATATTATGCTTCAGCAGCTGCTTGAAATCTCACTCAATTACCTCATTCCCTTTTCACTTTACCAGTGGCTGCAATTATCCTTAAATTCTTTCTGGCCATCACATCCATATTCCCCCTGCTACCTCTTGCCTCAGGTTCCCATTTTAAACTCACAGGCAATCCAGCCAAGTACTCTGTATAAGAATGCATTAATAGCTGGATCTCAGCTCATGGGCACTGCCCTCCTTACCTGCAGACTGTGCTGGCACTGTATAAATCCAAACCTTTTTGGTATGACTATAAATAGCATTTCTAAATTTCCAACACAAGGGGGAGCAGTTTAACTTTGCACTTGCAGGTACATAAACTGTGAAGTTGCTGCAGGAACTAAAATTGTAACAATATATCCATTACCCTAGTTCAGGGGTAGGCAACCTTTTAGCAGCACTGTGCCGATATAGGATTGTGATGTCCCGTAGCGTGCCGGTCCTATTTTTTTTAAATTGAGGTGTGTATGCTTGCCGTATTCTGCTTGTGTTATTTTTACTGCAGTTGCTTTGCATCGTTGTATATAAGCTATTATATTGTATATGTTCATTAGTAGTTTATGGTATGGTGTTGGATACATATGAATGTGGGCTGTGTATGAGGGCTGCTTGTGGAATTGTGTGTGGATGGATATGTCACATTGTGTGTGTGTGTGTGGGGGCTGTTTGGGGTATTGCATGTGAGAGGCTGCATGTGGGGTTGTGTGCATGTATGTGGATTATTAGCGGCTTACGTTTGTGCAGATTGTGTGTGGGCTCTTCGTATTATTTGCATAAGGGGAGGGTTATTCTTCATTTCTGTGTTATGAATGTAAATTAGTGATAGTAAAATGTCTATTTACTGTGTATATCTGTATTCAATATCTACTCAAAATGGCTGCTAGAGCACCCCCTCCCACCGACTACCTCGTGTAACAAGATGGCACTTTCATCCGGAGTAAAATCCCAGGATGATGGTGACATCACGCCTTGTAGGATGTGCATTAGATAAAACACTTAAAACCTAACCAATTAAAGATGTATTCTGTTATCTACATTTTTGCATATTATGTATTTTTGCCTTTATAAGGGGCTTGCCGCCCCCTGAGTAAACATTCCGAAGTTTTTCCATTAACCTGATACCTGTGTCTCAGTGTGATTTACTTTAGAGCGTGCACGCATTTATTTTAACAATTTGGAAAGGAGCAGATACTCAGATAAACACTTGGTTTGATCCACAATATCTGTGTATATCTAGCAGTATGGTTGGCTTCCCTGGGTTCCAGTGGGGACCAGGGTGGCCTGGTACAGGTCAAAGACAGGAGCTGCAACAGCAGCTGCAGGCTGCTCTACTACGGTGTGGATTTCCATTCACAAGTGCTTGAAGGAAGTGATCTGAGATCATTTCCTCTATGTGCAATGCTTAAATTGAGGATTGTCCTTTACCATCTTTTCGTATTAGCAGATATTTGAAGTTTTACTGGGAATCCTGATAGGCCAGAGCCTGTTTGGCTCTAGCAGCCTTGAGTGCAGTGCAAAAACACCTCGAGTGCCGTGCATGGCACTAGTGCCGTAGGTTGCCTACCCCTGCCCTAGTTCATAAAAACAAAAAACACTTTTGCTGTAACATTTCAAATTAATAGTCTAAGATAAAGAAGAAACCAAACCCCTCCAAAAACTCAGCATCTTTATTGTACACTGCAAATATTTGGGAGGCCACACATGATTAAGCTCAGTCTTGTACATTGTAACCCTCTGAGCATGCAGTCTTTATCGTATATGCAATATTAGAGCAGAGTTGGAAACTCTGTAAATGACGACTCAATGAAATGTTTGTCTATTTGCCACTTTGTTCTTTTAATACACAAGAATTATCCAAAAAAAAATAAAAATCACAAAGTTAAAATTTTGCCTTGCTACAAGACAAGAATGTCCTTTTAAAAGATGTATGATTGTGCAAAAAGATGTGGGCAGGGTGTAAAGGCAATGAGAGACATTTTATATATCCAATACCGTTTTAAAAAGAAACATTTTCGAAATCACGTCATACTGCAATAAAAAGGAAGTTTAAACATGGGTTTTGCTCTACAGTAGGCAACGTAAGCCAGGATTTTTTTTTTTTTTTAAGTTTTAAAAATAACCTTTGCTACATTGTGTACGTTTTAGTTTGTTTAGCTCTTAAGACCTCCTGTAAAGGATTACCAAGACAAAAAGGTAGAATTAATTTCAGCTTAGTAAATTCTACAGGAAGCCAAGGATTGATGTGGTTATTATGCTATTTTCCATGTAAAATCAAAAACTAGTGTTTATTCACAAAATATAAAAACAGATCTTGCAGGAAAGCTACTGGGGATGCCCAAAGAGATGATCAGTTTAAGACCTTCCAAACTGGTTTCAATATGAAAGATGGACATACAGGCATTTGACACTTTACATCGAAACAATTCTGTGGTTCTCATTGTTCACTAAATTGTGAAATTTTACAAAGGTGTGTACATTTTTTATTTTTTTATTTAGTAAAACGTACAGATACAGAATGAATATATATATATATATATATATTTATTTATTTCCCCCTTTGTTGCATTTTATGACAATAGTATGTTTCCCTGCAACACATCAACATCAATACATTTGGATCCATATATTTTATTATGCAAAACTGTTTAGGAATGAAAAAGAAGTTTTCAATAAAATGGAGACAAAATAAAGTTGGAAATAGCCTGGGAACGTTGTTTAGTTCTCTAGAATTCACTCAGAACATAGATTGCTTAATATTAGGGGAGAATGAGAGGTGAAAAAAAAAAAAAATAAGATATTTGAAATTCTATTTTGGAAGTAGGAAAATGTAATAAATTATAGTGGAATGATGAAATAGAATGGCAGTCTCCTTGTTGGGACAGGTAAAAGGACAATTTTGCACTTGAACCTAGTTGTAAACTTCACAAAAATCTCACTTTTACAACTATTGAACTGAAACGGTGCACTGGATTTATCATTACAGTATACATTTTGTATGTAAAAAAAATCTTTATACATCATAAAAAAAATGAGAAGGCAAGATGCATAAAACAAATCAGTTGTTTCCAAGAGTCGGCTTTTACATTACTACTTTGCTGTTGGAGGGGCTGGCCTCTGATTTGATTTGGGCCTCTCCGGCAGCAAAAAGAGCAGTTCTGCATAAAGACAGTAGTGTTTCTGACTCTGCTTCAGGCATCTTACACCTTCACTCATGGTAGAGGATTGTTCTGTCCAACTGCTGTAGAGGACAGCCGCTGGTCCACATTTTTGGCACTTACGCTGGCAAACTCAACTTCTTTCCCTTTAGTACTGCAATAAGAAAGCAACAAACATTTGGTTAGATACATAAACCTATTGGTGTAGAGACAAATGTACAGCGCTACGGAATGTGATGGCGCTATATAAATAATAAAACAACAATACAAATAAAATATATTTTATGTCTATATGTTTATAAAATATGTCTAAAGCAAGACTTTTTTCCTAAACACACAAAATAGGATAAAAAGTCTAGAGTTTTTAAAATGTAAAGCTCTGGCTAATTTGAAATTAAATGCACACTGTAGCATTAGGAATACAAATGTGCATTCCTAGTACCCTCTGGCGCCACCTGTATAGTAAAAATAAAATGCCACCTCAGCCACTCCACTGCTTTCCCATAGGAAAGCAGCGAGAGGCTTGTGAGTATGCACTACAAAAACACTGGACTTCGCCAACCAGATGATTAAAACAGTTTTTACTCTGCTATTTCCGAGGAAGCACCTCTGGTGGCAGTCTGAATAACCGCCACCAGAGACTTTTATACCTGCAATGAAAACATGTTTTTATTTGCAGAGTTATTAAAGCAGAGGGGAGGAACATAGCACCCAGACCACTCCATCTCAATGAAGAGGTCTGGGTGCCTATAGTGTCTCTAAGACAGATATATCAGTGGAAAATCAACTATCCTATCCAATATTGCTTTAAAACTGCCCAAAATATGCTCAAATAACGTAAACTGTTTACATTTGTATAATAAAACAATTTACGTTATCCCGTTTAGTAAATTCAGGACTTTGTGGTCTTTGAATTACTAGACAGAGAATGCCTGCAATGTCCATTTTTACATATAGATGCATGAAGAGCAACACTTTTTCCAGGTTATAACTCAGCATCATGAGGATCCTTGGTCACTTGAAGCTTGAGAGTTACTTGTTTATTATCCAAGATTTACAATCCATAGGGCTGCAACGTTATATTAATCTTTTTAGTCATAAGTTTTAAATTATTTACTGGTAGTCATATCTAGCATTTCTACTCATCCAAATAACCAGTGATTATGAGAGAGCGGTTACAGATACCCACATAATGATGGGGCTTGACAGGCACAGTTCTAGAATGCACACATGTTCTACAAATACATTCCATTTTTAGCACTGAATACTAGAATAAGGAACACGATGTAGAAAGGGTGTGCCCAAACTCTTAATTAGGCTTTATCTTACAATGTTAGAAGCTAGTGATATATCAAACATTAAAGGACCACTATAGTGCCAGAAAAAACACATGTTTCCTGGCACTATAGTGCCCTGAGGGTGCCCCCACCCACAGGGTCCCACTCCCACCTGGCTCTGGAAGGGGGAAAGGGGTAAAAACTTACCTTTTTCCAGTGCTGGGCTGAGAGCTCTCCTCCTCCGATCCTCCTCCCCGTCGGCTGGCTGCGCGCTCATTCAGCCGGTCACATAGGAAAGCATTCATAATGCTTTCCTATGGACGCTGGCGTGCTCTCACTGTGAAAATCAGTGAGAAGCACGCAAGCGCCTCTAGTGGCTGTCAATGAGACAGCCACTAGAGGAAATAGGGGGAGGCTTAACCCATTCATAAACATAGCAGTTTCAGAGAAACTGCTATGTTTATGAAAAAATGGGTTAACCCTAGCTGGACCAGGCACCCAGACCACTTCATTAAGCTGAAGTGGTCTGGGTGCCTAGAGTGGTCCTTTAATGAAACAGTCTCAGCCAATATCTTCAGTTCATTGAAGAGGTTATGGGGACAAAATCTTACTTCAAAGTGTTAAACTGTTTTCCAAACGGTTTAACACCAGAGTATGTCTCCCGTTGCCCGACATAGCTCCACCTTTGTGTCCTTTCTCTGACAGTCACAGAATTAGAAGGATTTAGCTGGGCGGCCAGTGATGGAACAAGAGTGTTATCTGATGCGCTCAGCCCATCACGTGCTGCCTGAAAAAACACCTTCAAATTGTGGTGGCCAGAGGAAGGAAAGAAAGTTGCCAAGGGACAAACACTGGGGTTTCGAAAAATAAATAAAAAATTTTAACCCTGAAGTAAAGATGGTGCCATGAGGAGATATTGGGGTGGGACTGTTCAATAAACCTAGGGGAGCCAGATAACAGACTGAAATTCTTACAAGGGGTCACAATATGAAGTCAATGGGATGGTTGTGCTTGAATCTTTCTAAGATCTTGTTGCAGGATTAAATCTGTAGAAAGATTTTAATTCTCCACTCATCCTCCCAACTTTTGCCTCTACCGACCTGGAAGTTGACCACTGCTGCTCACCTCCCCACCATTCACACATGTGTAAAGAAAAACCACTGTAACAGGCCAGTGGTCATGCATTCACAGATCGGATTTGGCTTGGGGCTGGAGAATGTGCACCCCTACTTTAACCCCTTTTATAGACAGGCAGCTGAGACATGGATGGCAAAGATTATATAATCAGAGAAACCTACTTCTGCAATCATTCACCACTGGAGCTTAAAGAGAAACCTACCTTTTGTAACATACAAGTAGAAGAAGTCACAGTACAGGATGGTCTGCACCACACCTGCCACTACTGCAATCAGGTCGAAGAATCCCTCAAAAAAGAAGCGCCAAATCCAGTTGAAGAGATACAAGGCACGGTACAAACCCAAAAAGAACAGGTAATGAGTGGTGATGGTTTCTGCTTCACCTGTTTTACTTATCATGAAAAGCTGGGGGAGGATGGCCACAGATTCCAAATAAATAGAGAAAGTCCACAGGATCTGAGGGAAGAAGACAGCTTTAATGTTGGTTTGGAATTAGGCTTTGAATAACACACACCTTCCTACCTATAGATTGGGAGGGTGGGTGGGGAACCCACCACAAACTCACAACAGGGTACGGCAGCTAGTAACTTGTAGATCCAGGTCACTCATTCTGTGCCATGATTGGAACTGTGAGTGGGGGCTGAACCAATTATTCTGTGAACTCTTGCTAAACATAGGTATAAGGGATACAGGAAGGGGTTTTGCTGCAGGATCTCTGAGCCACCTGTCTTTGTAAAATTTAAATCATTTCTGATGTATTATCTATGCATCTTTGAGTGTCCATCAACTTATCTACACACTGCTCTCCTATTCTAATATCTGAATAATCTTGCTGTAATATTACCTGTAAAGTGCCAAGTACACCTCTTATTACACAAGACATTCAATGTATGTCCTATATCTTGCCACAGTTATGCAAGCAATGAATATCGTCACAGGGCTCAAAACTTCGTCTAGAAGGGACTAAACAGAAGGTTAGAATGTAAAATAATTACAAAATGGAAGCTAAGAATTAGCCGTCAAGTTAGTGACACTGTAGGCACCCAGACCACTTAATCTCATTGAAGTGGTTGTCCCTTTAATTCTGCAGCTGACCACAGATAAATAAACTGCAAAGTTTTCATTGCAGGGTGAATACTGCACCGAGTATACCTTCATAAAAACAAACAAAGTTGGATGTACTCATGCATTAGAAGTGTAAAACTTTTTTTTTTTTTTTTTTAAGCCCTTTGATTGCTGAGGGACACTATAGTGTGAGAAACACAGCTTTGTATTGCCAACACTAAAGTGTTCATTTAAAGAAGAAAATTACATTTGTGGAGTGAATAGGCAAAGAATTCAGTGCCAAAACAGCAAATGGACTTACCTCAAGAGGAGAGAAGTCATGATTCACAAGGACTGACAGCCCTCCAACAGGAACAACAAGAAACACTACTCTGAATGTGTCGTGGTTTCCATCATAGGTGGCCTTGAATTTTATGTATATCAGATACACTGTAGCATATGCGCAGGCAATATAGATCAGCTGAAATGGAGTAAAAACCATGTTAAATATTAACAAGCAACCCAACACGTATTTACATGCAGCAAGTAATTTCCACTGGTTGGAAAAGCTGTGTTTATACAGCACAGTCCTGGTTTCACCTCAGTACTATCCCTAAATGAACGGTCCTAAAGCTTTAATTTTTATTAAATAGCCCAAGCTCAGTGACCCATTGCTCAATTATAGAACAAGTTCAGTAACCAATTCCTTAACTGGAATAAATACTAAGACTACTGAAAACAAGTCTCATTACTCTCCTCCTGGGGTTGAAGGGTTAGGAAAGGGAGTGCTACAGTCTAGGCAGATTTCCCAGTGTATGACTAATGTGATGGGACCAATTTAACCCAGGTTTTTAAACCATGCTTCTACATACATGCACTTGAAACCAAAATGTTTATACCCAGAGGATCCCAGCTATGTGAAAATGTCTTACTAGAGCAGGGGTTCCCAGCCCTGTCCTCAACCCCCTTCCAGTCTAGACACAACAGTGTAAATCCTAAAGTGCTACCCCCCCCCCCTTTTCTAAAAACACCTTAGAAACAACAGGGTAATCACTAAATCCTGGACTGGCATGGGAACCCCTGCTCTAGTAAGACATTTTCACATACATGGGATCCTCCACCGTATTAGAGAGAATGTTAAACATCCAGATATAAAAATTTAGTTAACAAATAGGATTTTTCACAAAATATCAATATTCTACATAAAAAAAATAAAATAAAAAGGGGGGCAGAGCCAGCACCCGATCAAGCAGGACGTGTTACTGTGCAGCTCCGACTAATGAGGCTCCCTGGACTCCTTAACCCATGGGAAAAAAAAAAAAGAAATAAAAGCACCGGGCGGATCTGGGCTCCGGTTCCAGAGACATAGGTGCATACATGCACCCGACTGCGTGGCCAGCACCTTCCAAGATGGCGCCAGCATCGGACGACAACAGCCTCCAGGATCTGCCTCCTGCCCCATCCCAGGTACACTCTGTATCCCAAGCACCTCTGGAGGAGGGAGATTCTGCCCCCTCTACTAAAGCAGACATACAAGCACTGAGGCAGGACATTAAAGCCATGTTCCAGGCAGATATGGCCCTAGTTCGGGAAGACGTCACAACACTTACTAGCAAAGTGGAAGCGGTGGAGGGAGACATGGAAAGCACCAAACTGGCACAATCTGCCACACTTGCTGCTCTTGGTTCCCTACAAAAGAGATGTGACGATTTGACAGCACAACTGGCTAGCATGGAAGACAGGGTCAGAGCACGCAATGTGAGAATACGTGGCGTCCCTGACACTATCTTAAATGCTGAACTACACCATTACTGCAGGAGGCTTATTGCCCCACTCCTGCCGCCAAAACAGCTTGTGGTGGATACCTGCTTGCGTCATCCAAAGACGCAACTATGTATGTATTGCTGAAGCTTGCAAAGGACTCCGACCGAGGGGCCCTCATGAGCACTGTTAAAAGCTCTCCCACAATACCTTTCGAGGGAGCACACCTAGTCTTACAGAGACTTTTCTAGAGGTACCCTCACCTGGCGGAGGGCACTCCGACCAGTTACGCAACTACTGAGAGAACACTCCATCCCATACAAGTGGAGCCTGCACCGATTGATGGTGGACAGGAACGACAAGACGCATCTCCTGACACACATTTCAGAGGCAACAACGTTCCTCTATTCCTTAGGTCTACCGACGAGGACCGTGGAAAAAAAAAAAAAAAGGCACAATCATCCTGGATGGTGGAGAGAATCACTCCATTTGTGCCCAGACGGGCAGCACCGGAGACTGCTGACTTTCCTACCTGTCGCCAAGGGCGGCTGACATTACTGTTAAACGCATTGTTTAATTTTCAATAATTATGTGTTGAACTTAAAGTCTCCCAAGCACTCTGGCTCCGTAAGCATATGACATGCATACTACCCAGTTGATAACCCCCCCCCACCCCATAAGCCAGACTGAACGTTCCAAGTTGCCCCTTTCTGCAGTACATGTTCCATCACATGTTCAGCCTCAGCTCTGAGCCTTTATTACATACCCTCCTGGCCGGAGGCGGCCACAGTTACGAGTAGCTTACATGCAGAAATTGAACGCATATCGGTGCCATATGTGCAACACGCAGTTGGCACATTGCTTTGTCAAGCTGCAGGCACACAAAGCCTTGTACCGGTCCCCCTGATTCACTGTTATAGCTATTGACTACTGACACGCAGGGTCTCTCAGTTAATATAAAAAACAAAACAAAACCAAAACCACGGTTGTTACTATACTTGTGGAGTAATTGTTATACCACTCATGTAAGCATTGATATTTTCGCTTAACATCTGAGCAAATCACAACTGTAAATGTGATTTTGTGTTATATTACATGACAAAATAAAACTGAACATGTAAACTGCTTTGCAGACTGTAGGGCAAGAGAGAAAAAGTCAGCTTTCCTCTGAAACTTGCATGTCACTGGCTGCGTTGTTCAATGCTGTGGTTGGTGTGGCCAATCTAACCCATAGAGCAGTAAATGTAACATTAGCTAAACCAAGCGACAGTGTACAGCACAATTACAAACAGATTAGCACCATGATGAGCTAGGGATTTATTGCACGACTTCTCACAGAAGGCATCACGCAATGTTCACACTGGTTGGGAAACACAGCCCAATCCAATAGGGAGATTATACAGACCTCCAGGAGAAGTGAACAAACCTGTCATACTAGCTTAGCATAACAACCATACTATAAACAGGCAAGCTGATTACATTTCTCAACATCTGTTACAGTTTACTTTATAAAGACATTCTAGAATCTAGATACTTGTTAAAGCGGAGGATCAATGAAACATACATTCACACCAATAATAGCTTCAATACTTTGTACTGGGTAAGGGAACACAGAACTGTCACTTCCAGAGAAGTTACGGTCCCACTTCAAGGACCCTATTCGGCCAAAGTACTACATACTCCTTTAGCAAGCAGCAAAGCAGAAGAGAGTAATGCACACAGTGACTTCTGAGTTAACACAAAGATTTCTTATGTGGAATGATACCCAGCTCATGCCAAGTATTCCTTTAGTGCATATTTCTTGTGTTTAAATAAACACTATAGGGTCAGGAACACAAACATGTATTCCTGACCCTATAGAGTTTAACCTACCATTTATGTGGCTTGCCCCTGCCCCTTAAAAGCAGTTAAAACTCACCTTATTTCCAGTGCTGCGTGGGCCGGCTGGCACTAGCTCCGCCCCATTGTTGACATCAGAACTGCAGATTTTTAGCCAATCCAATGTTTTCCCATTGGGAAAGCATTGGATTGGCTGAAATTGGCAAGGGGGCAGTTTTGGCCAATCAGCACCTCCTCATAGAGCTGCATTGAATCAATGCATTTATATGAGGAAAATTCGGTGTCCCCATGCAGAGCGTGAAGACGCTGAACGGCACTGCTGCAGCAGAATAGTGAGCATTGGCTTTAAAAAAAAAAAAAAAAAAATGAATTATATATAAATTGATGGCTCTTCGATGAAGTTCAATGAATCAAAAAAAATAAATAAATAAATAAGAGAGTGTATAGTATGAAAAATGTTTATACAAAGCAATCACTTTTAACACCGTTATGCTTTAATGGTCACAATTGTATTGTGTGGTAATGGCCAGGGCACTCTCTGGGAGCAGCACAGCACAAGCACAACATGGACAGAGAAAACCTTTAAACCCCAGGTCATAATGAAATACAAGAAACATAGCTGATTAAGTGCAAAAGTGACATTATTGTAGGATTGCTTTAAGGTTAAAGCTTAGCTACCAGAAAAGCCAACCAATATTCCAGAATAGCCTACTCCCATTTGTGTGTGGTAAAGAGAGGTAATCTAGTCAATACATACCTTCATAGAGGTGTTGTACAATGAAATGAAGGATGTAAAGAGATCCAGGTATCTAGTAGTGAACACTAATGCAAAGAGGAGCTGACTCTTCCCAGAAATACCTGATGAGAGAAAATAATTTGATTAAAAACCGTCCTATTATCGAAGCCGCTGTTGGATAAAGGAGAGGACAGGATATGGTTATAAAAAAAAAACACACCCAGAGTTTACCATACTGCATCAGAGACACTAAATTAGGGGTCCTCAAAAAAGGTAGATGCCCAGATGTTTTACAAACTACAGCTTCCATGATGCTTTGTCATTCTAAAGCATCTGGGGATCTACCTTTTGGGCATCCCTGCCCTAAATTAAGTTTCCATAGAACAAACTGAATGTCATGTTAGAATAACATGAGGGTGAAATTTGTTCTATATAGTGATAAAAAACAAAAAAACAGTTGAGATGTCAATTGAAACAAAGTACCAACTGCTAGTCAATCTATTTAACAGTATTACATCATGAATATTGTATAAATCATTTATCAAGGAGAAGAATGCAATAACATGCCAATGATTTTGACCTTTGTGCAGTAAGTAATACATACCTACCTGTGATAACCATGTGAGAAGGAATCACGGATGACAAGTTATAGATTAAATAAAAAAGCACAAGAAAATCACTCCCACACAGGTTTACAAGAATACCCAAGTTTTACATTGTTCTTGTACATTTGTTTGACAAATCCACATTTAAAAAGGACACTAGAGACACCCAGACTACTTCAGCTTGTTTAAGGGGTCTGTGTGCAGTGTCCCTATTGCACTTAGTGCTGCGCGGCTCTTGCCGTGCAATAGCACCCCCTCGTCAGTAATGTTGAAGGAGGCAGAGCTGCGACCAAGGAACATCGGCGCAGGGATCAGGCAAGTAAATTAAGTGTTTTTATTTAAAGCAAGGTGTTTACAAGTGTGGTGCTCATATCGTCATCTACCCCTTGGACATTCTGCCAAGATGATAGGCAATATTTCTTTAAACTGTTAAGGACAAGTTATATTTCTCGCCACCCTCCCCATTTGGCTCGTACAAAAGCCATGCTAGTAAGGAATGCCCTGCTTTTGGCATTTGCAGCTCTGTAAAAGCCACGTCACTTTTAAATGAAGAGTCGTAAACCATGTAATTAGTCTGCCATGGTACCTTAAAGGGTTAAACTATACAAGACTTGTCATACCAACACCTGGTAATTATAGGTGAGAAGCAGGTAACCAATTATTTACAGCACAGTCATCATTAGATCGTAGCATGTTTGTTTATCTAGGAGCAGTTAGCTTCATACTTTTTTTTTTTTCCCCTCCTTTAAAGTATTGCTGAGAAAGTGCATTAATGAAACTCAAGAAAGGAAAAGGAAAAAAAAAAAAAAAGATCCTACAATACACATTCCAGCATCAGACAGCTTTTTTTTTTTTTTTTTCTTCTCTCTTTAAAGCGTTTGCTTAAGGTCTCGCCTAGTAATAAGGGCAATCCAAACGTAGACCCAATGCTCACGGTGCTTGGGGTATCAGCTACATCTTATCACCGTGAGACTGAAAGGAGAGGAAGCCAATTAGATATTTCCACATGCTTCAGTCTCAAAGATTTTGGCATGTCAGGTTTTTTTTTTTTTTAACACCCTTTGTCTATCAAACTATTTATATCTGAAAATAACACTGTGTCAGTGTTTGCAGGTATTTAAAATACCATGGCATACTCACCAATGGGATCATTTTTACTCGCCAATGGCTAGTTGGAGACTGGAAATTTTGCTGTGATGATAAAGATCATGCACATCTATAAAGTGACTGAGTATAACTGAATTCAGAAGTAGTATAGCTACTTAGAGTCACTTAGAACATTGAACTGTTATTGTCCCTCACGTTTGCTGCAAATCTGCATCTTCTGCTGGGAAAGAAGATAAATTGATATTTTGCAGCCAGTGTGCATCCTCCTATAGCTCAATATATGTTAAATCCTGGGTCTATGGAATATTGATATCAACCCTCTGCAATTCTACTTGCATGTCAAGTAGTTTCATTCATGTCTTTTCATGAATTATATACTATCAGGAGCTATAATATATATTTTTTATTTTATTTATTTATTTATTTATTTTTACACACACACACACGGCAATTGTCACCAGAGCTGAAGGGAGTACATGTCCATTTGCAGAAAAATGAATAAAACACTTTACGGTACAGTTCTTAAAAGAAACTGCAGAACTTGCAAAGGCAAGTGCTACAGCAGGCTTACCCCTCGCAGATTAGAAACAGGCTCTCACTGTGGTCTGTGGGTGGGGTTAGAATATCAGATCTGCAAAGATGTGTGAGCTCCATAAATATCTCCCCACAAAGGTGTGGAACTGCTGAATTAGACGGTAGGAGTCTGGGTCGGCGCACAGCTCGGTTGTGAACCAGGCAATGTGCAGCAATCGCCAAACTTCTGATCGCACATGCACACAACCCTGTTTAAAGAGCCTTGGGGAGATGTTCAAACTAAATAAATAGTGTGTGAGAGACTTACATACACACGCTGGTTGTGTTTTGGACAACCAAAGTGGAAGCAACATTTCTCCTTTGAAATTACTGATCCAGGAGACAGGATTACATTGGCAGCTTTCTTTTCCTCTAAACCAATCAATGTTAATAAACCAATCTGACAAGTAGCAGGGTTATGTCTGTACCCCAACATCTGCAAGGATGGGTTTGCAGCAGAGAGCCTCACAAGTAATACCAGTGTGGCACCAGGGATAGAAAGGAGGAAGATATACTAGTTTAACCCCTTAAGGACACATGACATGTGTGACATGTTAGGATTCCCTTTTATTCTAGAAGCTTGGTCCTTAAGGGGTAAAATACTCCTTCCTGGCACTGCCAACAGAATATAATTTTATATATATATACATACATACATACATACACATACACACACATATATACACACACACACACACAAAGAGGGGCCTAAGAAGATTCTGTGAAACCCTCCATAGATTTCATGCATGTGCAATGCAATAAAGTGAAGATGAATTTTATATAGCGCCAACAAATTCCGCAGAACTGTACAATAGGTGGACTAACGGACAGGTATTTATAACAATGCGCAGGAACAGAGGGTGTTGAGGGTCTTGCTTAATTTGATTGAGCTTACATTCTATAGGGTGGGGTAAAGCACAGGAAGAAGTTGCTAAAAATCAGGTTGTCACCTTTTTCAAAAATGTCAGCACATATGACAAAACAGTGCAGGGATATCAATGAAATAGCAACAAAGATATTCATAAATGGAAGTGCCACATTAATTTTCAAATTAGAAGGGAACATTATAGGAACACTATGGGATCAGGAACACAAACGTGTATTACTGACCCTATAGTATTAAAAAAAAGGAAAGCATTGGTTTGGCTGAACAATTCTGATGATCTTAGCTGAGGAGGTAGACTGGGGGCGGAGCCAAACACTGCCACGGCCAATCAGCATCTCCTCATAGAGAGATGCATTTAATCAATGCATCTCTATGAGGAACGCTCAGTGTCTGCATGCAGTGGGTGGAAACACTGAATGGCAGTGCTGCACATTGTGTAACACTGCCCCAGGAAGCACCTCTAGTAGCCATCTGAGGAGAGGCCAGTGAAGGTATCTCTAGACTGTAATGTGAAAAACACTGCATTTTCTCTGAATAGAGTGTTTGCTGCAAACATTTTTTGCAGGGACTGACTATACTCACCAGAACAAATACAATAAGCTGCAATTATGATGACTATGGCATCCCTTTAAGATAACAATTACAACAATCCTAGCTGCTACAATAATTAACAGACCAGGAGCTGTTAAGAACTTAAATCAGTTTCCGAAGATTAATTTTTTTTTAAAAATAAATAGCAAATTATTTACTCTGGTGGACCGTCGATGACCGACTTATGTTTATGTATGTATTTAGGTTTTTAACTTGTCAAGTATAGAATGATAATTGTTCTTTTTCCTTTGCTAATGATGGTATTAAATATAAGGAAAATGTTGCATTGTTGTATGATCGTTATACCCATTTGTCTTGGTTACTTTTTTGTATGTCTAATGAAAATACAATAAATCTTCATGCAACTGTGCTATAATTTTAGGTGAGACACAATGAATGAACTAAGAAGCAGTGCAAACTACTGATTAACCAGTAGTATTTCTGATGATGTGGCACAGAGTTCTAGCAAGGTAAATTTTATATACCGCCAACAAATTCTGCAGAACTGTACAATAGGTGGACTAACGGACAGGTATTGATAACAATGCGCAGGAACAGAGGGTGTTGAGGGTCTTGCTTAATTTGATTGAGCTTACATTCTATACGGAGTGGGGTAAAGTGGCACAACAAGAAATGGTAGGATGTACTTCATGTATGGGGGAAAAGTAGTCCACTAGAATAGTTTACAATGAAAGGTTAGTTACAGGAGAGAAAGCACGGTCGGTTACCAATGTGCAGAGGGGGAAATCTACTAAAGTTTAATTGATATGCAAGTTTTTAAATGATCATTGAAAGGAACGGAGACAAGGCAAAAGTCTAACTGAGCAGGGAAGGGCCCTAGTGAAGGTGGGTAAAAGAGGTGCGATCAGAGGATAAATACAGATCTTTGGCAGAGTGTAGGGAGCAGAATGGGACATTTCTGTATTAGTGAGAATAAGTATTTAGGAGCAGCATTACGTAAAGATTTATAAGCAAACGCCAGAATTTTAAATTGAGCCTGTAATCTTACAGCAAGCCAGTGTAAGGACTGACAGAGGTGCAAGAGGACAGGAAGATGAGCCGGACCCTGCAAACAGATTAGGGAGGATGAGAAAAAGTTGTTGATCAACAACAGCATAAAGTTTGAGAATTAGAAGAGTAACGACCACTGGATTTAGTTGCAATTAAATCATTGCATACATTGGTCAGGATGGTTTTTGACAGCGATGAGCATGGAATCCAGTCTGAAGTGGGTTGAGTAGAGAGTTTAATTCAAGTTGGCCTGTCAATGTAGTGTACACAATTCACTCAAGGATCTTGGAGGAAAACTGTTGTAACGAGAGGTGAATTAGAATCAATGTTGGACACTTTTTTTTTTTTAAAGAATGGGATTGATGGTTGGAGGAAATATGCAAGAGGAGAGGGAGAGATTGAATATTTTAGTGATGGGCAGAGCAAGGCATGAGTGAGATTTCAGGGAACAAGTTGTGGGGCTGGAGGACTAAAGTTGAGCAAAAAACCTATTCTGGCATAACATGTGCAAGTGAGGATAAAACAGAGGGGGCGATAATATTGGTAGGGGAAGGAGAGAGATCTCTTCACAGATTGCAGAAATATTCTCAAAGAAGTGAGTAGCGAAGTAGAGTGTTAAAAATGTGAAAGGCACTTGGGTTCTTGGGAAAGCATGGTTATGAGGGTATTAAGTTCTGTTCAGGTCTAAGGCAGGAAACTTGTAATTCAGGCTGTGTGAGAGATATTAGTGTCAAATAGGCCTACAATAAAGCCATGGAATGGAGAGGTGCATGTATGCACAGATGAGGCGAGGGTTATTCAAGCAAAACAAAAATTTGGCTAGGTATCAATAAAAGAAGGGGTGAAGAAGGCAGAAATCACAGCGAAAAGTAATCAGGGATATGCATATAGGTGAACAATGCAATCAATTAAACAAGCCAAATATATGGAATAGGGCTGGTAAAAGTAACAAGCATACAGGACAAAAAGGTAAATATATATAAAAAAAACACACACCCTTACATCGGGTCCTGTATGCTTATGTTCCCCATCCCTCCCCCCCCCCACACACAAATACACATACATCTTGTAATAGATGTTGCAATAACAAAGTAGTCAAGAGTAAAAAGATACATATAGTATATACACAAGGTGGTCAAAATACAGTTAAATTATAATGTCTTGATTACTCCAGAAGGCTTCCTTTTGCTTAAGGCAATGGATCAGCTGTTAGAGCTCTGAGTTCTGTTCAGGTCTGAGGCAGGAAACTTGCAATTCAGCTGCTTCTGGCTTTGAAAGGGTTAATAGCTGACATGTAATAACGGGATCGGATGGGTTCTTGTTTCACCACGCCTTACAGCCGGCTGCCACGTCAGATCCACTGATCGTTTAAACTAAGCTTCCCCTGCACATGCTTATTCCTAAAGGGAATAAACCGACTAACTTGCAAAACCCTGCAACATGCATAAAGAAACTCTGTACAGCCTAGGAGCCAAAAGACAGGGTCAATGTACCCTGGTATCATACAAAATGTGAGCCAGAGCCCCAATAGGTGCACATAGTAACTGGATCATATTCTATCAAAGTGTTCCCAGTACATCACAAGACAATGGGAAATAAGAGGGTATCCAATTAAGATAACTATTTCATTGTATAGAAGCAAACACTTCAACAGGATCCATGCCTGTGCAGGTATTTAGTGAATATTTTTGCTGGCATTAAGCCAAGTGATCAATGGATAAGAATACTCTATGAAAAATCAGCAATTTCTGAACAGCAAAGCCTTATGCACATATGATTTGTTAAAAGAATTCTTGGCCTGAGGCTAATCTACTCTATTCAGCAACTAAATCTCTATAGAGGTAAAACAAATGTATACTGCAGTATATCTTCTATGTGGATGTGTACAGCAAGTTATACGAGGACAAAAAAAAAAAAAGAAATATATGATAGTAAACAAAACCCACATAATATAAATAGAAGTCCTTACAGAAAAGTTACAGTGATTCCCTTTGGAGTGTGGTTAATGGATAAACAGATAAAATAAAATAAAAATCCACATGTGACAGTAAATGTTACAGTAATACTGTATATATGGTCTTATTAACCAGTAAGTTATTATACTGTAATTTGATTTTAGTCCAAGTTACTGTATACTTTCCAGTAATATTAGACAAACATTCCATTCTGCAGAAAGTGATACAGTATTATTGTAAATATGTGATAACCTAGCAATCTGAAATATTATATGTGGGTATAGTATGATACATTAATGCCACATTTAGCAGTATTGTACTTTAGTTTCGGTGTTGTAACCCATATACAATTACACTGCATCACACACACAAAAATTTTTTATAATATATATATATATATATATATATATATATATATATATATATATATATATATATATATATAATAAGGCATATGGATGTATATTTTCAGATACTGTAATAAAGCAAAGGGATATAAAATGATCCCCTATATCAAATGCAACATGTGAATATACTAGAACTGTGTGCAATATAGTCATCATAAATATTGCAAATGGGATAGTCCATTTGATGCATTTACACTATAAAAACATGTAAAATATAATGTGATCACATCTATAATGTATATAATATAGTGTCTAATATTAGACAGATGGGATGGCCCATCAGATGTACTTACACTATAAAACAAGTGAAATATACTTTGATAGAATATAAAATACGGTGTCTAATATAAGTGTCCTGTATATTACACAGAGATATAGATATATTACACACAAAATAGTATAACACAGGTGATAGTCTATATAATACACTCTTCTGTATATTACAGAGATTGGTACTTTGATAATCTATATATAGTACAGGTGATGGTCCATATAATGTATAGAATACAGGGTTTTACATATATTACACAGATTGGAACTATAAAAAAGGTATATAATAAAGTGTGTATAGCCCACTAGATGCAGTGATGGTACACTGGGTGTATATTGTTTCTCTCCCTGGTCCTGCAGCCAGCCCAGGGCACTGGTGGCCCCTGGGCTGCCAGCCCAGGGCACTGGTGGCCCCTGGCTGCCAGCTCAGTGGATGGTATTGGTGGCCCCTGGCTGCCAGCTCAGGGCATTGGTGGCCCCTGGCAGGGTATTAGTGGCCCCTGGCTGCCAGCTCAGTGTATTGGTGGCCCCTGGCTGCCAGCTCAGTGTATTGGTGGCCCCTGGCTGCCAGCTCAGTGTATTGGTGGCCCCTGGCTGCCAGCTCAGGGCATTGGTGGCCCCTGGCAGGGTATTAGTGGCCCCTGGCTGCCAGCTCAGTGTATTGGTTGCCCCTGGCTGCCAGCTCAGTGTATTGGTGGCCCCTGGCTGCCAGCTCAGTGTATTGGTGGCCCCTGGCTGCCAGCTCAGTGTATGGTATTGGTGGCCGGTGTCAGGCGGTATAGCCGGGGTCACTTACCGGCACAGGACCGGCTCTTCCATATCTTGAGCAGGAGGATGATGATGGCGATGAGGTGGGACAGGTCTCCGCTCAGCCTGAAGACGTTCATGTTGGCGGCTGGTGCTGTGTGTCCGGCTGAGGGAGAGGGCAGGTGACCCAGGGACCGCGGAGCTCGCTCTGACGCTGCAGCCGATGACTTCAATCCGTTAAAATGGCGAGCGCCAAGCTACGTGGCCCGGGGACGTGGCCTAACTGCAGCGCGCCCAGTGCATGCCGGGAGTCAGCGCTCAGGCTGAGTGTCGCTTGGCTGGACCACGCCCACTCGTCGCCTGAGGCACGCCCCGGACACGCCCCCCGAAACCATGGCTACGCTTTTAACCCCTTAAGGACCAAACTTCTGGTGTGAAAGGAAATCATGACATGTCACACATGGCATGTGTCCTTAATGGGTTAACCCTTAGTGTTCTAGAACATATCCATTGTCACTTCAATGGCTTACCAGTTCTGTTATAAAAGGTGGCTCTAACCTGAATTCATTACATTCTTTTGCAACATATATAAAATATTTTTTTTTTACTTTTTCATATTTTTTGCTCTTTTAAAATATATATATATATATATATATATATATGCATGCTTTATGGGAATTCTTTGAACAGAGGTATAATAATATCATTCTGAGCCCCAAGGCAGAATTAAACCTGGGGCCCCTTGAATACCAGTATCCATGTATGAAGCACGTCACATATAGTGCACATACTTCATGTCGTGTGTGCATTTGTATGTGAAGGGTAAGGGGTGCATGGTGTGTTTATGTGCAGAATACGATAAAATGACCTTCTTCAGAATTCCACATCTTTATTGTTCATACAATAAATAACCCTTTCCTTTTGTTTTAGGCAAAATGTCCTCTCTTCAAGTTAAATTAATTTTAACTCTTAAAGCTGTAATGTCACCGTTTGGAGACTTTGCAGAATTTGCAAAGGCCCTTGACAGTGATATCACCACCAGGGGGCCGGTGGCCTTGGGGGCAGGTAAAGGTGAATTCTACTTACCTGAACCTGTCCCTCATGGGCACGGACATCTACCGGCAGGTACTCTTCAGCTCCTGGCATTTCAGCGCCAGGAGCCGACGTCACTGCTGTACTTGCGCATGCACAAGAATACAGCACTGAGGTCTATGGAGCATCCTGCTAGACTGCAGGATACTCCATAGATGGAGTTATTTCCCTGCAGCCATCATTGGTGATTGACACTGCTGGAGGGCAGTAGATCCTCCAGTTTCTAGAACTGTCAGGCTGAAGAAATATATAGAGACACAGTAGTCCCTACTTTGTCTCAGTATATTTATTTGTTCATAAAATATTTTACCAGGATGGATACATTGAGATTTCTCTCGTTTTCAAGTATGTCCTGGTTATATCTCATGACTGTGTTGAAATTCCAGAACAGTCAGTATGAGTAGTTCATAAAGAGGGGGGTGACAGTGCCACTTTAACTTGCTTTTGTCCTTTGTACAGTCCTATTAATGAACAGGTTATCAGAGAGTTGTTTGTACTGGCCCTGCATGTATTCATAAATACATACTACTGAGACTGCTCTTATCAAATTTACAAATGACCTAATCGCAGCTAAATCCAAAGGCCACTACTCCATACTAATACTTCTTGACCTCTCTGCTGCCTTTGACACTGTTGACCATGTTCTCCTTCTCCAAACTCTTCAATCACTTTGTCTCTGTGACACTGTCCTCTTGAGGTTTTCCACCTATCTCTCCCAACACTCATTCAGTTTCTCCTTCTCTAATGATACCTCCTCTATTCATCCTGTCTTGGTTGGAGTCCCCCAAGGCTCTGTCCTTGGTCCCCTTCTATTTTCTCTTTGTACTGCCTCTCTTTGCAAACTTATTACCTCGTTTGGATTCCACTACCACCTGTACGCTGATGACACCCAGCTATTTCTCTCCTCCATGGACCTCTCCCCTGCCGTCCTGCAAGGTGTCACTGCTTGCCGTTCCTCCATCTCTGACTGGATGTCCTCCTGCTTTCTAAAACTAAATCTCTCTAAAACTGAGCTCCTTGTCTTTCCTCCTCCTAATACTGATCCTCCTCTTTCACTCTCCCTTCAAGTTAGTGGTATCCACATCAGTCCATCCTTGAAAGCGCGCTGTCTTGGCGTTATACTTGATTCTGGCCTCACCTTTTAGCCTCACATCCAGCATGTTACCAAATCATGTAAATTCCATCTTAAAAACATAGCCCACATCCGCCCCTTTCTTACACAAGATGCTACCAAGGAGCTTGTCCATGCTCTAGTAATTTCCCGCATGGATTATTGTAACCCTCTCCTTATTGGTCTTCCCAAAAGCCTTATTGCCCCGCTGCAGTCTGTAATGAATGCTGCCACCAGACTGATTCTCCTCTCTAGTCGGTCCTCTCACTCCTCACCCTTTTGTCAGTCCTTACATTGGCTTCCTGTATCCTATAGGAGTCAATTCAAAGTGCTAACTCATACCTATGAAGCACTGAACAATTATAGCCCCTCTTATATCTCTTCACAGATCCATAGGTATGCCCTTTCTCAGTCTCTCTGCTCTGCCCATGACCTTCTACTGTCCGCTGCTTGCACCCATACGGCCAACTCACGCTTGCAGGACTTCTCATGAATGGCTCTCTTCCTATATAATAACCTGCCTACCCCCATCAGACTCTCCCCTAGTCTTCAATCATTTAAGAAGTGTCTTAAAACCCATCTTTTTAGGAATGCTTATGGCCTCCCAGAGTAACCTCTACCTCACATACCTGTCTCTTGCTCTCTCCTGAAGGGCATCACTCTACTCTCTCCTCCAGCTCTGCTTCACTCCCACCTATTTTGATTGCTTTTCCCTGTCCTATTGTGTTTTATACCCCACCTCCTATAGTCTGTAAGCTCGTTTGAGCAGGGTCCTCTTCAACCTATCGTTCCTGTAAGTTTTCTTTTAATTGTCCTATTTATAGTTAAATCCCCCCTCTTATAATATTGTAAAGCTCTACGGAATCTGTTGGCGCTATATAAATGGCAATAATAATAATAATACAGATTAATAGCAGAAAACGTATTAAAGGAACACTATAGTCACCTAAATTACTTTAGCTAAATAAAGTAGTTTTAGTGTATAGGTCATTCCCCTGCAATTTCACTGCTCAGTTCACTGTCATTTAGGAGTTAAATCACTTTGTTTCTGTTTATGCAGCCCTGGCCACACCTCCCCTGGCTATGATTGACAAAGCCTGCATGAAAAAAAAAACTGGTCTCACTTTCAAACAGATGTAATTTACCTTAAATAATTGTATCTCAATCTCTAAATTGAACTTTAATCACATACAGGAGGCTCTTGCAGGGTCTAGCAAGCTATTAACATAACAGGAGATAGGAAAATCTTAATTAAACAGAACTTGCAATAAAGAAAGCTTAAATAGGGCTCTCTTTACAGGAAGTGTTTATGGAAGGCTGTGCAAGTCACATGCAAGGAGGTGTGACTAGCTAGGGGTCATAAACAAAGGGATTTAACTCCTAAATGGCAGAGGATTGAGCAGTGAGGCTGCAGGGGCATGTTCTAAACACCAAAACTGCTTCATTAAGCTAAAGTTGTTCAGGTGACTATAGTGTCCCTTTAACAGAAAAAAATATAAAACACTGTATCTGGTAGTGGGTGAACTGAACATGTCTTAGATTGCACGCTAAAATGGTCAGAAATGACAGGCGTATCTCCTAACTTGAGATTATAAACCACTGGTCCTTGTATTTTCCTATTTGGATGCATTTAAATCTGAAGAGAGAAATATAACATAGTTAAAACATAATATCTTTAATCAAAATTGCATTTACAAAATATGTGCTGTCAATGAGCATGTCTCCATTTTAACTGGTATCAGAATATAACAAGGAGCAAGATAAATTTTAAATAAAACAATGACACCATAAGCACAATATTTCCTGAGGCGTTTCGTCTGCTTGTGCCATTTCTTCAGGGGCTGAACAAATTTTTATTTCGATTTTATCTTTATACTTGTTATATTTGATACGGATTCTTGGAAGTCAGAGGATAATGGATCTGTTCCTGGGCTATCATTTTATATGGAGACGTTTCTTAAGAGTTCACATTTTGTAAATGCAATTTTGATTAAAGATATTATGTTTTAAAGGGGTACACCCTATTTTGTGTTTTTCTCTTCACATCTAAGTGACTCCAAATAGGAATATACAAGCAGGGCCGGCCTTAGGGGTGTGCGAGCTGTGCGGCCGCACAGGGCGCCATGGCAAGAGGGGCGCCGGGCGGCCAACATAGCTCGCAGGCCGGCCGAGTTCTGTATTTAAAGTGCAAGTCAAGTGCATAATACTGCTTTGCACTTGACTTGCAAATTATGAGCAGAGAGCCCCCGCCGGGAATCCACTTCTGTATGGAGGGTGGAGGAGGAGCGTGGGGGCGTTATGCCGCGTACTTGCGTAACGTCGACGTGCTCTGTCATCAGAGGGAGCCGCGGAAGGATCCAATTCAGTGAGTGAAGGCGGCACCCGGTGCTCTTCAATCGGCGGAGACAGCTCAGTCCAGGGAGCAGCAGCCTTTACTGTGAGTGACTTTTTTTTTCTTTTTTATTAAATAGGTTTTGTTGAAGAGGTGCAGGAATTTAATTAAGGGGGGCAGGGGATTGATGAAGGGGTGGCATGGATTGCATTAATTGGCAGGGGATTTATTAAGGGGGCTGATAAAGGGTGGCAGGAAACTGAAAAGGGGGGCATGGGGCTGATTAAAGGGGGCAGGTGGTTGATAAAGGAGTGGGAGGGGATTGATGAGGAGATCAGGGGGCTGATGAAATGGGGGCAGATGGCTGATAAATAGGTGGGAGGGAATTGATGAGGGGGCAGGGGACTGATGAAGGGGTGGCCAGGGGTTGGATTATTTGGCATGGGATGTATTAAGGGGGCTGATGAAGGGGAGCAGGGGGTTGAAAAGGGGGGCATGGGACTGATTAAAGGGGGGCAGGTGGGTGATAGGGGTGGGAGGGTACTGATGAGGGGGTCAGGGGGCTGATAAAAGGGGGAGGGGATTGGTGAGGGGGTCAGGGGACTGATGAATGGGGCAGAGGGCTGTTAAAGGGGTGGGAGGGGATTGATTAGGGGGTCAGGCGGCTGATGAATAGGGGCAGAGGGCTGAGTAAAGGGTGGGAGGGAATTGATGAGAGGGGCAGGGGACTGATGAAGGGGTGGCAGGAATTGATAAAGGGGTGGGAGGGGATTGATGAAGGGTAAGGGGTGGCTAGGAGTTTGACGAAGGGATGGCCAGGGCATTGATGA